AAATGAATTTATATAAATGTAAAAATATTTTCAAAATTAAAAGGCAAAATATGGAGAGGAAATATAGTGTTTGTAGCTTTTAAATCTTACATGGAGGCTAAAAGAAAAAAAAAATACTGCATAAAAATTCCTTGAGTTTGATAGCACTTGAATTTTCGAGATCTAAAGCTATTGATTTTTTTTTTTTTTGGTTGGAAATTAGTATATTTTCATTAAAGCAAATGCAAATTCTCATATTTTTATGGTCTCTTTTGTAAAAATAAATAAATAAATAAATAATAAAAACAAAGAAAAAAAGTTATGCAACCTGACTGACTTTCAAGATTTTAACAATCTTTTAACAATAGCCGCCGGCTGCTTGACAAACTATAAAAAGCTTGAATTTATAGGTCAAAACATAAAACCAAATTGGATGTTTTAACAATGATTGAAGCAGTATTTATGGTGACAAAATGTGGTTTTGATGGTAGCGGAGAAGAAACCTGGAAAATGGTAGCGCTGCTGCTAATATGGTGAACTGCCAATGGTAGTAAATAACAGTGAAATCTGAAATCCAATGAGTGAAGAAGACAGAGACTCCATTGGAGGCATGGTGATGAAGCTTTAATCTGAATTATTATTATTGCAGTTAACATATCATATCATTGAATGACATAACCAAGGCATTAACATGTGATCCTTTGCTACAAAAAAGACATAAAATACAAGGGTAACGGGGCTGCCTCTCCCATAGGTTCTGCGAGTGTGGGAGGGTGAAAGGAGGAAGTGGAGAGGAAAGTCAAAAACTAATGTATCAACATGGAGTAATAAATTCTTTTGATCCTCTTCAGCAAGGAATTTATGATCTATTAACCCGAAACCGATTCGTACGCAGCAGACACAATGTTATAGTAAGACATCAGGTTGGAGAATAGCCTATGTTGATTTAGATTTCCGTTATTGGGTTTTTATGCTTGATTTTATATCGCACCCAAGAAACCTGATTTTAATTTTAGGTTATGGTTCTGTTGGTTTTATCTAGTTTAGTTTTGAACAAGAAAATGAAGACAAAAGATTTAGGAGTCATTAGTTATGTGAATATGTATTGTGTGGATTGGATCCTTGAAGATTTGCATCAGAAATAATTTGTAAATTTTGTAAAAAGAATGGAGCTTTATCTATTTTTAAGGCCTCCTTTTTTGTGTTTTATATGATTGTTCTTGAAGGAAGAAAGACGTTGTTGTGAGAATATGTCTGAATTCTTCCAACTTTTTTGGAAATATTCTTTGGGTAGTTTTGGCTTATGGTAGTTATTGTTTATTGGAACTTCAGGTGATGATGATTTCTATTCTTGCGGGTAGTTTTATACAAATTCCACAGACTTGGGTAGATTGCGTTCAATCAGTTTCCAAGTGGATGTCTACTGCCCTCCTCGTAAAAGAGCTCGTATTAGTGCCCCATTTCTCTTTGGGGAAACTGAGTTTGAGCAGAAGAAGCAACCATCAATCGATATCCTTCAAGATGAATGCCCTTTTGAGATCTTCAAACGACTTCCTGGGGGCAGAGAAAGGAGCTCCTGTGCTTGTGTCTCAAAGCACTGGCTTATGCTTCTGACCAGTATTCGTAAGGGTAAATATGAGTCATCAAAGGTGGTCAAGGAGAATATTAATTCGGTTTCTGATGATGTTGAGATGGTCTCATCTGATGAAGATGATGGGTATCTTACAAAGTGCTTGGAAGGGAAGAAAGCAACTGACATAAGGCTTGCTGCAGTTGCTGTTGGAACAAGTGGTCATGGTGGGCTGGGAAAGCTTTCTATTAGGGGAAGCAGCTCTTCACGTGGAGTAACCAATTGGTTGCCCTTCTTTCAAATCACTTTCTTTGTAGAACGTCCCTCGTGTTGGAGACGAGGGTCTGTCTGAGTTAGCTAAAGATTGTCATTTGTTGGGGGAAGCTTGACCTTTGCCAGTGACCTTACGTTTCAAACAAGGGTTTAATTGCAATAGCAGAGAACTGTCCTAATTTGATCGCTTTGAGCATTGAATCCTGCCCAAAGATTGGTAATGAGGGCCTCCAAGCTATTGGAAAGCTTTGCCCCAAGCTGCAGTCCATCTCTATCAAGGACTGCCCACTTGTTGGGGATCATGGAGTTTCAAGCCTGTTGTTATCAGCATCTTCTGTCCTTTCAAAGGTTAAGCTTCAGGGTTTGAACATCACAGATTTTACTCTTGCTGGTATTGGGCAGTATGGCAAGTCTCTGACAAATCCGACAAAGGGGTCATGTTGGTTGCTCTATGGCTTGGTGTTTTCCTGGGGACTTTGGCTGTTTGGCAGATTGCCTGTCCAGCCTTTTTATTTTTTTTTTCTTTTTGCAGGCTTTCTTGACACGGGAAAGTCTGTTGAAACTATCAAGCCCCAATTTGCAGGAGGCAGTTTCATAGCCATGGTTCCTGGAGAATTCTGTCATTAAGTCATGGTTTTGTGTTTCCACTCATGATCATCGTATCTTTTGGTCCTATTTTGCTGGATGTCTCTTCGTCATACATTTCTTTATTGGAATGCTTGACTAAGCTTTCTTTGTTTTCAGTCCTATGAAGTCTGTTGTTTGGATCAGTGGATCTTAGTTATAAGCTGCTTCTTTTTTTAGGGTCTTCCAGTGTTTGAAACTCCTGCAGGGTCCTGTGTTTCCTTGCATCACTGTCTATATAGTGGTTGCGTCGAGGAGTTCTATGTTTGGGTGCCGCAGATTGGTAAGCTTTTTCTACGGCAGTGGATTCACTCATCTGCCCTAGCAACCTTCATTTTGGCTAGTTTTTTTACCCCAACAAGTCTTTAGTCTTGTAGGCTTTTCCTTGTATATGGATTGTACAACTTCAACTACTCTGTTATTATCAATGAAGCTTAGATATTTTACCTTTTTTATATTTATTTGTATCCTAATTGTGCAAGGATCGTAGAACTGTGCTGCAACCAGAGAAAAAATTTAGAGCTTTGAACGTGCTGATGAAGGTCTGAATCTTTTTTATTTTTTTTGAAAAGCTAATGTGACAAATTAGTAACAATGATTACTTTGAAATTTCTAATATCTCCATTTTCCAGCTGCATGTCCAAAGAAACAGAAGAAAGAAATATAACCCAAGATTTTCAATAAAACGTTTGTTTACTCTACTGTTTAATAGTAGTGAGTTTTTGACTCTTTGGAGGCTGAAGATTAATTGAGCTTGAAGCAACTGAGTCACAGCGGTGTGACGAAAATGTGTCAATGAAAAGGAGAAAAAAAAAAAAAGAGAATAGTATTGTTGGATCATGATGGGGTGGAGAAAATGTAGTGTTCTACTCTTCTGACTCTTCCCATGATTCCCAAGAACGTGTTTGGACCAAAATTTTAAAGAAATTTTTTTTTTTTTTATTTCTTCCTTCATTGAAGCCACGGGAAATGAACAAAGAAAGACGTTAAAGTAAGAGAAATGGAAAATTATAAGAAACTGAAATAACTGTATCAAAACCTTTTTTCTCGAGACTTGTAAATAGTACGAGGATGTCGAACTGATTCATCTCTCATCACGAAAATCGGCACCTTTTACACCGAAAGGGTAGAGAATTTCAAATCAAAACAGTTACAAAAATGCACCAAGAATAATCCCTCATGCACAGTTGCACTGTTTTAAAAAAAAAAAACAGTGAAACATTTAGGCAGTTGCATGTCTTATCAAACACCATTTTTGCGGCTGGGTCAATTAATTTGAATAAGGTATCATATGTATCAGTAGGACACAGAGAAAGGGTTGGAAGAACTTGTCTCCTCGTATAATAGCTTTCATCTCCTTCATATGAAGAACTTCGACCAGTTCTATGGTGGGGAGAAAGGAACTAAAGCAGCCATGCAAGGTCTGCAACTGAAGCACCTGTTGACACACTTGAGTGGCCTTGAAGCCCAGAACCATTTTCACTTGCTTTGAACTGTCATTATCTGTTACAGAAACTGACCCAACTGCCAAAAACAATCCAGGAATAAATGTTACAACGATTAACAACACAATGGAATCTTGCAGTACTGTATTTATTGGAGATTAATTCTTCAGTGTCATCAGGGTCCTGTCAATTTGTTCATTTGCCTTTTCTCGGCCCTGTCATTTATCGGTTTAATCTAAAACTACTCTTCAACACTCTCACATGAATGAATTTATATAAATGTAAAAATATTTTCAAAATTAAAAGGCAAAAGATGGAGAGGGAATATAGTGTTTGTAGCTTTTAAATCTTACATAGAGGGTAAAAGAAAAAAAAGGTACTGCAAAAAATTGCCTGAGTTTGATGGCACTTGAATTTTCGAGATCCAAAGCTTTTGAAAAATTTTTTTTGGTTGGAAATTAGTATATTTTCACTAAAGCACATGCAACTTCTCATATTTTTATGATCTCTTTTGTTAAAATAAATAAATAAATAAATAATAAAAACAAAGAAAAAAAGTTATGCAACCTGACTGACTTTCAAGATTTTAGCAATCTTTTAACAATAGCCGCTGGCTGCTTGACAAACTATAAAAAGCTTGAATTTATAGGTCAAAACGTAAAACCAAATTGGGTGTCTTGACAATGATTGAAGCAGTATTAATGGTGACAAAATGTGCATTTTGATGGTAGCGGAGAAGGAACGTGGAAAATGGTAGCGGTACTGCTAATATGGTGAACTGCCAATGGCAGTAAATAACAGTGAAATCTGAAATCCAATGAGTGAAGAAGACAGAAACTCCATTGGAGGCATGGGGATGAAGCTTTAATCTGAATTATTATTATTGCATTTAATATATCATATCATTGAATAACATAACCAAGGCACTAACATGTGATCCTTTGCTACAAAAAAGATATAAAATACAAGTCTAATGGGGCTGCCTCGCCCCATAGATTTCTACGAGAGTAGGAGGGTGAAAGGAGGAAGCAGAGAGGAAGAGTCAAAAACTAATGTATGATCATGGAGAAATAAATTCTTTTGATCCTCTTCAGGCAATGAATTCATGATCGATAAACCCTGAAACCGATTCGTACGCAGCAGACAATTTTATGGTAAGACAGAAGGTTGGAGAAGCTTAGCAGAAGAGGAATAGCTTCCTTAGGCCCATTTGCTCAAAGATTTGCATCACATCCACAGAAAAAGGATCAGCAAGTCATTGATCTAAGAAAACTGGGAGTTGCAAGACCCCCCGATGGTTTCCAGATGATATTTTCTAGTTTAGCACAGAAATTCTTGTAGAACTGCAAAAGGAAAACATAAGAAGTATATCACTAATTGCTGATAGGCATTCATAGCATATTTACCGTCAGACATCAAACATGAACAAACTCGCAGCATTAGATGATATTATACATGTATAAAACAAACTCTTAAGAAAAGTCCATGAGCAATTAATTGTCTGATTCATACATCATTATCCAAGCCAGAAAAAGTTTTAAAAAACTATGAAGCCAGGGTTTGCCATAGCCCACAGGGTGGGCAGCTAAGAGACAAGACTAGCCACATGAATATTGTATCATGAAATGGAAAATTACAGAGATAATACTAGAAACTGAAACGAATCTGCCATAAGAAGTTCACCCTTAGTGCAAAAAACAGTAGGAGAAAAAGTTTGAAAGAGATATTTTAGTCTCATGCAAAGAAGATAGAGAGTAGCAGTGTAAATGGTGCAAGGTACAAGTTGGAATCTATGAACTTGGAAATGGCAGAAGGAAAGACAAATAAGAACATGAGAAAACACATAGCAGCGTTGGCCTTTTACTAGAGCATAATGAAAATTTAATCCCTCTAAAAGACCAAAAATGGTTGAATTGTAGCTTTTTGGGACCAATTTGTGAGAAGTGACTACACTACACAAAAGATTTTGTACATACTTGTTAGAATAACATGAAATCTCTGTAACACATTCTATTTTAATTTAATTTGTTTTGAATGTAACTAATAATTTTTTTTAAAGGTTAAGAGAAAGCTACGAGTAACACAATGACAATGGAAGTGTAGCATACCATGTCTAAAATATGAGGAGCAAGACACATACAACCAACCTTGTGATATTCAAGAGTATCTCCAGCAGCTTTTTGAACATCTACCATGAACAGGGATGGTGCAACTTCAAAAACCTACATAAGAGATATAAAAATAACTTTAAAACAGAAGTCATATTGAAATTCATCTGCCAATGGAAAAATGCACTGATTACCAAATGAGAAAACAGTTCTAGGAATATACCGCCAGGACAACCGCAGATTGCCCGACCTTATTTGCAGATATTCCCTCAAGTCTTGTCTGTGGTTAGAAAGAAATAAAATTTAAGGAAAAATAGATAATACAAAATATAGGACACTTGTAAACTGATGTTCTTTTGCAATATAAAACATGATTGCCCACTCAAACAATAGGGTGACCCCAACATCACTTTGCTAAGAACAAAAAGAAGTTAAATTAACCCAGACAATGTTATTTCCTTATAAACCTTTTCCATTCAAACTATTATTGGGCAAAGGGAATGAACAAATTACACATGGCCGCATGTCTTAAGCTGCTGGTAATTTTTTCTGAGTTTTTGAGAAGCGTTCAAGGTCAAAATTAGCTAGGTGCCTATGACAGAGGAGCTGCTTCAAGGGCTTCTCTATCAGCAGGTTAGCGTACCTATGTAGTTTTTATATTCTTTAGAAAAGAAAAATGATATAACGAGAAACAAAAAACTATTTGGGTAAAAAGATAAAATGGCTTCATTTTGTCAAAAAATCTCTCAAGCATACCACTACTGAACAGTGACCTTCGTTTTGTCAATGAAGATATGTTCACAAGTCATACCTTGTAATTACGTGTATGAACTTTGAGACCCATTGATTCTGCAACAGCTTCAACACTTGAGATTATAATTCTTGCTGGTTTGCGTGATACAAATCGAGTTTGCCGTTCTACATAATCCTGCCAAAGAAAAAGCATGGTCTATAGCTTGCACACTAGCATTAAACGGTATAATCTCATTCTCTCAATGTAAATTATCAGCAAACAGCATTGACAGGCATTTATGTTGTAAAACAAAAAAGTGATTATCACCCCATCCACCCTTTCTGATTGACTGAATATTATGCAAGTTAATAGCAACTCGATACACTTTTCATATTTTAAGCAAACATATCGAGCAATGAAAATATAATCTATAACCAACCAATAACCATTATGAAAAGAGAGAATCGGTCATGCTCTGAGATGAAGCAAAATAACATAAAAGATCACATGTTAGCAATACTCCTTTTGTAACATCAACAATATGGAGAATTGAATGAGAAACTAAGAAATAAAAAAGGACTACAATTTCATATGGCAGCAAAAATACTGACTTATATTGCGCTACCTGTTGCCTGTCAAATAAAGCTGATAGATTCAAGCCTTGGGATAGCGTAATCATCTCAAATGCATTCATTATCAGGGGACCCCCCTCATCGGCGATAGACTGCTCAGCTACATACTGGTCCTGCAAAATATAGTTGTGATTACTCAGCAAAAGAGAAATATAGAACAGAAAAAAAATCCAGGGAACAGAGTTCTCAAGGCAATCAGGATGCATTTAACATGCCCAACTCTAATAACAACCATTAATGGTGACATGAAAGAAAAAAATGAAAAATCTGTAAGCTAGAATCAGAAGGTCTCTTAGGCCAAGAAGAGGAACTACAATACAATGAACAAAAGAATACCCACCTCAATGTCATCAAAAGCTGCATGAACATCCTTCAAATTCACTTCTTCTTCTCTAGGTCTCACGGGAACGTAATGCTTCGCAAGCCATGGATCTTTTTTAATTCCCTCAATTTGAATACGCTGCAGGAATGCAGGAAACAATCAGAAAGCAGTTCAGAAACATCAAACAAGCATCAAACAGTTCTTAACTTTGCATTATTCACCTTGCTCCATCTAACTAATGCCTACCATCATAAATTGAAAAGTTTGGAAAAAATAGTCACAAATGATAGTGTTTTAAAAATAAAATAAGACCAGATGTAATGAAATTTTATTCTTTAATTCCTATGCCTAAGCTACCTGCTTTTTATAAAATTCATGAACTTTTCATGTAAAAACAAGTTCTTGGCCCATTTATTTGATAATTGCAAGGGTAGTGCTTTGTCTGAAGGAACCTGATATTTGGGTTCTTCAATGTACTGAACATCCACCAGATCCCAAAGTGGCAGACATCAGCCAATGCATTGAGTAGCTCAAGGCTGTGGAAAAATATTAGGCATCCATGGACATACAGGATAATGCAATACATATGATGTATTAATGACAGCGTTCAAATAAATTAAACCTAGAGCTAAACAGTAAGTTAAATATACTCACAGTTATAGGATTGGGATCAAGAATCTTCTGTATTAATGATTTTGGCCCAGAAGAAAACCAAAATGGACAAGAAAATTGGGCATCATTAATCTGCACATTGACCAAAGGAAAAGATAGAAGTTTCATAGTTATATCAGTGCACTTACTAAGTGCTTAAATGATACACATTAAGTTAAGTTAAGGTGGCTCCTCCTATCAAGACATATACTAAAAGGTAGGATTTACAAGAGTGACAAATAAGTAAATATTGGATTTGAAGCCTCCATTATTTTATATGCAAAGACACATGAATTCCAGTTTCAGCACAGGACACAAGTCTGACAAAGAACATAACAAGAACAAAAATAAGATGGCATGCAATCATTACGACTCAAAATAATGGAGGAGAAAGCTGTAGGAGCATTGCAGCATAACTGTAGACAAATAGCTCAATAGCTGTCAGTGTCTCCAAATGTTGTAAAAATTATTCGTTCATAATGATGAAGCACGTTGCAAATTAATAATGTATTAACTGTCAACCGTGAAAAAATGATGGTAATAACCTTTTTGTACAAGGTTGGAAGGTCTATCTCGTCAAATGGAAGATACCCAGCCATTATCACAAAGAGAATGACTCCGCATGACCACACATCAGCAGCCGCGCCATCAAAACCCTGGTTGCTGAGCAGCTGATGGGCAATGATTTACCTTGAGAAATTCAACTACATAACAGAAACCTAAACATAAGCGTGTATTTAAATGTACTGATCCTTGTTTAAACACAAGTTACACAACATGCTTACAATTTACAGCCATGACTAGCTCTAAGCAAGTAAGAAACTACAGAAATTAGAGAACATGTCATAATGACAAACAAAAAGTCAATTATCATCACAAAAGATATTTAACAATTTATGAGGAAGATAAAAATACAAAAAGCATAAACTGAATAAAATTTAATAGACAAGTGCTTATCAAGAAAAACCTGAAAGTCTTAACCAATTTTCCTTGGTTTGCCATTCTTCAATTTAATTCAGCAGTAACATCCCTAGTACCCTTGGCATCTCAGCCCCTCCCCCCCCTTAACTAACAAATGGAAATAATTCCTAGCAAACATCATAAACTAATGATAAGAGTATTTTAAGGACCTTATCAGTTCCAGCGCAGCCATAGCACATGTAATGTAGCACTCATTAATATGTATTTATTGACTCAATACTTGTAATAATTGATAAAATGTATATTAAAACAATGAATGGATAATGATTTGATGGAGCAACAGAGCAAAGGCAGTGAAGGGAAAGATCAGTTGTTAAAATATCTGTAGACAAACAAGTAAAAAGTCAATTGGGATCAAATCTAAGGAAACATATATGACTTGGGAAAATAGGGCTCTGCTTGTCTGGTGGATGACAATAATATTGGCAATTGAGTTAGAATTTGATTTGGAATTTTTGACATTATTTGGTGCCATTGACATACGGAATCCTATTATTCAGAAAAAAAAATTAATGTAAGCAATTTCAAGAGTCCAGCAGTTCAAAATGTAAGAAGCCAGAGTAGACACAACTAATTTAACCAAAGTCATAAGAACAAAAATTCATTATATTTTGGAAGTCAAACACACTGGCAAAGAATAATAGACAATAAGACAAAGTTGCTGCTAAACCTTAAGTTGCTTGAATGTACCTCTGGTGCAACATAATTTGGGGTTCCAGATGTTGTGTGGAGAAGTCCAGCCCCCTGCTGCTCATAGGCATAAACATGTAATGAGAGAAAGAGAGAATAATTATAAGTGAAGACTCGTTGCTGTATAGAACCTAAATAGAAGTCAATATACTTACTTGCTGTTGTAATGCACTCAAGCCAAAGTCAGAAACCTTCAAATTTCCATAAGAGTCAAGAAGAAGATTTTCAGGCTATAAATTACAAAGAAAAAGAAAAGTTAGTAGTTAGAATTAAAAGATGGAATCTTGAAATCAGTGTTTTTCAAGATCTTGAATTCAAAATATTGCACCTTTAGGTCTCTGTGGTATACACCCTTACTGTGACAATGAGCAACAGCATCAATAAGCTGTTGAAAGTACCGCCTACATTCATTCTCGGGTAGTCTTTGACAGTGAACCTACCCAAAGAGTTAAAACAGGAGATAAACGTTTTTCCAGGGGGAAAAACCCAAGAACAAAAAAAGGAAGGAAAAACACGAAGAAATTAATATGGAGAAATAAAAAAAGATGGGAATACTTTGGTGACAGGAGATGCCTTACAATTTTATCAAAGAGTTCTCCTCCACTTACAAACTCAAGAATAATATATATCTTTGTACTACTAGCCAAGACCTAAATTTCATAAAAAAAGGTACAAGGTAAAAATCAACAATGTAAGTGGGAACATCAATTTATGATGTACAAGGTAAAAGTATACACATACCTCATTCCACCTAACTATGTTAGGATGTCTAACAATCTTCATTATGGATATCTCTCTTTAATCTGTATCCAATAAAAAAACAAAAAGGGTTAGCCAACTAATTGGCATAGAGGAAGAGATTCATCAATCAAGCTGGTAAGTAAAATGCTTCTACAATTTCAAAGCTCATAGAAGCTTTCAAATATTATGAAGCCAAAGATTTAAAATTCTTGGGCTTAGATTTAAATGACCGAAGGAACATGAATTCAAATGCACATATATCCCCTAGCTGTGCTGCAGGCAGCAGGTTTCTCTCCTCCTGAGCACTTGCATTGTATGCACAATACGACTTTGGATTTATATTAGACTAACATTATTTAGAGGGAAAAAAATAATCTCCAGACACCTTTGGTTGCTTGGTTTCTGAAAGTGATGTGATCTAGTTTTTCACTAAATAAATTCAAAAGCTAAAACAAAAATAGCTATTTAGCTTATCAAAAAGACTTCTTCTACTCAACCAGAATCCTCATGATTCAGAGAATTTTATTATAACAATCCTGCATCAAAACGGTGTCCCTGGAACAGGTCCATGGGGAACAAATGAAAGTTATATTGAGAAATAGCTAGGACTATAAGAGATACCAGAGAAAAAGAGTAGAAGAAAAATAAAAGTGATGGGAAGAATATAAATATATTGGTCTGGATATTGAGAATTATAAACGGCATAAATATAGAGAGATTTCCCAAATCAACAATAGAGTATTTTAAATACTCATTCTATAAGTTACAGCAAATTAAACCCGCCGGGCCAGTGTGGAAGTGGCATTAAGTGAAACTTTAACAAAGTTATTTCCACAGGCAGTGCATGTCTGAGGACCAGAAGGCTCATGCACCCTTGAAAATCATTCTAACTCACCAATCACTTTTTTGGAGAACTTGCCGAATACATTCTTAGGTCAATTTGCTACTTACATTCTACAGAACACTGCTGTCTCATGCATTCCTTATAATAGCACATCCCATAGCCATAATCTTACCAACCATAATTCAAGCAAAACATGACAAACAGCCCAAACTCGATTTCCAACCAAGCAATCAAAAGGCAAAGCCAATATCGGTTTTTTTAAAGTGAATTCAGTTACTTTTGACAAAATTGGGAGACAAGAATCATCATTTTTAAACTAGTTTGCTAAACAAAACATTAGCAGTTCAACAAAAGCATTGCATACGAATTACAAAATCTAAAGCCAAAGGCTTTTACGGGTTTTTTTTTTTTTTTTTAAGAATTAAATAAATAACTGATCAACCATTCTGTGCTTAAGAATGGTGGTTTTGGCCAAAACTTTCATGGCCACGCTCTCTCCGGTGTCTGTATTATGCGCAAACTTAACTTTGGCGAATGTTCCTTCGCCAATTGTTCGCCCAACCTCATACTTCCCTACTTTTCGTGTTCCTTTCTTCATCATTCTTCAACGTTCATTTCACACCAAAACTTTTACACCTTAAACACAAAAAGAAAATGAAAATTTGAGAATTTACTGTTCATGCTGACTATTTGGGACTAATAATTTAATAATTATTAGTCAAAGATATAGGCAATCTCTGTTTGGCTGATGAGAAACTAGACAAATAAAGGAGAACAAAAAACAAACTAAACACAAGCCTGTAAGTTTTACTAACAAGATAAAAAATTTTAAATCGAGTTTGACACACAAGATTCTCTGACATGATAGAATAAAATAATATTATGAATAAAATAAAATTAAATAATATTATTTTATTTTATATTTGATGTTTTTAAAAATTAAGATATGATAAATTATTTATTTGTCAAAATTATTTTTTTAAAAAAATTATATAATTTTTAAAGATACAAATAAATATATAAATTTAATAAATTAAAAATAATTTTTTTTCACTTAAAAAAATTGAATAATCTTATGTCAATTATTGGATATTAATTCTTTTTATAATTTTTATTCTCTTTTTATATATAAATTAAATATGATATAAAATAATTGTCATCTTATTTTATCAATAATTTTATATATCAAACATGATTTTAATAGATAAAAAAAGTAATTCGAAAAATAAAATAGAATAATGCAATTGCAGAAGAGAGAATGCGAATATTAGAGGAATATTCTGGCGAAAATTTTACCGCCAATAAAACTTGTGAAGCTTACAAACTGAAACATTTCGTGTTGGAAAACCGGAAAAAGAAGAAGACTGGTGGATTTTAGGCGCCGGTAAATTGATTGATCGGAGCAGGAAACGCAAAGAGATATAAAGAGCTGGAATTTTTGTTTTGATTTTGTTTTGTTGTCGGTGGAGCTTGTTTTATTTATTCTTTGGCCGCAAGTTTCTTTTTATTTATTAGCCTTCTTTCTTTTTTTTTTTCTTTTTAAAATTATTGTATTAGGTAAAATATTATTTGAGTTAAATTGACCATTTTGTATTATATTTTATTTATTTTATACTAAATGCATATTATATTTATATTGTATTCATAAATTTGATAAAATATGAAATAAATTTTTATCAATAAATCAAATATGAAAATTTTTTTTATTAAATTTATGTATAATTTTTATTTAAATTTTAAATTTGTGTGATTTTTGTATATTTTTATATATTATTTTTGTATTATATTATTATATCATTTTAAATTTTACAAAATTTAATTTCAGTGATAGATTTTAGCAAATTAATTACCAACAATTGTATTCATACAATAATATTTTTGTAAATAATAATTTTACTAATATTAACCATTGTCATAACTCATAAGAGCATCCGTCAGCAATATTTTTAATTAAATCAAAAACTTTGTAAATTTTACACAATAAATGTATCATTTATATCATAAAATAGTATTTCCATAATAACAATATTTTTGTATTAAAATAATAACAAATTTTATTACCACGTCACTTTTCACATGGCCTGTACTCAATTATAGCATATCGAGAATCCAAGATGTCACAGACTTCATCAAATCATTATTACGAAATTAATAATTGAGTCAATTTTACTTTTGATTCACTTTATTAATTACAAGTAAGAAAAGGTTATGTTTGATAATCAGTCCTGAGTAGAGTTAGTATCGAGTAGGGTTCGAAATGGATTTTATTCGTACGAATTTAATTTAATTTTATGTGTTATTAAATTTAAATTTATTTTATTAAAAATTTTTTTATATTTTTATATTAAATTCGATTTTGATTTGATATTATATAAATTTAATTCAATTTGATTTGATTTGAAATTAATAAAATATTATTTTTTAAATATAAATATTTAAAAATATCATTATCTAAATATATATAAATAAAAAATTAAATAATTAATTAAAAAATAATTTTTTATATAATATCAAATCAGATCAGATTGAGTTTATTTAAAATTCAAACTCGATCCGATCTCGATTATTTTATAATCTTATCTAACTCGATCTAAAACTCAAATTTAAAAAAAAAAATCGATTTTGTAATGTTATATCGAGTCGAAATCCTTTGAAGATGGATTAAATTACCGACCCTAGTCCTGAGAAGCTGCCTATGTTGTAGGAGGGGTTTCCTAAACTGAGACAAATTGCCAACTTGTGATTTAGTGATTTCATTCGCTTGTAGTAGTGTTTTTAGACTAAAATTTAAAAAAATCATTTATAATTTTTAAGATATATTAAAAATTTTAAAAATAATTAAAAAATAAAATATATGTCATTTTTTTATTATACTTATCAATTAAAATATTTTAGTGCATAAAAAATAAAAATTTTAAAATAATATCATAATAATAGCAAAATAATTATTAAATTTAAAAAAGTTAATTAATTTATATTATCATAAAAATAATATCTAATAAATTTTAATTTTAAATTTAATATTTATAATTAATTGATTTCAAATTTTATGAATAAAATTTTTTGAAAGAGCTTATTTATTTATAAAATTTAACTCAATTTGATATCAAATATATCAAATTCAAAATGATTATCAAATACTAAAAATTTTGGACCACAAAATAATGCATCAACTGCCAGTGAAATTCTTGCCCCCAAACGCTCCTCTCCTTTGTAACAAGCTCATTCAGGTTGATAAAAGCTGAAGTGAGTTTGAATATAAATGAAAATATAAAAATTTATTTAAAAAATAAAATAATTTAAAAGTTCTTTTTAGTATTTTTTAACATTTAAATTTACTTCTTGATTTGAAAATTTAAAACATATTAATTTAAGATGTCAAGAATATTAGGAAAATTACACTTGGGTGTATTGAAATAGAAATGAATTAACTGTAGATGATTTATAAAAAAAAAATGATCAAGCGTTGATCATGCATACGACATAAAAAGGAAATTATTTTGACGTTTTTGTTATTAAAAAAAATCATGTTTATCATAAATATTATTTTAAAAAAATACATTTAATGTATTATTTTTGTCAAAATTCAGTAAAAAAACAATGAATTGTAAATTTCTTCTCCCAAAAAAAGAAGAAAATTACTTTTTACTGTCCATTGCAATTATGGACAAAAACATTGCTATTTACTACTTAATAATTTTTGCAAGTAGCGACATCGTGGAAAAAAGGATGGCAATCACGAGCAATGTGACCTACTTAAACTTTTTTATATAAAAAACTTAAAAAAGAAATAATTGAGACTCAAAAGACGAAATTAGCCTTAGATTTGCAAGTTGCAAGGGAACTTTGGATGGGACCCGTAAAAATCATGGAAGAGGGTGCTGCATCCGTCCACTTCTAACCAATTAACAACAGCCCACCCGGTCACCCCCATTAGACCTGATGCTATTGAATTGATGGCCTCTAACTACACACCGTTGAGGCCAATTGCCCCAACCCCACCCCGGGCTCCACCACTTGCTTCAATATGCGGCACCGTCCCATCTAGACCATTCACTCAAGTAAATCAGTGGCACCCCCGTAAATCAACTTCAAAATTCAGGGCTTTTTCTCTTCGGAGTTGTAATACGATTACCGTAGGAAAAATCCTGCCACTTCCTTTCCTGGGGAAAAGGCCAGCGGTTTTTGGTGTGTCACGTGAAGAGATTGAATCGGAACCGTTGAAGCACGTCAGGTCGACAATCCGACGGTGATGCCAAGCTCCAGCTGACGTGATTTGTAATGTCAAAAACTCAAAACCGTGTACTTGTCTCCTCCGGCCCGCATAAATGAGAAAAGCCCGACATGGTCGTTGTGCCAATTTTAGGATTTGTTTGGTACTGCATTTTAGAATATTCCTATTCTAAAAAAAAAAAAATTCCTAACATTAAAACTTTACAATGGCCCTCATTTTTCAACCAAGAGTCAACAAATACAATTTTTTTAAGGCAGCGTTAAATAAAAAATATATATATTAAAATTTAATTTTAAACTTGTTATATAGTTAAATTTTAAATTCAACAAATATAATTTTTGACGAAGCTGGCAAAAATCCTTTCTAAGGTGATAGCATCTCCCTTTATATAATTTAGCGCAAACCAAACAGCTCTTTAGTAACCCAGCCCAACAAAAAACCACGTGCACATCACTATTTCAGATTCAATCACTCAAATCAACGGCCCAGATTTTCCGTACAGCCACCCAGTCTCCCTATATAAAACCCATCACAGCCTCGTCTTGTTCTTCTGAACGTCCGTCTTAAACGTTGCAGTTGCAGCCGAGAAGCGAGGGCCAAAAGGAAAGTTTTAGATACCTGATCTTTGGCTTTTTTATGAAAGTCACCATTAATTTCTTAACATTTTATTTTAGTACAACATGCTTTTAAGGAGAGGATCAACGCCGATACTTAACTCATGGGTCCCACACTTGAAGAAGCCATCGCCGGAGCACGAGTTTTCTCACCAGATTTCCCGACCCCGAACCGTTTCGCGTTCGAGCTCGATTTCCGTGGGATCGAGCGACGATTCGAATAGGAGGAAGGCGAGGGCGCTGTCCGAGACGGATCCGTGGAACCTCGTGGTCCCCAAGATGGGAGCCGTTAGGAAAAATAACGGGATCATGAATGGGATCTGTGTCGAGGAAGAAGAGGTGGAGAAAGAAGAAGCTGGATTTCAGCGGTGGAGAACGGCGTCGCTTGGGGTGGAGGAAGAGTGTGGGATAGGCGGTAGTGGGGGAAAGATCGGCGGCGGCGGCAGAGGCGGTGGTGAGAACGAATGGGGCTGTTGGGATTTGTATTATCAGAAAATGATCGAGGCTAATCCTGGAAATTCACTTCTCCTCAGCAATTACGCGAGATTCTTAAAAGAGGTAACTAGGCTTACTATTTTTTGTTTTTTTTTTACAAAAGAAAGGTGAAGAGTTTTGAGTTTGATCTAATGTCGGAAAACCGGACAGGTTCGTGGCGATTTGGTGAAAGCCGAGGAATACTGTGGGAGGGCAATCTTGGCAAATCCAAATGACGGGAATGTTCTGTCTATGTACGCTGGTTTAATCTGGCAAACTCTCAAAGATGGTCAGAGAGCTGAATCTTATTTTGATCAAGCTGTTAAAGCCGCCCCTAACGACTGGTGAATTCCCCAAAACAAAATTCTAAACAATGGGTTTTGTCGTTTATGTTTAATCACACAATGATTAACGAAAATCTTCTTCCTTTTTTTTTTTTCAATGAAATTGCAGTTTTGTGCTAGCATCATATGCACGATTTCTTTGGGATTCTGAGGAAGAAGAAAAAGAAGAGGCAGAGGTTGGGGAAAATCTGATTAAAGGATCAGAGTAAAGCTTTTTCCACGGATCTCCTCCAATGCCTCCTCCTTTGGCTGCTGCTTCTTAAAACGCTTGTGACATAGCTTGTACTTAGCTTTCCGACTTTTGTTAATATACCTTCTTTTTTTCTTTGCCCTTTGTAGAAAAGAGTGAGAGTTGTAGTTATTGAGAACTCTGTTTTGCTGTACTCATTCTCGGAGCCGTATCATGTGGAAGGAAAAAATAAGATATGGAAATGAATTTTTCATTGGAATCATCCACTCTCATTCTTTTTAGTACCTCTCTGTTCATTACAATAAGCATGAAGGTTACTGAAGGAATTGGTACCTGGTTGTTGATCTTTCAAGATTGCTTAGTTCCTGCACATGAAATTGATTCCAAGTAGATCAAGATCAAAAGACAAAAGCCATTGTTTTTATCCTTTTTTTTTTTTTTGGAGTTTTCTGATTATTCGTTGCTTTTGGCTGATAATAAAGACAAGCTGCTTATAGATTTTGCCAAGCAACCTGGTTGCTAATAATAACATTCATTGAGGCTTTTTTTTTTTTATTGTGTTTTCACAGACTCTTAAGAGAACTTTCAGATTTCATCATTATGCGGAGTACATTAAGAGTTAACTTCAGGTTTGCAAAATCAGCACACAGAAGAGCAGAACTAACCTTTTCCTATTGCAAGGAAAACTAGCTACATGAGTTGGAGACTGGGGAAGCTCAGGAAGGATCAAATGATCCAAACCAGAGCCTATGAAGGATCAAATGATCCAAAACCAACCAAGAACAGAACCACTGACCAAACCAATTCCCAGGAACAAGACCAATACAATTGCAGATAATTCTGCTTCCGACACTGGTACGGTCTTGGGGCCTAGGATCATCAACACGCTTGTTAGGTATCCATTCGTCAGTCCGAGCAAAAATGTAAGAACCACTACTGGTATTTCACCCTTCAGCCACTTTGGTCCATGGAGGCAAGCAATGAAAAGTGGATAGAATAAAAGCCTAGATATGGAAGCCCATGTAGCTTTCTTAATGCTCCGTAGAACATATATTGCAGTCAGAGATTTTCCCATGAAATCTGCAACATTATACAACGTAATCAGCAACACAGGATACCATTCCTGAAGAAGCTTGGATTCCAGATTCTCGGCTATAAATCCGGGGAAAATAGATAGGGTCACTACGTATATCATGAGAATCCCGAGAGCTGGCCAGCAGACTTTTCTTGCCACGGTCCAAAATTGTGTCCTGGAGCAAAATATGTCATCTCCATGAAGTCTGTAATGCTGTTGCATAACTGGTAACTTGTATAGCAAATTGGAGCAAAGAACGCAGCAAAGCAGGATGGTGGTGCTGACTATAAAATAGAAGTGAGCACTTGCTCGGAGGCCCTGTGGGGTTTGTGGAAGTGAAGCCTTAGTTATTATTCGCAGGATGGAAACCAGTACACCTGTTATCAGATATGTTGAATTTAGTTAGATAATTGAGTCACATTGCAGATCGAGTAGCAACTGTTTTAGTCTTCCTACAGGAAACAAGGGTAATTGGAGCTAGAACAAATATCCTAGATGGTGATTAGAAGAATAAAGGACGCACTTGCATGGAATAAGTTCCATATTCTGAGGGATCTTTTTTGTACAAAAAGTGAAGATAAGCTACATTCTAGCTTAGCACATATGTTACCTTAGGCTGGTATGCACTTTTGAGCTTATTCAAAAGGAAAAAGAAAGAGCACCTAATAGAAGCGATTATTCCTCAATTTGTGTGGAACTACAACTAAAGCTTTACCCTTTTTTTTTTTAATTTCGTGGCAAAGGGTTCTTGGGCTTTCAGTACATCCCTATTCGGGCCTACCATAATTAGGATAAGAAACAAGTAGCTTTTCTTTTTTTTTTTTTAATCTTCTTCAACTGAAATAATTAATTTTCAAGGACATGTTTTCTCATATATGATTTCTGTAAAGTCACTTCATTCTTGTCATCGATATACTTAAAAACTGCAGATTGTTTAATTCAGATAAGCAATAGGAGAATCAGGATAGGAATTAAATAGTGAAAGTGTTACAAGGTACCTGAAGAGGCAGTTCCAGCAAAAATAGCCTGCATGTATTGTTTTGGAAGCTTTCCCGCTGATCCTATCAAGCTTCCTGCTATCAAGCCATCTGCTAAACCACATATTACAACTGCTGCAACTGTCACAAAATAGGTTGTATCCTGCCTTTCTTTCGACCAGCTGCTATGCCACGCCCAGTCTATAGTTGGAGCAACCATTAGGGAGAGAATAAACATGGAAAACCCCATGTTCATTCTAAATCTATGAGTAAACATTCTGCTGCAACAACCCGAACTCATCATAACAACTAAAACTAGCAGAGAAGAGCTCATATAACCTACAGAGAAAACCTTTTCAACATGCTTGTCAGGGTAGAGATAACCGAAGTAATCAACAGCTGTGATAAAAGCATTCCAAGGAAGCAAATTGCCTGCACCAAGCAAGAAATGGATTATATAAGCAATTTTGTAAATGTCCCTTGGCTCAGGCTGATCTGCTGAAGCCTTTGGGTTTTCCATTTTTTGCATTTCTTGCAGGCTTCAAGGTTCCACTTCTAAGTTATAAGTTGTAAATGCAGTCTTTGGTTGGAATTTAAGCTTTACAATAAGCGGTGCAGAGCATGAAGAATTGACTTGTTGATTAGCAAGGCATAAGCAAGCTAATTAAGCTGATCAAGCGCAAGAGCTTTTGTGGTATTTATATGCAAAACTTAGCTCCCTTCTGAGATTGGTTACTAAACATTGAACCAACTTGACTAACCAATAAAGCCGGAGCCACTTGGTTAGCTGACAGCTCTACCAATATTGATCTTGGATTTGATTGATGGGTTGGGATTTGGAATCGATGGGGCTCATGCTTGGAGAAAATATGCACTGTGTGGGGACAGCAATGGATGGCCGAGTTGGAAGTACCTTTTTCATTGATGTACTGCTACTACACATGGGGTAGCATGCCATGGTATTGTCAAGTTAATAATCAGAATCTTAACAGAACTACTAGGCGCTGGCAAATATCTGTAACCTCTTGAGACAATCATTTCACGACTTGCAAATAATCATTCACTTGAGAAAGCAGCTAAAAGAATCAATAATTGCACAATTATATATTTACATCTTCTTAGCATTCGAAGATTTGATATTTATCTAACTTTTTTCTCCTTAATTTTGACAATGCGAGATATCAGTGGCTGCTGAGTATGTTGATAGGCTGATATGAGATTTATTTGGAGAAGAACCAACTTGCTGTCAAGGGTCACGAAGTGAAAGAAGAGGTCCTTTCGGCAAGTTGAACAGGTCCTGATCTTTTGATTAGCCATCCATCTGCAGAACTTGATTCCATCTTTCAATGCCAAAAAATCTTCACCAGATAGCTTGATCACCCCCTCTTTTGACTTGTGTCGTTTCAACTATTAGCTCCTGCTATTATTCCCTCTCTTTCCCTCTGCTCTCCACCCCTTTGCTTCCTTACTTTTTCTTACTTTTAAGGAAGCTGATAAATGACAGCACATGAAACAGTCACCCATGAATTGTTCCTGCAGAACCAGCCACGCATAAGGAAAGAGCTTCAAGGTTTTTACCACATTTTTTGTTCGAAAAAGAAAACTTAATTGGAAACGATTTCTGCTTCACTGTTGAAAAATAATGCTATCTTGATGAATATAACTATGATTGCTACATATTCATGATTGTTTCCTACAAGAATTCACACTCATGACTGTGACAAAGACACTAACAGAGAAGCAATGCCTTTGGTACTTGCTTCATATGATACTCCCAAGTCTATCATAGGCCTGCACAAGCCAAATTCCACCGTCCATTAATTCAAAGTGTTAAGGACAAAAATTGGTTTGCTTTATGAAATAGTGGAATCATAATTAAACTTTTTTTTTATTTAATACTAGTTTTCAACCCAATACAAGATAACAAGCTGTTGGTAATTAGTGGTTACTTACTTTTTGACTTTGAAAGCAATTAACTTTTGGAACTTTATTCTCCAATCTGCACAAAATGCGAAAGGTATATTTATATATGGTATGCAATTCTGATGATTAAAGTGATATTTCTAGGCCTAACACAATGAATGATCTTCTGCTATAATATTCCACATTATTGTTGATTTTATGTTCGGATGCGAACAACAAATACATCAGAGTACCGGCATTTTAGCTATGCGCCTGCAGTGCTGGGCCACATGAATTACCTGGCAATTTGTTTCCTAGAACTTCTAGTTTTCTGCAATAATAGAGCTGCCAAACTGATCTTCAAACACAGTTTCTTGATAAAAACACTAATTTAAGCGATTGCCATGAAGCTGGAGCACCTGTTATGTCTGTAGTCTTCCTTTGGTATACAAAGACCGCAATGATGGAACTGAATGTTTTTTTCTTTAAATCTGAATAAAATGATCTATCTATGCCTGAAACTGTTGTCATATATATTTCTTAATGAGATGAAGCAGATCATGGTTTAATAATTCATCTTTTCAATGTTTGCCTTGATCATCATTGGCTTCCAGGGTTTCAAAGAGAGCATGTTTTGGCTACAGGAAATGGCTAAGTAAGGTGCATGATGATATTTGCAACAATTTATACTTTTACCTGCTCATTTGTTGAAACAAGGCAGGCAGTGATGCTGATATTTCAATCAACTTGTTTGGTCATGTGTTTCCAATTCCAAACGTAGCTATTAAATTCATGGTCATGGATCAAAGATAAAGCTGCTAGTCCCAGTTTAAGTGTCAAGTTACTATTATTCTCTCCCTGTAAAATCAGTACAGTTTATTAGAGTGTACAGCGCCAACATTTATATGCCTAATAACTTTTTTTTATCTATTCGATATAAGATTAATGCATCTTGTTTATTTTTTACTTTTGTCATGATTCCTACTCTGCTTACTTTCTTTTAAAGTGTTTGATGTAATCATATTTTATCCATCATATCTATTTTTGTTAGGACACTTAAGATGGAGTCAAGTGAATCAAAAATTAACTCAAATATCACTTGTCATATAATTATTGCCCTATTTTCATAAAATTAATTTATTAAAATGTGTAATAACAACGCTTATATATTCAGTGATTTTTTTTTTTCTCTTCAATTTGATATGAAATTAATGTGCGCTACTTACTTCCTTTAGCGTTTGGCATGACATCAGCACCTTCAAGGAAAACATTACTGCCCATGTTGACTACCTTCCCTTGCTTCTTCTTCTTCTTTTCTGAATTGCGATTCTAATTTTTTTTCTTTGGCTGGGTTATTGTTGTTGATAACGTAGCTCTCAAAACAAGTCATATATTGAAAGAAAATTATTTGTAGAAAAAACATGTCATAAAGAATTAAAAAAAAAATTTTTGTTGACTCTCTTGCTTATTTATTTGGACCGGTATAAATCCTTTATGATCTTATACAAATTTAATTATCTTCATAAATAGAAAGAAAATGACCAAAGGGAACCACTTCAATCTAGATAAAGATAAACCATAAATTAGATGTATTTTTATTTACAATTTCATACCAGTAGTAATTAAATTTTTTTAATAATATTCATATAAATTCTCAAATTTCACTCAATAATAATAAAAATAAGTTTTTCAACTTTTTACTACATGAAATTAGTAATATGAATTTTCATTTTATTGTAATTATATTTATTAAAAATAAAAAACGAAGGAATAACATTCGATTAACATAATTATTAAAATAATAATTTTGTAAATATTTTTCATTCAACTCATTGAAATAAATTTAAATAATTTATTTTTAAAATTATATCATTCAATTAAAAAATTTTAATAAAAAATTAAATATTTTACAATCTCAAGATTTTAATTATAATAGAATAAAATTTTATTACTTTAATTTAATATAATAAAAAGATTATTTTCACTTTTAGTGAAATTTTAAGAGTTTATCGGAATATTATTTAATTTTTTTCATTTTTTTATACGTCCCTTCATTATTGCAAAACGTGGCATGTTCCTATTGGTTTGGTGGATACCGGGTAGCTGCCGCACAATATAAGAAAAATAAAACCAAACTCGTAGCTATAAAGGAACAAAAAGAAAAAAAAAATGTCAATAAAGCGCCCTTCGCAGTAAGCACAGTGAGCCGATGCGTGATTGTGCGTGCTACCGATGCAAGACCCCGAAGCAACAGAGCGCGGCGCCGGCGGGAAATTAAGGAGAAATCCGCCGCGTCGACCGCTGGCCACACCTTACGCCCGCCCTCAGCAAAACCAATCCCTACGCGGTCGCTTGCTTTCCAAACTCGTCGATCCGGCTTGCCGTCTCATAGCCGGCGGCGCCACTAGAATCTTCCCTTCCCTCTTCTCGAATCCACTAACCAGCGATTACCTCCCAATGCCAGAACCTCAAACTCACAGTTAGTTGAACTTTTTTTTTTAAATAAAAACTACGTCTTTGTTAAAACTTTTATTTTCGTAGGAATTAATTAGGGTTTTTTAGGGATTGAAAGTGAGTAACTTTGTGGGTTATTGAAAGTGAGTAAATGATTTATTACTGTGATTAGTTGTTGAGGTTTGTTATTTCTGTTGGAAACAGTTAACTTGGATGAAGATATAGAAGAACATGCTAATGGCGAAGATCAAACTTGTTCTTCAATTGTAAGGGTTTTAAGATTCACTTTAAATTTTGTTAAATCACGTTGTACTGACTCTATCTAATCGAAAAATTGTTAATTTGAGCTTTCTTGATGGCTGACAATGAATGAATATAATTGTATTCTTTTTCTAGTTTGGAGTGTCCAAAACAACCGGTACTGGTGGAACAACTGATGGATCAAAGGTTGCTTCTCACTTTGTGGAAAACAGAAAGGACCATCAGGTTGACTTTAAGGATGATGGACTTTCAGAAATTGAAAAGCTGATGAAGGGGAAAACATTTTCGAGGTGACTTCTTCTTCTTGTTGTTGTTGGTGATGATTATACATTCTTTCCTTGGTTCATAAATTGTAAACTTGCTTGTTTCTTCCAAGATTACTGGTATAAATTTTGTCTAGAACATCAATTATAGCCATATCCTAGCCATTATGAATGAACTTGGTTTTGATGTTATTAATTAATGATCTTTTCATCTCTGTCTGTGCACATAATCATATCATGTTTGTCTCTAACTATCAGGGTGATCATTCAGTTAGTGCAAAGAGTTAATTATCTAATATTGGTTTTAAAATCTATAATCTAATCTAATATTGGTTTTAACATCTATAATCTATATCCAGGGATGAAATCAATCATCTGATAGGGATTATAAATGCAAGGGCTGTTGATGTTCCTAAAGTTGATCAAGAAAGTAAGGATTTAACCCTGTCTGCTGGAGGTGCCAAGGAACCTATAGTTGCTCAAAACCTGATGAGGCCAACTGAAGAAAAACAGGATGATTTAAATAAAGCTTTATGGAATTTGGCAACCCCAATTTCTAAGCCAACGGTGAGTGAAATCATCATAATGCACTTGTATTTTGGATCAATGGTATTTGCATGGAACACTGAGATTGAATGCTGTGGCTTCTGTTTGTCATGATTTTTGTGCCAAAATATGAAAAATTATTCCATTTGTAGTGAATTATAAATTAGACGATGTTGCTTCAATTCTTTATTTTCGTTTAAGTATCCGTCTGCATCACATATCCAACAGACATGGTATAGTGGTCCACCTTCCAAATTTATGGAAAAACTTTTAGAAATAATTGAACATGCCCGTGTCACACCCATACCCATATCCGACATTCACCCTGAGTCAGAGTAACATAACTTGTAGAAACCCTTATATTTTATTTTTAAAGCCTAAAATTTGAACTCAAATTGTTGTATCATTTATCACTTTAAGTAATGTAACTTAGTCTTCAATGAAATTGATGTAGGACAAGAAAGGGGGTTGCATCCAATTAAGGTAATTTATTTGTATAGTGACAAGAACTTGTAATTTTAGGGTTTAATTGGATAGGATAGTATAATTTATAGTCTTCTGGTTGGTTTAGAAAGGAAAAGACTTCACTTTGAGAGCAAAAGCAAACAAAATGGCAATAAATATCCCTGCTGATTTGGGTTGTCAACAGTACCATGGACAGTGGTTAGAGTTGAAGCTTGAAGGTTGTTGGTGTGCATTCAGTTAAGGTTTGATAGGTGGTCGTCTAGGCTTTTAATAGAATTATTTAGGGCTGGTTGTGAATTGAAACAATGCTGGATAGGAAAGAAAATAAAAGATCTAGCCTTCTAACCATAGCTCGAATACTTCACATTTTGGACTAGAAATTCCATTGCACAAATTGAAAAGAGAGAATAGGTGCTGTAAAATTCTCATAATTTCGTTCATTAACTTTAACGCATCAGATGCTTAGGTGCTTATTTGTGGATATCTAATAAGTGTACTCACTTAAGGAAGTAAAGATGCAATGCAGTGTATCATATAATTAGAAGTAGTTATGATATACTTGTCAAGTTAATAATTCTATCAAAGATATTAAATAGCTAACTTTTGAATAGGCTTGTGATAGATAAATGTTATTAAATGTTTTTGTGGAAGCTTTTGACATATTGAAAGGAGATATAAATGAGGGCTGGGCTCTTGAAAGTAAATTAAGATGAGTTACGACAGCTGTGGGTTGGTTAGGAAGAGGAAGGTTGGGTAGGATGAGCCTTGTGGGAACTGCCAACAAAAAAGGTAAGTCTCTTTTCCTCCCATGAATAGAAGTTTATTAGTATTATAGTATATCATTTTTTTTATCTCATCTCTCTGTCTCTGTCTGTCTCTCTCTCTCTGATACATATGTGGGTGCATGCACAGAGTTGCATCTTTTGGCATGCTCAACATATATCATGTATTGTTGAAATTTGATGTTCTGGTCTCCCATCATATCTTTTTTTTTTTCCTATTTATTTAAATTTTTAAATTCTATGAAACATTGCAGCTCCTAGATGAAACTGTACCTTCACCAATTGAAATTGCAAAAGCATACATGGCAAGCCAGAGATTAGAAGTAAACCTAGGTTCTAAGAGTATTATATCAAAAGATGAAAGACCAAAAATGCTTGGTGATGATTTTGCATCAGAAACATTTGTACAATTGCCTTCATCAAAGCCATCCGCATGTTGGCCAGGTTCCATGGTACAGGATCAGTGTGGTTATCTAACTCCACAAAGTCAAAGAGGCAGATTGGGGCTCCATAATATTCCAAGAACCCCTTACTCCAGATCTATCTATTCAAAATCTAAATCCAAGGTGTGGAATTTCAAAATATTGTGTTTTTTCTGTTATGATTTAAACTTGATTGATTGCATGAGAGATGATTTTTTTCATCTTCCTTGCGTGTAATCAGTTGGCTCATGTTCAAGATGAGGATAATGGTTTCCTGAATGGTTCATTCTCACCCTTGCAACATTCACAAACTCCTGTGTATGGGCAGGTAATTTTTCATGAGTAGCAGTCATAATGTTACTTCTGATTATGGTGCTTTCTCTCTCTCTCTCTCTCTCTATATATATATATATATATATATATATATATATATAAACACACACACACAAGCATATATATGCATTTGCATACATGTTTTTCTACTTCTTGGTATGCATGTCTCATGGTGAGGTCATACCATTTTCATTGTTCATTAGTGACATTGACCACTGCTTGGTAATTTAGGTGCATAAATACCTTAGTTAACACTGTCACATGTCAAGCAATGTTCTTGAAGTGCTTCTAAGAATGATATCTCGCTTAATTTAGAAGGCTAAAATGAAAGGAGATGGTTGAAGTGAATCAGATGACATATGCTAGTTATCCTAGAAGGATGAAGAAATTGTGGCTTGGGTTTTAGTACATTTTAAAATGAAATGTCATGCTGAAAATTTTACTTACATACTTTTGTTGTCCTCTTTCTCTTTTTAAAGCATAACTTTCTTGTTACATGGCTCATATGATGTGTGGATAAATAAGTTTTATGGCTTATATGATGCGTGGATAAATAAGTTAGTCGAGCTTAAGCTTATAGTTACTTGTCCTCTGAACAAGGATTTGGGGACAGAACAAGATTCCTATAACTTAGCTGTTAGCTTATGTGGAAATGAATAAACTAGGATTACAATTCTATTTGGAATGGCACTTTTCTAATAAGTAAGCTCCTGCTTTGGGCAATTAATCTAAATTTGTGCAAATAGCTTTACTCTCTTTATACCTAAGAAAAGAAGTAGGTTTACTCTTAGTAAGTCCTAAGGCTGGTTCACCCTTCTCTCTTGATGTGATATTTAGGCAAAGCACCAGGACAAACGAAACTGCTTACTGGGAGTTGGGAGGTGGGACCTTTATAAGATTTTGGAATCAACTTCCTTTTTCTTGTAAGGAAGAAAAAGAGGCTACATTTGGATAATGAGTACGGGGAAATTGAATGTTGAATCTTGACCCTTTTTTAGTATGGTAATAACTAGTAGTTCAAGCTTGAATTATATCCTCTCTATGTTTGTTTTCATCATGCTTCTTCAATGTCTTCCTGGTTACTTCCGATGTATGGATAAGCATTATGTTTTCTGATGTAGTCTCTATGTTTTGTCATAATCATTTATCTAAAATTTTATCCTACGAATATTTAGGCTTTGCTTGGTAGGAAGGATAGAAAGAGATAAGGATGAAAAAGTTTTTAATCCAATTATTAAGCTACTAAGTTGGAAAGTTGTTATGAAACCTAGCGATTAGATTAAAAAATTTTCTTCCCTCAATCCCTCTATCCTTCCTACCAAGCAAATCCTTAGGTTGGACAGAGTCTAATCTCCATATTTTCTTTACAAAGCTGGATATATACAAAATCTAAGGAACTATCAATTATGGTTTAGCCATTGCCTGTTTGCAACATGCTTTTTGATGAATTAAATTCTTATCAGTCCATCTGTTTGACATGACTCCTTTGCTTGTTATTTAAACGCATGATTGAAGTTGAGGAGCAACATAGTGTATGATGGGCATGGATCTGTGGGACCCATTCGCAGGATTCGACATAAGGGTATTGCAGAAACTCCATCCAAAGGATCTGTTTATTCTCATTTGTCATTAAATGGTCCTTTTCCAGTGGGAAATTCCAATGTTTCCAAAAGTCTATTTCCTTCTATCAAGAAGAATTTGGAACAAGGAGGCACCAGAAGCTCTTCAGTTTTTCAGTCAGTAGATGGTCGTAGAAGCTCTGAAATGCGTATCCCACCTGTTCATCCGCATTCCAGCCAGATGGCTAGGACAATATTGGAGCACCTTGAGCGAAATCCAGCTACTCCTAAGAAGTCTGACAAGTTAAAGATAGACACTTCATGGAAAAGATCTCAATCTTCGGATGCTAATGCTGCCATTTCAAAGGGTCACAATGGTTTGCCATATTTAGGACTTGATTCTTCTAAAAGCAGAGATCAAATCAACAATAGAAGTCCTGCTCAATGGAACGGAGATAGACATAACTCATTTTCTGTGGCTTCTCCAGAGAGTACCATTGAGGCTAAGAATGTGAACATAACAACTACTTCAGATTTAAAAGTTGACAACACTGTTACAATGTTTGGCAATAATGCAGGATCTTCACTAGATTTTGGAAAAACTCAGGATTCTCAAATCAAGACTGCACGGAAGGTATTTCATTCATCCTTATATTAGTGCTCTGTGACCATGCATGCTCTCATTAGGTCTTGTGCATTCTCTAGCAGTGTATTATTCTCATGCCTTAATGGTAATCATTTTGCTAAGTACTTTCCTAGTGAGTATCAGCTATAACAAGAAGCATTTAAATTATAGGCTCTCAGTATCTTTTAAGAGGAAATTGAACCTGTTTTGCCCTGTTTTTACGGAGATACTATATAGAAGATAATATATCATTTTCTATTAACAAGTGCACTATGGCCTATATATCAACATCCAAATTCTATCGTTTTGTTGTCCCAACTTCGAAAGTGAAAGAAGCGTGAAGTTCTTCTATCTATTTTTTCATCTCTCATATGTACTAAGTACATTGGTGATAAGATGTACTACCATTTTACCTCCCTTTTGTAAATCAACTTTGAAATTTGGTTGGGGTCATGAATCTGGTGATCATGATATGATGCAGAAGCAGTATTAAATCACTTAATCTATCACTTGTCAACTTACCTAGGTGTATCAAGTGTTTAAACTTTTGTTATATCTGTCATTTATTTTGTTTTTTTCCTTTTAATAATTCATGTGTACATCAAAGAATTACATAATAATCAATTTATTTGGCAGGATCTTTCAAAGGTTACTGATACTACTGTGTCTGAGGGTCTACAAATACCTTCATCTAACTCCTTGGGAAATAAACCAGTTTTGGCTTCTATTTCTGTCTGCAAGCATGAGCAAAGGTGGATGTTTACCACGGATAATAGCAGTGGTTTCACCTTCCCTGTTCCTGCATCTTCTGGCGTGTCTTCTGAACCTCCAACACCATCCATCATGCCAACGCTATCAGGTAGCAGTGTGCGTCAGCCCAAAGAGGACCACACAGGACCTTCATATAGTTTTGGTTCAAACAGATCATCCCCTGCCCTTGTTTTTTCTTTCCCATCGACAAGAAATGCCCCTAACCATGTTGATGCTTCAGATATTACTTTCAACTTCGGATCTGATAGCTCATCAAGAATATCTTTCAGTTCAATAGGAAAAAACGCCATATGCTACTGACACAGAAATGATATATTTTTTTTCTTTTTCATTTAACCCCATTTAGACTGTAGTGAGCTGGAGACCTAATTTCATCGGTGAGAATCTCAATTAGTTATGCATCATTGCCTTATTATAGGAGATTAGGAGAGAGAATTGTCTAAAGCTGAAACCTGGATTCACTTAATTTTTGCACGTACGCTTCTTGGTTTCTTGGTTCATGATTACGGCAAATTGTATTGTCATTAGTTTGTTCATGGGTAGGTCGGCGGTCTAAAAATGATCAGGTTGATAATCTTTATTTTAGGAGCGATGGAAAGAAGTACCCGTTGGAATTATTTCGGTGACTTGATTCTTTATGAATATGCGGTTTTCTCCCCTTTCGGATAGAGGAGAGGACTATAACTTAGCCTTGTTCCCATTTTTTTGGCTTTTGGATCTTCCCATCTGCTCTCTAGATAAGAAAACAAGAAAACAAGACCACCTTGGATGATTGGAGTTGGACGTGGAATAATTCGTGTTCACTCATTACAGAAATTACGTCGAAAACCCAAAGCCAAGAAGATTACCGATCGAACAGGATGCCACAGGAATCACATGCTGAGGTGTTGCTCCTACTTTCAACAACAAAGAATTTATCCCTGTTGGTCCCTACCTTCAATGAAATCAATGTGTAGGAAGATCAGACTGTGAAAAGACCCAAATTCATGTTGAGAGAGAAAGGGGGAGAATACCAGGCCAAAGTCCAAAATCAAGAGTCGGTGAGTTGGGTGCGGGGGGTGCCCCATTTGTGTGGGGAGCTAGTCAGGCTTGAGAGGTGAAATGACAATGAAATGAAAATGAATGCGTGCACCAGACATGAATTTGACATTTCAGATTCTTATGTCAGAACTGCTGCAACTCTTGCCCTTTCGAGTGTTTTTTCTTTAACTCCTCACTCTCACCACCACCGACCATTGCCCCATCATGCTCTTATGTACAACTGTTCTTTGTTCATTTTTTCTTTGGATAAATAAGTAGTGGAAGTAGCAAGAAAATCCATTTGCCAGCTTGGAATCTTACTACAATCCAATTGCTGACCCCGAGGGCATTCAATCATTATTACCAGTATTTACATTTTACATTTTACATGCACTTCGTGCTCTCTAGCTGTAATTGAATTTCATATTTTTACTCTTCATAGTTTCTTCTCATTTAAACTATTTTACCGTTTTTACTCCATTTTTGTTCTTTTCTTTCCATTTTCTTTGACAGAAATAATAAAGCAACCAGACTATGCTCCACAACAACCAAGTATACAGTTTGGTTTCTTTGATTAGTTTGAAAACATCCTAGTTTAGATCTCTATATATCTTTGTACGTACGTGCTGCTTGTTTGTTCTTTCCACACAAATCTTATCTAGTTAACATATAAGCATGCATATTTTTTGTCAATATGATTCAATTTAACTTGCAGATATCATATAATTAGTGACAAGTATTCTTATTTTCAATGGACTTTTACTTTCTTTTAATCATGATCTGTGCTGTCAAAAACCATACTTACTCCCCCCTTCCCTTTTTATTTTACAAAAGAAACATCAGTTTGGAAATAAGAAAATGGATCAACGTATAAACAAAAGAAAAAAAAATTCATGCACATACCATTTCAGGTGTGTGTGTGTATGTATATATATATATATATATATATATAGGATCATGTCATGTCTAGATTTTTTACTAATAAAAAAATTAGATTCGTGAAGGTTAATTATGCAATGAAAAAGAAAAGGTGGGTGTTTATATATAGGTGTTCAATGAAAGTTTGAACTTTCTTCTTGAGAATAGAGCAGTGGGGAGACCACATTTCCACTTCACCAGCTGTTTTGAGAGATGTCCTAATTGCTGTCTCTGCATAATAATGCATCTCCCATTTCATGAATCTAATGATACTGTTCACTAAAAAGGGTAAATTTAATGATTCTAGTATAAAAGTTTGTTTGAAATCACAATTACACGTAAAAACATATTTCAGTCAAACAGTTGAATGCCAAAATCAGAGGCTGGAAATATATTTTTATATATGCAAAAGCGTTTGCTCTATAACTTTAGTGCTTTTTGATATAGATTCTGTGGATGTTGAGATGAAATGGCAAAGGAGCAAAATGGTGGTCCAAATACTACTTTTCACAGAGTTTATGGCTTCTGAGTTGTAATCTCTGCGTGGACAGACAGACTTTTCTTGCATATTTACTTTTTTGAAAGCAAAAAAAATTATTAAATACTCAAAGGAGCGTTGTATCACAATTTTTTTGGGGTAAATTACAAACATTACCCTGTGAAATTAGAGGTCAAATAAATTTGTTGTCCCCGAGATTTAAAAATTGGCACTTTATTATCTTGTATTTTTTTAATTTTCAAATCATTATCAAAGAAAAAAATAATATACATGATAGTGTTAAAGCGAAGGTAAAGATAGCAAAATAATTCGTATTCGATGATTTCGACTCATCATGATTCAATAAAATTAGATATTTTTTTTTAAATTAAAGGTCAAATTAGGTCAGATTTTTTTCTCTAAGGTCGGATTTTGCTCGGAGTCGAGTTTTAGGTTGTACCATCCTTATCTGATATATTTTTTATTATTTAATTAATTTTATATTTATATATATTATATTAATAAAATTATTATTTAATATTTTAATTTAAAATATTAATTTAATACAAATATTATATTTATGTATAATTAAGAATTAATTTATATTAAAAAATAATATTTTACAAAATATTATTATTAAAATAATTTTGGATTGGGTCAATTGTGATTTATGAATATATAAGTTGAATATAACAATAATATTTAATATCAAATCGTGTCAGATTTAAATATAAATAAATTAGAGTTGAGTTTAGTGTTTGGTAAGTGAAAAATTGTCTCAATTTCGCCCATTATCATTTTTAGTCATAAGAACAGAAAATTCGATAAAAATAAAGATCGATAAAAAAATTTTAAAAAAAAGGAAAAAAAGTAAATAGTTTTAGCTTCAAAATTAAATCGTGTTACTTTTTAAACCATATTAGTCCTATTTATTTCATCCTAAACCACGTTATGTGCTTTTTGTAATTATCCTATTTTTTATTATTTAAATTTATTTTTTAATTAGTTTTTTTTTTAGAAAGTAAATAATAAGCTATAAAACAACAACAAAATAAATTCTTAATTTCTTTTTGTTTTATTATTTTTTTAAATCACAAAAGAGGTCAATCATATAAATTTTCTTAGTGATTTTCCTTTAGAGCATTATTAAGCTTAATAAGTCCAACTAGAAAAGTTAAGACAATACCAACTACTATTTTCCAACTAGATGATAAATATGCCAAGTGCTAGTGTCACGGGTCGAGACTTAAGTATCGAACTCACGCGATTCCGGGATCCGGGCATCCCAGATCAGCCTAACCACCATGGTTCACACTCTTGTGAGGTATTATCCGCTCTAGTCCCTTTAGCCTCACGATTTTATCCTACAAACAAGAGAGAGGTGGTGTGAACCCTTTTATACCTCAATGACCTCTTATTATGTTTGATGTGGGATTCATGACTCTTTCTTAGATCCGTGACATTAGTCTATAATATATTATCTTCTAAGGAGTATCATGTTTAACATTAATTGATTTCTCCTAATTATGATGCATGAAAGAGTTTGTAAATAGATATTAGGCTAATTTTTAATTGTATTTAACTAGATCAATATTATACATGGATGTAACTATATTAATTAACAAAATTAGCAATATATGCATGATTAATGAAGCTCAAAATTATCAATACTAAGATTTAAAGTATTCTAATTACTATTTAAAAAAATATACTTTTTTAGTATCATAGCCTTAGAATAGGGAAAGAAATTGCAGGTTTTGAAATTTAAATTTCAAGCTTGTTGGATATATCACATTTTTAAGAGTAACTATATGAACTAATTAAGTTAAATCTTGGGTTTAAAATATTTTAATTATTAAAAATTCTGATTTTCGAAAGGAGAAAATATATATTGTAAAATTTATATTCCTGGAGGCTAAATATGAATTAACAACACAGTGGAATTTATTATTTTTAGTGATTATATATATAAAAGTTCACTTGAAAAGTGGATGGGATGATGAAGACAACAAGGGAAAGTAGCTCAGTTCAAGTAAATAACATGTTCTAAACAACTTAAAGACAAAATAAAACTAAGGAATGTAAATTCATGTCACTTAAAAACACATTGGATCAAGAACTTTCTTCACTTCAAACAATAGACTGCCTTCACTGGGAAAGGGTATTAGTTGAAATCTTAAACATAATCACTTGTTCAGCAGTGCAGTTCAGCAGTGCAGTCCTTGACACGAGATGCTTATCAGAAGCCTGTAAATATTTAAAATGAACTCAATATTTAATAATTGAATATCATTAATTAAGAAGGCATTAAAAAAGTTAAAATAAGTAAAAGTTTAATAAAAGAAAATAAGATAAAAAGGGGTTATTCAATCCTTCTCATCAATTTATATATATCCTAAAGGTGGTTCAAGGACCATTTGTGAAGTGTTATTTCAATATTTATTGCAGTTGTTTCAAGTATAAAAGAGATAATTTCTATCTTAATCAAAGTTAGATTTTGTTCTCAACTTTCCATAAAGAGAAATTTAAGTATATACTGTATAGAAACTGTCAGCAATTGATCAATTACTTACATCATCCCAGCTTAGTTTGATTGTTGGTTTCCAGCATCAGCCCAAAATGGATATGAGGGAAGTGCGCCCACTATAGAAATAAAAACAGGTGGTCAATAACCAAAAAGATTTTATATGAAATCTTAAAGCTCTGTCTTGTCTTTTGATCAAGTTTTTGCAGCCTTGTGAACTTACGTTCTTAGCAGCAGTGCTGAATGCTTCCCTGTGGCTGATATCGGGATTGTTGGCCTTGATCCTTTGGATCTCCTCTCTACATTTAATTTCATACTTTTTCTTATAAATAGTAATCAAATGGTAATCAAATAGTAAAGACGCAATCATATATACGAATTAATAATATTGTGCTACGTTAAAGAAATTTATTACAGTTTCATACCTTATGAATTGATTGTATGCAGATGGTACTCGCTGCCTCTTCTCGGGAGCTGAAAATGAAAATAACAATTCATTGGTAATGAATTTATATACGAATGAAAAGAAAAACAAAGAAATAATTGGAAATAATCTCTTGATCACATAAGTGTGCATGCCAGCAGATACATAGAAAAAAGGAAAAAAGAAATGATAAATGATGTAGAACAAGGCATGTTAACTTACGTCGATTCACTACCCTTTCCTCAGTGGCATGGTTAGAAGGAGCTCGCATTGAGAACTTACTGTTGCATTTGGAAGAGGAACCCAAATCGGTCCTGTAATCTTGTGTTACATAATTGGGTGCCTAATAAAGTTTGAAAAATTTTAAAGAAAATATCAGATCAATAACAAAAGACAATAGTTTTGATTACAATCATTTGTCAAGTGAAATTCTCCATCAATCAACAAAGATAAGTCATGTTTTCGTTCTTGGGGTCCTTTCATTTTATGCTAACATGGGGATTTTGCTTTCCTCTTCAGATTTTTGTAATAATAGGAGAGGGAGAGGGAAAAAAAAGAAAGAGAAAAAGATAATGCTGAGTAGACTGAAATGATGTTTTGAGAGAGAGAAAAGGAGCAAAACCAGCATTGAAGTGACTGAATCAGTTAGAATTGAAGCATCATTTAAGATAAATAAAGGACATAACCCAGACAGCCAAATCCTTAAAACAAGGGCCCCTGAATAAGTTTCTAACCAAAGAATCTCTCTGAAACCCCTTCTCCCTATCAGTTTCCTTTTCTTTGTTTTACATAGTTGAAAACAAAAGTTCTCGAAAAGAAACATTAAACCTAAGAACCCTAACTCACATCTCAATCAAATCAAGCTGTCTAAAGCAGACCTTAAAAAACAAAAAAAAAAAAAGTGACCCAAGAAAGTGTTTGCAAAAAAAATCTTTAGAAAATGCCTAAGCTTTTGATGGGTCAGGATAAAAATATACTTAGTTTACGTATATAGGCCTCCTGACTCACGGCCGCAAAATCCAGCTCTACAGAAAAAAGGAATAAAATAGTTTTTGATCATGGGGGCTGCTAGGGTTGCCAGTGACTGGAACTATTCCATAGAGAAAAACAAAGGTTTAGAAATTCTCCGTCTAGGTGTTGAAAAGCTTTGATTTCTGTTTTAAAAGAAAATTTGTTTACTACTCCGAGAAGCCCAGGTTTCAACGGCTTTCAAGAGCCTGAAATAGACATATTATACTAACAAATTATTTCGACCACAATCATATCACCTGAATATCTTGCCATGAAAGTGACTGAAATGCAGCTGCCATGTTCACGGACCATAGATTGGTGCAGTGCCCGCATCGGACGGTCACAATATCAAACAGGCTACTGCATGGAACGCTCACCTGTGCATTAATCCAATAATTAGCAAATATTTCTTCCTCAAAAAATTATTAATATTGTTGCAAAGCAAAATTCAGTTGTAAGTTGTAACAGCAAATGAAAGAAAATCCCATATCAGCTAACATCCTAAAAAACTTGGGATTGAATCAGCTTAGAAAAAAAAGGGCAGGCAACAGAGAAGAAGGTGACTAGGTTAGTAGAATATCGGCCAAGGAAGAAGCATAGACTTTGTGAATTCATGGAGAGAAGAAGAAGAAGGGAAATGGGTTTTTTTTCCTTTGATTTTCCTTAGATGGAAAGAAGATAGTAATACTAAAATTATCGGTGCATGGTAGGTTTCTTAATGTGTTTGAGTAGGGTGTTTTCTGGGCAATGATCGAAGCTAATGACATCTTCATTTTCTTTTCCCCGTTAGCTAAAGAAACTGAGTTAGCAGAAAGATCAGGTTATGGCTGTATTTTAGCAAGGGAAAGGTATGTCACAGCAGTAGTAAACCAAGGAAGTTGAGGAGTTGTCCTCATCAGATTATCAACAAAACGCCTGTGATTGAACTTTGGACGTTAAAAAAAAAACTCTTTCTTTTATCATTATCATAATTAAAGATAAGTAATCTCTATGCCCTTCCCTCTCCCTCTCCCTCTTTCTCTGGTCTTTGCATTATGACTGCAAAAGAAGAAGAAAAAGAAAAGTCTAACGAAATCAATAGATTTCAGTCAAAGAACACAGAAGCTCAGATCACAGAATCAAAGACAGCTTTTATCGGGATCTAAAATGTTCTTTCTTGTAAGATATACATGGAGAAAGAAAATACCAAACCAAAATCAAAACATGCACAAACAATAAGTTACTGGGCTGTTGATAAGAACTGTGACTAATATTAAAAAAAAAAAGCAGATCCCTATGTTAAAAGAAGAGATGTATCAGATCAGATACCGCAAGAACTATGTTGCAAAAGTTGCACGGGATATAGCAGAGCTGCTCAGGCACAACATCGATAAAGCTCGACATGTCTTTCAAGCAAAAAAATCAAATCAAAGCTTAGAGCTACCTCTCCTCAACGCCAAGAAGAAAGCAACAAAGAAAACCAAGAAAGAAAAGGTAAAGAAAAGAGAACCAATAGCTCTTCTGCAACAAGTAACAAAAACCACAAGAAGAAAGCAACACTTGGTAAACAAAAAAAAAAAAAAAGGGCTTTTATTCCCTCAACTCCTTGCTTTAAAACCGGGCTATGTATCACAACAGTAAACTATTGTTCTTTATATGTAGAAAAAAATTTATTCGGAGAGAGAAAGGAACCAAAGAGGTAATATAAAAGAAAGAGAGGCCAAGCCAATATGGTGGAAAAGGAGGTTGAATTTAGGAGTGCCCACGGCAGGTAGCAAATGTTGGGACCAGGAAGGGAAAATAAAGGGTGGTTTCTTATGGGAAACCGGATTTAGTTAGAGATGTAAAAGCGGTTCAATTACTTGCTACTGGTCAGTTAAAGAAGCTAGGGTTTGAAGAAAAAAAGGGGGTAAATTTTGGCAGCATTACCAATCTTGTCCAGATTATGCTTGTTTGTTGCTATTATGATGAAATGAATGTGACCCAGCGGACCCTGCTACAACCTCAGCGGACAAGGAAGGCGAAATTTTTATCTCATTCCTTCTTTTCTTTGACTATTTCCATTGCTTTTTTCTTTTTTCCCAAAAGAAATCATCATTGTAGGTATTGAAATTCAAACTTTAAACTTGCTATATATCATTTTTTGCGAGTAACTGCATGAACCGAATTAAGTTACGGGTTCAACTATAAACATTATTTGATGCACCTAGTATTAATTTGTAATCTTTCCGAATATTTTTAATTTAGTGACAGAGATTATAATGACAGGACATCAGGTAAATTTAATTGTTTGAAACTTATTAGAAATTTACTTATAATTTAGTCTGAAATGAGTGATAGTTTAATCATGAAGCTAAAATCGCAATTATATTATTGTATCATGTGGTGAGTCTTTGCTTATCTACGACAATGGGGGGGGGAGGTGATGGACCCTATTACAGTTGGAATTCAAAAGGTGTTCAGTAAGCAAGGACTGCTCATGAAGCAAGTTGTCTTAATTTGCTGTAAATATATAGAAAGAGAAAGTTTTACTGCTATGATCTTTATAAATAGAGGGCTTCGATGACATCGTTCATTGTTCTATCATTGCTTCTAGTACTTGGACTGTTGGCGCATGCAGTAAAAGATATATAGTTTTAATTTCATGTTGAATGAGGTTTTATTGTGTAAAACAGAAAGTGACTTGAACTTGAATTCGACATATATTTTGCATTGGTTTGTAGTTTGAACTTTGAACCACACACTTGTAGAAGGAAAAATAGTATAGTATAGTATAGTATAGTATAGTGTATATATATATTATTTTAATGTGAGGGAAATTACTATAAAATTTTAATATGGCTATCAATTGTCTTGACTTTTAATAAAAAAAATGAGAATTAAATTCAATAAAATTGAGTTCAAGATATTAAAACCCTTGAATATAGATAGTAAAGAAATCAAATTCTTCCTATAATTACTAAATAGACATGTGATAATCTATAAATGAATTCATTTATAGAATTTAAAACCCTCCAATATATGAGAGAGTAATGTTATGTATATATAGACATACAAGCTGCCGCATGAAAAAACACTGCCAATTTATTAAAATTAGATAACAAGAATTTAATTACTTTAATTGTATAATTAAACAGAAATGGAAAGAGAAATAAAATAAAAATTCAAAATTTAATCCAATTAATTCATACAATAATTTTAAAAAATAATATTTAATATATTTAAAATTTAAATTTCAACACTTATAATTATTTTTTTTATTCTTAAGTTGTGATCACTTTTATATACAAAAATAAAACTCGAAAAAATTATTTAAGGACGTACTAAAAGAAGATGAGAAAGCAGAAAATTATTAGGATCTCTTCGTTTGTCCACTCAGGCAACTTGATAATTATATAGGCAAAGCAATGCTGGTTAGGGTTGAGTCCCTTTCGATGTCTGCTGCATATGTACTATTATACTATATCTATATGCTTTCCAATCCTTTTTTGTTTTTATTGGTTAGATTTTTACTACTATATTCTTTTAGTTTTTGAATTGTTAATATCCTAATCTATTTCATGCTTGGCCGTAACATATTTAGTGCTATGTCGTCAGGTGGACTTTGACATGGTATTTTTTTAGGCAAAAAACTTTTAATCAATCAAATATTTACATAAGTAGAAGCAATATTCAATCATAAATAAATTATATAAAAGATAATAATTTAATATGATTTAATCCAATTTTAAATGGCTTATTTTAAATCCAATTCATTAATAAATAAATTTTTATAATTGTAAAATTTTAGAGTTAAAAAGATCACAAAAACTCTTTATAATCCCAAAGCTCAATTACATTCTTTTAGGACTCTAAATGAACTAAATATGAACGAATGAATGTATATTCGTAATTTATTTCATTTATTTTTAGAGATGTTCAATCTCAGTTCATATTTGATAAGAAAATTGTTTTGTTTTATTTATTTATTTTTAGAGATGTTTGGGCTCAGTTCATGTTTGATAAAAAAATTGTTTTGTTTGTTCGAGTTTGATTCGCTTAAATGATAAGATATTCGTGTTCGATTCATATTTGATTAAATTAAGCTAAATAGCTCGTTCTTGAATATTAGACAAACATGTTCACTAATACATATAAACAAACATGTTCATAAATAATAGACAAATTATAACCAAACAATTTAAACAAATAAATTCTAAACAAATCTAAATGAATATAAAAGAAATGAACCTTAAAATAGAATTAGAATAAATGACAAAAATATAATTTTATTAATGTTATTATAAACGAACAGTAAACGAACAATAAACAAATAAGTTTTAAATGAATTTGTTCATAAATATAAATGAACTAAATAAACTTATGTTCGTATTCGATTTGTTTAATAAATGAATATAAAAATACTGTTCAAAATTATTTGTTAAGCTTACTAAACTATATATTTAAGAACAATTCATCAAAATCTCTGTTTGTTTACACTTCTACACGTTTGTAATAACCCACTCGATTAACTATTTTTTTTGTATCTAACTGTTTTGAGATTATTCAACTAAAAATAAAATATGAGATTCAAAATAAACCCTCGATACTTATAACTCCAATAAAATTCTCATGTGAGATTAAGAGATTCAAAGATAATTCTCAATAATTTTCTCTAAACTTTGTTTAAGAAATGAATAACTCAATGTATTGTTATCTGATTAGTAATTATTTTTGGCTGGAAAAAATATACTAATATTTTTTAATTTTCTTAACAAAAATACTTGAATATGGTTTTTTTATTAGGTTTTGTTTTTTTATATATGGTCAGTAATTTTTTTAACTCTATAAGTAGAGTTAAGAGTCAAAACATGTCTCACTTAATTTTTTTAATTAATTTTTTATTTTTTAATATGACTTAAGGGATATATACTATCATCCTGCTAAACTGGATAAAATCCTTCTAATCACTGAATTATTGAAATCTTTACATCATTACAATGTAGAGAGCTACACATTTGTAAAATGAGCACCTAACTTATCATCTATTTGTAAAAGCTTGAAACTTTTTCCTTATTATTTTTATTGTGGATCTTAATTAATTCACATAATACAACAAATTCAATACATTAACACCAAATGTTTTGAGTATGGATATGCAAGTAAGAAGTGAAGCACTATGAAATAATGGATAAGCCTTTATTTGTTACCACCTTTTTCCTATTGTTTCATATATACTTTTAAACTCGAAAAAGAAAAAAAAAAAAGAATTTGGGTACTTAGCTACAAGTTTTATTTCTTTCCCAAAAATAAAATGTGAAATATTTCGCATTGCAAGAAGTAAAATCACATGGCAAACAATGTCAATTATATGAAATCTTTGATTAAATTTACCTTCCCTCTACTTTGGGAAAAATATAGCCCCATAAAATATTAAGTGGATTACCTGAAATAAAATGTTAGGTTTAAGGATTAGAGTTAGAGAAAAGAGGTGAAATTCACCAAATTGGGGCATTAACCTTTGTTATTAATTAAATTGAATTTATACTTAATTTATCCAAATAAATATGCTTATAATAAACATTGCAATGCACAATTAGTCAGTGTAAACAATGAAATTAAGTGACACATATATAACATATACCTTCTATACTTCTATAATACACAAAATTATGTGACTCACCTACAAGAAAAGAGCAATAAATTGGTGAGTTGATCTTGAAAAGATTTGCTTGGCGAAAGAGCAACCTCTCAACCTTCTAAATTTGCCTGTCTTCATTTGGTTTAATAATTAATAGGACAATAACACACGCACCTAATTTCTTTTTTCCCAAAATTATGTAATCTTTATTTTGTGGTCCTATCGAGTTCGTAATACTCTTTGGTTTTCATTTGTATGTGGGTAATTACAATTAAACAAAAAATATTGTAATTATAAAAATTTATATTGAATGGATCTCACTGGAATTGATATTTAAATTCAATTAATTATGCAGTAAATTCAATTGTACCATGTGGTAGAATCCAAACTCTCATTAAGATTATTCAAAAAGTTGATTAAATCCAAATAAAATTTGAAGATACGGTTGATCGTATTATAAAAAAATGGTATTAATATTGATTATTATTTGCAAGTGAGATCCACATTTCATTTATATGTGGTTAAAACTTAAAACATATAAAAGGACAATAAGTAAGAGATTTAATTTACTTTTCTTCATCTTTGGATATTAATTGCTATAACTATTAATTGTTAGATCTTAATTGTATAATTAATTATTTGTTTCCAGTTATGTACTTTTGCTTATTTTTATTTTCATTTTATACATTATATTCAGGTCTCCTCCTTTCATGGGTAGCTGCAGAAATAAATTTCTCTAAATTCTGTTTGTCAACCTCAACCGTCCTAGCTAATAGCTGCCACCAGAATCGTGGAAGAGCTTCTCTTAAAGGGAGTCAGCTGCATCTCCATTTTCAATATCTCCTATGGAAAATTCCACGTCAGGATTAACGACATTATATAAAATATACAAATATATATATATATATATATATATTGGTTTTGGTTATTAGTATGTTCTTTCTTGGTACGTTTTCATTTTCAAATAAGTAATGATGAAATTGTAATAATAAAAGTGAAAGAAATTAGATCGTACCATGAATTTCAGGTCATTATAATCCTGTACTTAGGTTATTTTTTATACAAACATTAAGTACATTTACAATGACAAATTAGAATATTTATTGGTTCGATTAATTTTAAATTAAATTATTTTTATTTTAAAAATTAATTGATCAAAATTAATTTAATTGATTCGATTAATTTTTACAAATTAAGAAAAAAAAAGGCATTGTCCTAAGGGATAATCCAGATTTAAAGGAAACCCAATGAGTTACCGGTGTCGTGTGAATAGGCTTTGTCCATGCACAAAAGGAATGAACAAGAACCAGCCAACTATAGTGCCTAGTGGAGCCTCATGTCTATTTAATGGTGTGGACCGAAACTACAACATAAAAGAGAAAATTGGAATTTTTTTTTTCTTTTTTCTTTACTTTTCTTCTGTTCTTCGAAAGAAATAGGTAGCAGCTGGAGCACTTTAATTTTGTCGGGTTGAGGAAAAGCAATAGGATTAATCATTGCAATTTTAATGTATAATTTCTTTCAATAATTAAGGGCATGTTTGGGGTAGCTAATGCCTAGATTTTGAATCCAGCTATCGGGCATGGACCACAGTGTTAAATCAGAACTCACAAGGCTCTTTTTTATGAAAGAGGCAATTAATGATCTAAAAATAATAATAAAATTATGAATACTAAAATTTAAAATCTATACTTATTAACTGTTAATTTTTAAAAATAATTACGTAAGATAATAATTTTGTTTTAAAAAAAAGGCTTTGGCCTCCTTCACTGCAACAAAACATAAATGGTATCTTCAAAAGTGTGAAGGTTTTTTTGACTTTAACCAAGCTGCTGCATGTAGTACGTACTACTTTGAAGTTAGGAAAAAGCTATAACAAATTCAGAATCTCATGTAATATCCAATATTATATTATATATATGAAAATAAAAATATATATGTGTATATATTTAACTGCCATTTAATGGCGAGGACTCTGCAACTCTCTGCCTGCTTGGTTGGCCGTGCTAGGACTCTTTCCATCCCATCTCATAGGCCTGAAAAAGTTTTTTCCTTCATTCTTTTCGACCAACTTACTCCTTACCTGTTCTGCAATTAATGGTAATATTTTATTACGTTAACATTCTCTCTTTCATGGACATTTTTGCCGGCAGGTGACATATATCATATATAAATATATACAAAACTAGTTTTAGGTGGAAATATTTTAGCCAAGTGGCATGGAACATCAAGGATAGTGCCACGTTACCAATAAGAATTCAATGTCTTGATCCTTCCCTTCCCTGGAATTGCTATCTCTATCTTTCTAGCTAGACAATGATTTTCAGTTACAATGTGCATATTTATATATTGATCGCATAAAAAATCCAGTGACTCAGTCAGTCTGAGAAGAGATTGATAGGTTTATCCTCGTGTGGAATGCTGTGTTCTTGAGGGTCAAACCTCATGTGACTAGCTTGATATAGATAGTTCCTCAAAGGAAAAGAGGGGGTTTCTTTTTCTTCATATGTTCGTTTGACTCCTTCAATAATTTTATGCCAATAATTCACAAGAATTAATGGTTTCATTGATTATTAAAACATTTGATTTTGGCATGAAATTTAATGAATGTTTCCAAGCAGTGCAAGATGGATCGATATATATATATATATATTTGCAATTCATCCGTTTATAATTCAATATATGTCAGTGCATGTGCTTAATGTGATTCAGAAGCCTCAATAATGGCATATGGACCCAGATATGCTTCCTTTTTTTTCATGTCTCTGATGCTTGAAAAACTTCAGCACAATTCCAAATCATCCACCTATTTATAGTTCATAAAATATCAGCGTCAGACAAGATAAGCTCAACACGGAAGGACGACAAACTACCAAAATAGTTACCTAGATACTGAAACAGTGACTAATTGAAAACGAAAACCCACTGCTTCTTTTAGTTAAAAATGAAAACCATCAATTAAGAAGCATAATGTATGTTCTGTACTCGTACATTTTTTTATAGTCCACGAGCTTTTTAATGGACGGTTGGAAATTTGAGAGTGAATGATCAAAGAACTGAATTTCAGGAGTGATTTTAATTCCACAACATAAAAACTTTTACAAGTTTGGTATGTTAGGCACTATAAAGAGTTTTTAATGGGCAATATTAGACATCTTACTGTTAGATATCAAAATTTTCAACCGTAAATCAGCACCTATTTTTATTGATATGTTCAATTATATTATGGCACTTCGAGATCATATTTATCTTTCTTAAAAATAAGGGAAAGAGAATTGTAAGAGATGGGAATTGAACCCTGGTCTCGAAAGAATTCATTTTCTAAAAAAGTAGGTGAATCATTTAGGTTAAGTTTCAAGTTTGATTTTGCAGATTTTCAATTCCAATTTCTTTAATACAAATAATAAAAAAAAAAGGTGAGAATAGGATAAGAATTCAGTTCCTTGTACTTGTAATCTCGTGTCTTCTAGGCAACTTGGCATATGCAAATGGCTTCACCACCAACCAATTTAATGAATGGATCATGGTAGAACTTTTTTTCTAAGTATAGAAACCCCCATATATCAAAACAAAGGGAAACTTAATTTGTTTATGAACATTAATTATAGATTGGACACAGATGAGAAATATCAAATTCAGTAATTGTTCCACCTACATCCGCTGTGCTTTTATTAAGAATGAAGTACAGATGCAATTCTCTTGCAACCTTAATTGTTTGATGAAACAAATCGTTGATAAAATTAAGTTCTAATTCTCCATTTTATATATATATATATATATATATATATCTCACCTTTCTTTTTCCCTCGTATGAGACCGCCTGTAGATATTGGCTGTTGCCTTTTGTAACTCTCTCATGTACTCTTCCGAATTGTAGCCTTTATATTGTAAGCTGAATCTAATCAATCAAAACCTGAGATCCGTGGAGAGCACATTCAATTAAATAGTAACTTTCTCATGTATTCTCCATTTTAAGTAGCGAAGGAATTTTTAAAAAAATTTTAATCTACTTTTAAATATTTTTACCTTATTACTTAATTAAAGAGTATATCATACATCTAAGCTTTTTTAAATTTATAATTTTTAAGTGTTAACTCTAATAACATAATACAAAAAATAATCAAGAGAAATCATTTCCCGTGAAAACTACTTAGCCATGATTACAGTATTAAACACAGGTTTCTTTCAGCCCACTGGAGTTTGGTGTGTAGCCCAGGGAGTTGGAGCTGCAGCAATGGCTTCTGGATCATTGGTCTCCTCAAAATCAAAAGTGTGTGGTTAATTTTTTTTTTTTTAGTTGTCAATATAATGCAATCAACTTCGACTTGTCAGATGGTTTCCCCACTAACTTTCTTGGTTTTATGGCTGATTAAACCTTGAAACATAGTCAATCATTATTGCTGATGAGGGGCCATAAAAGAGGTAACAATTTGTGGTTCCATTTTTTTTTTCCTTTTCTTTGTTCCTTTAAAATTTTCTTTTGAAGGTGAAATATTTTAGGATGTTCCATTAAAGCAATGTTATATTTCATTTTCAAGGACCCATGTGAGCTGATCGATAATTTATGGGTTTGGACCACTTCTTTCATTGATGCCTTCAAAAGAGCAATTATAAGTAAATGTAGTTAACTACTTAAAAATTGAATATTGTTTTAGATTAATGAAAAAGGTTGCCCACAAAGTATATGGATCACATGAGCAATCCAATTGAATATTGGGCTGGGCTTTTAGTTTCATGATGTTAAAAAATATGACTTGTGTTGGACAAAAAACAGAACCGTTGTATTTGAAGAATACCCGACCCGGGAAAAAAAAATCTTCTCTTTTCAAGGTCGTATCTTGGGAGATTTAAGCAGGGATGGTAACGGGTTTGGTTGGTTCATATTTTTTGTTTTGAATTTGATTTAATTTTATATTTATAAAATTTAAATTTGATTTAATTTAATTTTTTTTAATATTTAATTTTTATTTGATTCGATATTATATAAATAGTATAAGATTAATTTAACTTAAAATTAATAAAATATTACTTTTTAAAATATAAAATATTATTTTAAATATAAATATAAAATATTATAATTAATTAATTAATTAAAAATAATTTTTTATATATGTCAGACCTTTTCTTACAATTATTTAACTCAAAACTTAATTTAAAAAAAAAATTAACTTTATGAAATATGATCAAATTAAAATTTGTCGGAGATGAATTGAGTTATCAACTCTAGATTTAAGTTTAGATTTTAATTTCACCCTATTTTCAATAGAGATAAATAGTTTATTTTATCATTAATTAAATTTAAATTTTAATCTCAATGAAATATATTTAATATAAAAGTTTTAATCCTAATTATAATATTTTTTAATCATAATTATAATAGTAATTATTATTATTTTGAATTTTATCAAAATTAATTTTTCAATATATACAAATAAAACCTAAGAAATTAAAAAATAAAAAAAGGGGAAAGAAACCTGTATATTTATCAACTATTTGGTCTTGTTAATAATAGTAAAAAAAAAACTATTTGGCATTGTTTTGTCATATTTTATTTCACAAAACATAATCCATTTATATAAAAAAAAAAAAATCCAAAAGTTTCCAGCAGATAAACCCTTTTTGTCAAAAAAAAAAAAAGTTTTAAAAGCCTCTAAAAAATAATAATTTTAAGAGAGAGAAAACTGGTGAACTCAGCGTTTTCTTTCTATTTCTCTCCCTTGCTTCCTCCTTGTTGCCATCTTTGTATGGGAAATTGGTAGGCGGAAATGCCGAGCTCGGCGGAGAAGGAAATGGAAAGTGGCAAAGAGGACGTTGTTTGCTTAGAACTCTCTGCTCCTCCTGGTTGGACGAAAAAGGTTTTTTTTTTTTTTTTGCTTCTAATTTAACATGGTTTCTAAATAATTTGATTTATTTGTGGTTTAGGTGCTTCAATTCTGTTAACTTCAGTGTATTGCTCTAGGTTTCGTATGGTTTTAATTTTTTTGTCTTTGGGAATTTATGGTAGAAATTTTGGAACTAATGATGATTTTTATTAGGGTTTTTTTTTTTTTTAGGACTCTTCTAAGATTAATGATGAATTGTGAGTAATTTTTCTATTTTGGTTTTTTTTTTCTCTGCTTTTTTGGTGAAAATTTCTGGGTTTCCCATTTTATTGGAGGCAAAGCAATAACTAGGGTTCTGTAGAAGGGCCTTTTTCTGTAATTTCTGTTTTTAAATAATTTTAGGGGACAAATAAGCAAAGTGGGCAAACCATATAAAATTTTAGTGCTATTAGTTGGAAGATATAATGTTCATTTGATAACTGCTATGTGAACTATTAGCTCTGGAAGGATGTTGAAGAATGTGAGGTTTTTTGCGCGTTGTTTGAAGTTGTTCTGCAATTTCTTAAAATTTATATAAGATTTTTATACATACAAAGTCATGATTGTTGCAAAAGAATTTATTTCGAGGTTTAGTACTCCTTCAATGTTGATTTATTACATTTGATAAATTTACTTAAGATTGTTTGCATTTGGGTCTAATCCAATGAAAGACTTAATGTTATTCTGCTGAATCTGTGTACAATTTTTTCTGCTTATGTGCAAAAATGGTCTCTACATTTATGGTTGTTCTTTCTTGTGGCTGATTTAGTTAAGTTCTTGTATGGCTGTGATTTCTGTTTCAGTTTAAGAGTGGTTCCTATCTTATTAGGGGTTGCCAAAGGTTGTTGTAGTTATGCTCTCCTTGAACCATTTCTGTGGAAGTACCGTTGAGAGTCTGTTCCTGGTCTGTATGGACCAGGGAGGCTTCTCCACTTCAAGTAATGGGCATACTGAAACATTTCCGTTTACCGTCTTTAGTTTTATTAATTCTTATGGTTTGGCTTCTCTATATCTTTTATGAAGAGAACAAAGTTTGCTTAACTGTGTGTAGGATGAATATGCTTGGCAAAATTATTTCTTACTTTCTCTATCCCATGTGAAACACTCTCTTTTCGAGCGAGAAGCTGATGTCCATTGGAAGTTGAAAGTATCTCTTATAGAAACAAGCTTATTTCTTTTTTCATTTTGCAGTTTTTTCATGGTTCTACTTTTGAATTCTAATTGCTTTTTATGTTCTTCTTAATGTAATAATAGACCCAGAAAGTTTTTTCTGGTGTTTATGTTTATTACCCTTTTACAAGATCAGCATAAGGCTACAATGTTTCCATCTGATTTATGCAAACATGCATGGATACACTTAAAATTTGATTGACTGTGATGTGCGCAAACTCAACATTGGAATTTAGTTTATAGCTTACATTTGCTTTAGCATTTGCCACATTGCTATAGCTGGAGACCTTCATATAAGATTTTCTCGTCTTGAATTTCTTGATATTGGATTTACATCATTCTATATTTTCTGATCAGCAAGCCAGTGCAATCTTAGGGTTTCTTTTTGTCTGCAGTTCATGCTGAAGAAAGGGGGGACTCCTAAGAGAAATGAGATCATATTCACTGCTCCCACAGGAGAGGAACTCAGTAACAAGAGACAACTGGAACAGTTCCTTAGAGCAAACCCTGGTGGTCCAGCAGTATCAGAATTTGATTGGGGCACTGGCGAGACCCCAAGGAGATCAGCAAGGATTAGCGAGAAGGTAAAAGCAATGCCAACACCAGAAAGTGAACCTCGAAAAAAACGAGGCAGAAAATCATTAGTTTCAAAGAAGGATAACAAAGAATCAGAGACTGCCCCTGAAGGAACTGAGGAGACTAAAGGCGTTCGTATGGAAGAGGCTGAAAAATCTGAGAAGGAGAATGTGGAGGGTGAGGCGAGAAAGGTTGCCGTGAAGGAAAATGAAAATGAGAATAAAGATAAAACACAAAATGCTGATAGCAAAACTGAATCCACTTCTCAAGAAGTGAAACATGGAGAAGATGCTATTGCTAATATGTCTACTAATATTGAAGAAGGTAATGAAAATGTTGAAGCAGTATCTGAAAAGTTGAATGACCCCCAGGATGGAGTTGAAGCTGATGCTTCTAGAGTTCCCCATAAAGAAAAAGAGGGTTTGGAGGGTGCAAACTCTCAGGGAAAGCGTGAACAACCAGTGGCCGAAGCAGAGAAAGGGCTTGGATCTGGGGAGCTGGACAAACCAGATGTAGGCATTACTGAGGAAAGAAAAAAGCAGGCGGAAGGAGAAGAAAAGGTGAAACATGATAGAAGCAACACTGATTCTGAAGGAGCAATCAAGGAGAAAGATTCAGCAAATTGCAAGGAGGGACAAAACACTGCAGGCGACAATGAAAATAACAAGAAAGCTGAAGAAGCAATTCAGAATGGTAATAATGCTGTCGAGGTCTAGCCTTGAGTTACTATATGCAATAGATTAACATGATTTAGGCTTCCTTTCACCTCCTTGTGACCCTTTTTTAGATTTTTGGACTTCTTCAAATGACTATAGCTTCGATAAGGATAATAACTGACTGTTCATTGAGACATCATTCTATGTAACGGTTGATAGTTGTATAATATAGCTGTTTCCGATGTATCGGTCAGACTTGTAGCTTTTTGTGATACATGTAACATTATGGCATCTAAATACTGTAAATGGATGTAACATGCAGTGTTAAGTAATAAGTTGCAGTAATGGATGAAACTCCCAATGCTCTTCTGCTATGTTGCTTTTGTTAGTTTTTTATTAATTTGGTAAAGCTTTAATGGCAAGCTGTACATTCTGTAGAAACAACGTCTGATGCCCATTCTTCCAAGATGGGTATTTTCTTCGATGGATGTTTTCTTATTCTTTACCCCGGTCGGGGCAGTTGAGGAAAGGAACCACGAAATGCCCGACAACCAGTAGGGGCCAAGAAGGCAAAACAAGATCCCAGGCTGCTAACTTCAATGATTGCATCAGAATTTGTGGTGCTTATTGAGAAATATTACCAACAATCGAAGCTCAAATAAATTTTTTTCTCTGATCAGACCATGATCGGATAATTTCAGTCAAAACAATTATATCATATTTCTCTGTTAAATTGAAAGAAAAGAAAATGCAGTGAAAACATGGGCCACTAAAGAAATAGAAAGGAAATCAAGAAGCTTTCTTATAGTGATGTGATCTCATTGCTTACTGGCCAAGAAAATTCTCATTGCTTTCCTTTACCTTTACCCACTCCAAAAAATGAGAGGACGAAAAAGTAGATTCCCTTACGTGTAGCATTGCATTTGGTTTGACAAAAGCTACCAGTTCCTCCATAACCAAATGCTGTATCACTTCAAAGCCAGCTCTAAAGACTAGCCTTTCATGCCAGATTTTTTTTGGGCTACATATATATATATATATATATATGATAAAATTGTATTATCTCACATTTAATAAATATTTATTTTTTTAATTTTATATTCAAATTAGACCTTCAATTATCTGTCAATTAGTTTTAGGTTTGATGTCTAATATAATATTAAAATCAAAATTTTATTCTATTATTTTTTTTAAATTTATCATACAATAAATTTCTTTCATTTTCATTTATCTATTAAAGTGATATTATCTCATATTTAATCTTTCATTTTTATCTACATATGATGGGAGTTTAATAAAATAGTATTATCCCATATCTAATTTTTTTATAATTTTATGTTTAAGTTAGACCTTTTTACTTATTACCAATTAATTTTAGAGTTGATCAACAAAACTTATTCATAGAGAGATCTAAACACATTTCCTTTGTCATCTGGCTTATATTTATTTGCTAGCAGCAAGAATTTCAAATAGAAGTAATTAAATTAATAAATTGATTTATATAACATAACCTTTTAATTTATTAATTTAAATTTTTTATTTAATTATTTTTAATAGAAAATTTCATCTAAAACCTAAGAATTAAAGCATAAACAAAATGTGAATTGAAGCTTGGAAGACTGATCTGGTCTTATAAGTTATCACCATTTGCATTGCTTCCTTCATCAAAACACTGGTTAGCGTTTTTTTTTTTTTTCCTCAGTTTTGCACTATCAAGTGAAGTAAGTAGTAGGAGCTGAATAATTCAAAGAAAAGTAGTCACACCCAACTGTCTTGTTTCTTGTTAGTTAAGGTAATGATAGAAAGTGGACAATTCTTGTTAGTTAAGCATCAACCATTTTTCCACCACGGCTACGCTAATTGCCTCTTAAATCAAGTGGAATATTTTAAAGCTGGCAAGAATTTCCAAGGCTCATTTGGAAGTTAATGTTAGAAATTCATCATATAAAGATTCATTTGGAAGTGTTAATGCTTAAAATACATGTAAAGATTCAGAATCCAAAAGCAAAAAGTGTGTTGCTCTTACAACTTTATTATACGAACCTTCCTTTGTGTTCCAATCATTGGCTTTCCCTTGCACAGGGAGACGCAAATTCGTAAGTTGTCATTCCCTTGAATGGAGTTGCCAACTTCGTTAAAGGAACATTAAAAAAAAAAAAAATGCTAAATATTGTCCGAGTTTTAGAAAATACAGATAGTCAAAATGTCAAAGAAAACAAATAAATTTTTTTTTTTAAATTATATGATAAAAGTCATTATGTAATGGCAAATCCTGAAAGAGAACCACAAAAGTTTAATTGAGGGAGGCAGAGGAGGGCCAATAGATGACAAAGCTTGCTGTTACACTCCATTAACTTTCATATTAGCTAGTAAATCATGCTGACGAAATTCCCATTTCATAACCCATTTTTTCTCATTAATTGAATCATCCTTTATTTTATCTATTTTTTGGTCAATGTGAATGATTTTTAGTTTTTTTTTTTTTTTTTTTTTAAGAAGAAATTTAAAAGCTGATAAGGTTATCCTATTTTCAAAGTTAATGTCAAGATAAATGATCAATTTAATTAGAATTTAAGAGTTTATTAAATTTTTATTGAAAATTTCAAATCGTTTATCAACAAAAGATCGTAAACCTGATTACTAATATTTTTAACATTCACTTCTTATCATTTCTAACTTTTCTTGGCAATTTTAATTCATTTGAATGTAAAAAATAAATACTCAATATGTGAAGGGTGTTTTTCAAAAAGTTTAATCGTTTTTACACTCAAAATGCAATAAAATTTCTTACCATGCAATGAAAAATCAAGTATTATACGGTTGAGTCAATCATAAGAACTTGTGTTTAGATCAAACATTTGAGTTTAATTTTTTATTAAATAATAATAATAATTGAGATAAATTGGGTATACTCTATTAATTTTTTAAATATAGGAAGATTTGGAAATTTGAGTTTGCTTAAATAGGTGGCATTGGCTCAATTGGAGGAGCATGAACAAATAAAATTGTAATCTTTGAGGAGAATTTAATGGAATTTGCAAAAATTTAAAAGAAAATTCCTCATTTCTTCCCAAGTGTGCCATGTCTGGCGTTTCAAAAACATTAAACAACTCTTCCACGCGCTTCGGTCATCGCTCGACATGAAATTTCCCAATTCATCAAATCCCATTCTATTTTCGGCTATGACCTGTGGCAGTTGGAAAAAAGGGTCCTACGAAGGTCGGATTCTATTTGCATTCAATTTCGTTTTACGTTATTTTTAAAATTATTTGTAAATAAAATTATTCAATTATTTTTTAATTTTTTTTATTTTAAAGTTTTCTAATTTATAAATTAACAAATTTTTTAAATATAAATTTATAAATTCAAAAACTTGTAAAAATTTATGAATCTTCAAATTTGAAAATTTTTATAAGTTTTTATCTTAAAAATAAAAAAAATTAAAGATCTACATGCATAATTTTATCTATTAAGTTATAAATAAACTTATAATCATTTGAAACAAATCGTTTTTTAATAATATTGTAGAAATTCTTTAAAATATAAGATTTTTTTCTTTAATTTAATTTTATTTCATAAATATTGAATGTAATTTTTTTAATTTTATCGAATATAAAAATTTTATAAATTATATAACTTATCAAATATATGTATTCAATAAATTATAAATATTTTATATTTTTTACTTAATTTTTGAAACTAAGTAATACAAGAAAAAAAAATCATTTGGATTCTTTAAAATCTAAATTATGAGAAATACATTTAAAATTATTAAATATTATTTTTTAAAAAAATAATTGCACGAAACTATTTTTATTAAGATAACAAATGAAATTCCGTTTCAAATTTTTGTAACAATGAATTAAGGATGGTAAAAGGAGGTTTTACTTTTTAGTTTATCTCAACTTGAACGATATATATTAGTGCTCCACTTGATAAATCAGCTATTAATCTTGCTAATAGTGGCGCGTGTAGGCAGTGTTAGAGCAAGCGAGTGGGTAAAAACCAAAGTTAAACACTTCCAAATCGGCAAGTAAGCATTGACCAATGACAACAAATTAAAGCAAGACAAACAAATTTAATACCAAAACCCAAATAATCTCTCTCTTTTTTTTCCTTTTTTTTTTTTTGTAATAAAAACAGCAAGGCCAGAAGGCCTCTCCCAGTCAGCGAAGTCCCACAGAAAACGACCGCCAAAGGGAAAGGCTTTTGTTCTCTATATGTAAAATCAGTTCACAATTTTCCATTCCCGGATTTACCCAGATTTTAGTTGAAGAAAAAAAGAAGCTAGATTCTAAAGATTGAAGAACAAAGGCATGGGGATTGGAGAGAGTGTGATATAAAGAGAGAGTGAAGTACAAAGGGTGAATCTTTGTTGTGTTATGGCATGCCACAGTTACACGGAGTTTTGCACTGAAGGAGTTAGTTCAATTTTCGATTTTGGTTTTGTGTTTTTATCTTTCCCTTGTAAGGATCGTTTCCAAAAGTTGGATCCTTTGATTCTTCCTTGAAGTAAAAAAGAGAGAGAAAAGGCAATGAAAAGTTTTGGGGTTCATCTATTCTTCCTAGTCTTTCTTGCTCCAGTTGGTACTTTCTCATTTATTCTTGTTTTTTAAGGTTCCTAATTCAATTTGTTTGTTTGGTTTTTTTGTTAGTTTTTTATGTTGTCTGAATTGGGTTGATTTCAGAATTTGTTGAATTTAATTGTTTGGATCAGTGTATATGGCCTCACCTTGTCTTAACACTGGGATCTTGGTTTCTTAATTGTGAATTTTGTTGTATTGTTCTTTATATTTTGATAATTGTAAGCTCAGGTGAGTGGTTCAACTCTTTTAAGGAAAAAAAAAAAAAAAGATGTTGTCAACTGAGAAACGTCTCTTTTGAATGAAATATCTTTAAAAAAAAAAAAAACTTAATTAAATTTACTGTTTCTTTATTTCATGATTATTTAAGAGGATGGCTCTTTTGCAGGCTGCACTTTTTAGTTGGATTTGAGATTTGAATTCTATTATTCTGTTTTAAGGTTGGTGGATTATATAGGAATTCATTTTGGTGGATATTGTTTGATTCAAGTCTCATCAAAATATGAGAGTTTTCTTTAGTATAGCTTAATCCATAAAGGTGGTTATACTAGTTTATAACCTTTCTTTTATGTATTGGCATTGAATCGTTAATGGCATTCGTTTGCATTCCATGCCGAAATTATTTTGTTTGTGTATCTGCTATTAGTTAAAAAAAACCTAAAGATGGTTTTGAAGGTTGAAATTTGCTCACTTACTTTATGCCACAATAATGCTTCCATGGTTTAAATTGCAAACCATGCGATATAAGTCATTAAAACAATATAATAATAATTTGAAAATGAAAATAACATACGATTATGAACCAAATATTTGATAACCACCTACCAACCAAGTTTCTCACCATGAAGGCCTTTCTTGCTTTTTTGCTGATTAATAACTACTCATCGCTATTACAGTCATACTCTCTTAGAACACATTGGAACAAAACTTCCTTCTTTTGGCTTGTACGATACATGTGTGTATGTGTGTATCTCTCTCTTGGTAGCTTTCTTCTTTTCACCCTGTCTTTCTACCAGTTTGAGAATTTGCTTATGTATTCAGTTCCAATGGTGTTTCAGATAATTGTTTCCTACAATTTATGATGGGTATCTTAATTTCTTGAGATCTTATAAAAAAAAAAAAACATAAATACTTCCATCTGTTTCATTGATCCAGAAACAATTTACTATTTTATTGTAGAATTCTAGGATGTGTGATGCATTTGCCAAAAATCAGGGAAAAGAACGGCTTTAGTTTTCATTTCCTACTAAAACATTGACTGTAATAGCTATCTGAAAATTTGTCCTCTCTTCTGTATTTGACCAGTGAATATTATTCTTAATATGATTGTCTTCCTGTTTGTTACATGGCACTTGGAAATGAAATGACAGTGATTAAAAAACTATTTTTGTTTCTTTTCTCCAGCATCTGTGTCTGTGCAAGCTTTCACTGGAACGTATGGCATTAATTATGGAAGATTTGCAAATAACATCCCTTCACCTGATGAAGTTGTCACACTTCTTAGGGGAGCAAAAATAAGGAATGTTCGAATTTATGATGCTGATCAAAGTGTCCTCAAAGCATTTAGTGGGACAGGGCTGGAAATCGTGGTTGGACTCCCAAATGGTAATCTGAGTGATGTGAGTGCCAATGCCGATCATGCTATGAGTTGGGTCAAGGACAATGTGCTGGCATATCTTCCTGATACACGTATTTGTGGGATCGCTATAGGGAATGAAGTCTTAGGAGGGAGTGGTGAATTTTCGGGATTTCTTCTAGGTGCAGTTAAGAATGTTTACAATGCAGTAAATAAGCTTAAGTTAAGTGATGTAGTTCAGATTACCACGGCACATTCACAGGCTGTTTTTGCTAATTCCTTCCCTCCCTCATCATGTGTATTCCAAGATAATGTTGTTCAGTACATGAAGCCACTCTTAGAGTTTTTTTCACAAATTGGCTCCCCTTTCTGTTTAAATGCTTACCCATTTCTAGCCTACATGAGTGATCCAGAGCAGATTGATATTAATTATGCTCTCTTCCTACCAACAGAGGGAATAAATGATGCGAAAACTAAGTTGCATTATGATAACCTTCTTGATGCTCAGATTGATGCAGCCTATGCTGCATTAGAAGATGCTGGATTTGAAAAGATGGAAGTCATTGTCACAGAGACCGGGTGGGCTTCACGTGGAGATGAGAATGAATCTGCGGCGACACCAAATAATGCAAGGACATTTAATTACAACTTGCGAAAAAGGCTGGCAAAGATGAAAGGAACTCCACTCAGGCCAAAAAATGTGGTTAAGGCATATGTTTTTGCGATCTTTAATGAAAATTTGAAGCCTGGGCCAACTTCTGAGAGGAATTTTGGACTGTTTAAAGCTGATGGGAGCATCTCATATGATATTGGGTTTCATGGACTTAAATCTTCATCTGCATATTCATCAGTCTTGTCTTTGAAGGTATGAGGTTCATCCCACCGTTGACATATGTCATCTTAGATATATTAACATTTGCTGATTAGATTTGAGTGTTCTCAGACAGAAGAAGCATGTGCTTAGAGCATTATAAATTTGTCATGTTCTTGGTGTGCTAATTATTTTGTTTTCTTTTCCTTGATTTCCACTTGATGAAATTACATTTACAGTGGTACCTAGACAGTTTTAATTTTACAATTTAGACATGGTAAAATCATTAGGAATAATGTCTATTAATGAAGAGAAAGACAGACCTTGATAACAATTTCTTCATGTTAATGGAAGATGCTATGCGATGCTGCTGACCCAACCACTTTATGAGTCTGATTTATCTTCTTCTTTACTATCTGCTTAGGAGTATTAAGTATATCACCTTTGCATATCTTATAAAGCATCAGAAACCAAATTTACTAGTCTGCACCACATAACTAGCCCCAAACAAAAATTACACTTCTTTCTGATATGTCTATACCTTCTTGATTGAATTTAATAGCTTCATAATGCCTTTTTTGCACCATTTTTGTGGTCTTCACATCATGTTCTTGAACCAATAAAAACTGGTTGGTATATAGTTTTTATGTAAATGCCTTATTTATGTCTGAAGACACCTAAGATCCAATTATTTATTAGTTTGAATGACTAAGTTCTATTTTGAACTCCTTTCCATGAAACATTCTTTGACTTCCTAATGCAGCTTGAAGAGGAAGAACACGATGAGGATAGAGAAGACAAAAAGAGAGAAAGTAGAGAGAGATAGATGAACAAGGATGAGTGTGGAGAGATTCTGATTTCAAATTCCAATAATCAAGTCTAAAGCCCAAAAATCATAATAACAAGTTTTTTTTAGGGGAGGAAAGGCTTAAATCTCAAAAGGCAACGGTTTCAAGCCATAAATAAATAAACAGATTAACAAAAAACTAATTTCTGTTCCTAAATTTCTTAGGTAGTGAACCTCCTGTGTTACTTCCTTTCTCCATCCTGCGTGAAAGGAAGTTTCTCTAATTAATATGAACTGATGAGTAAATAAATCATTGCAAGGGACAGAAATGTAGTTGAAAGATTGGATAAGGTCTTCCTAGGTAAGGTTAACCTCCTTTTATGTGATGCAAAGCTACTCCAATTTGCCAGTTTTCTTTCAGACTACCTGTTGCTGGACCAAAGCCAATTACTATGCATATGATGCTGGAAGGATGCCAAGTACCCATAGAAGGGTCAATTTGGTGGCTGAATGCTAGTATCCCCAACCAAACCAATGCAGCCTAACAACTGTTTCCAGAACTTACCCTCAATCAGATTAGCTAAAATTTTCATCTGTTTGCCTTGCCAAAGGTTACTCTATCATCATACACAACTTATTAACCATTTCTACCGGCTGAGATTTGGTTCCAAAAGTGATAAAAGGTTTCTTACCGAGTTCAGCTTTCAATTAGCCTTTGCACTGAATCTACTTCATCAAGTGTTACCATGGATCCCTCTTTACAATGCACTAGGACTTTTATTGAGGACAACTAAAAAATCATACCATTGCACCAATGCTACATGGGAAGCACTTCCTTCAATTAGAAGTATCTTGTTTAGATGCCATATGTTCTACGTAGTCTTTAATTTACTAGTACTTTATTCATACTTGTTGCCTTGTGGGATTGATTCCTTGATGGCATGAACAACAATCCCTGATTTAACTGTACATATCTGATATACTATTTGATTAATGGACAGTGGCTTTGTTTGGTCTGTTGTCTAGTTTGTAACAAGATCTCCCTTCAGTTATTATGCATATATCTGTGTTCTTTGTCAATAAAGTGAACAAAAAGATGTTGCTTCTGCTTGCATCTTGATAAAATGTAGCCTTGAACATAGCATATATGTGGTTTAGTGATTCACTTGTTTGTGATGACTTGCTCTTTTAACATCACAATGATTCATCTTTGCAGGATATTCGAGCTAGCGATTGGACTGGCTTCTATTCAATAATATTAACAATCTCCACTGCATTGCTGCTTGTTTTCACAAGATAGTGATTGAACATGTGTTGGGGCTTATTCTGGTTTGCATTTGATGCCAAACCAGCACCCAGATATGATATACTTATAGGTTTAGTACTTATTTTTCGTGTCATACTTGAGAACAAACCAATACACCCGATTTTTGTACCTTCAGAAACACATGGTCACATGCTGGAAGTTGCTGATTAGTTCTTTACAAATCTCAGAAAATGTATATTTCTTTTGCCGGAATAAATCTTTTGTATAATATATAAATATAATTTTTAAATATTTCATATAATATATAATATAATTTGAACCAAACCCACATTAAAAAACTGTGAAAAGATTAAAATTAATATATATATATATATATATATATAGCTGAAAAGATTGGCCAAATCAACAAAGACAGTTTGAATTATGACTTATAACAGCAATAGAGGCTAATCCTTGGGCCTTGGTTTTAGACTTTCTTTTCTCTGGTAATGAAAGCTTAAATATTAATGAACTAGCCTGCCTATAGCTAAAAAGGTATATTGATCCTTTCTTTAAGAAAGAAAATTAAAAAAAAAAGGAAATTATGACCTTAAATAAATTATTATATCATTTTTAATAGAATTAATATCATAAATAATTTTTAAGATATAGATAAGTATTTAATTTGATATTTGAATTTTAAAAATTTTTAATATGATATTTAAATTATAAAAATATTATTTAATATGATATTAAAAAATTACTTATTTATTACATATTATTATTTATAATTAATCACGTTATGAGTGAATATATTAAATATTTTATTATAATTTAAAAGTAACTCATGATATTAACTCTTTTCAATAAATTCAAAATAAAAATTTTAATAATTAGAATAAAAAATAATAAAATTTTTTTCAAATGACATTATAATAAATACTAAAATTTAAATTTCAAATCAACTAAATATTATTTTTCAAAATAATTATATAAATCAATAAAACAAAACCTCGAATTCATATTAACAACCAATTGAATTACGACTTATAAGAGCAGTTTAGGATACTATTTGGGCTAACGATGGGCTTGATTTGTAGGCTTTCTTTCCCTTTCTAATTAAGCAAAGCCGATGGCTCTAAGACCTAAAAAGCTAATACTACACTGATAACCTTTTCTTTTTAGTTTGACCTTCCAAATTTATCCTCACCAACGTTTTTTCTTCCTCCCTTTTAATAATACATTAGATATCAAATTTGTGATAGTGATACCAAATGACAATAAACATCAAAATTTACAAGAATTTATTATATATATATATTTAATGCTGAGCTTTTGGGTTTTTTTTTTCAGCATGATTGAGTGAACAATAAGAGCTGAATGAGAAAAAAAAAATGTTGTTTTCTTTTCTTTTCTTTTCCCCAAATTTAAGTTGCTTAAGAGGATTCATCCATGAACAATTTTCTTTTTAGTTTCCATAAGCTATGTCTAAGATGTCCTGACTTTTTTCCCCTAATGTTAGTTCCATTAATTACATTTTGTGTTTTATATTTGGCATTCATTGAATACTTAAAAAAGTCAGGTTTTTTTAATTTCATGTCCATTTTAATTAACTAAACAAAGTGGTGGCATGCATGGCTTGACGCAAAAAGGTTGTCAATCTCCATTACTCTATATATATTCTCTATAAGGGAAGAGAAGGATAAACAACCACGCATTACTGCAGATAGAGAGAGACAGAGGTCTAGGGGCGACTGTAAGCAGAGAAAACAGAGAAAAAATGGCTAGGAAAATCAGCATGGCAGCACTTTCTGTAGTTTTGGCTGCAACCCTGGTGCAGATCACATATGCTAGAACTTACACAGTAGGAGACTCCATTAGTTGGCAAATCCCTAATAGTAATGCTGATTTTTATGATGATTGGGCTGAAAATAAAGACTTCATGGTTGGGGATGTTCTTGGTGAGTTTCTTAGCTCAAAATCCAACTTAAACAAGTTTTTTAATTGAAATTTTGAACCAGAATTTGATCATCAGCTATATAGGTATTGTTTTTGTTTTGTTTTCTTTGGAGAATTATGCTCCTGGAGTGGACAGAATTAATTCCAGGGTTTGTATTGAATCAATTTTTATGGACCAATTGTTCCATGTTTTTGCAGTGTTCAACTTTACTACAGGAGCACATAATGTTGCCGAGGTGACAGAAGTTGCTTACGACGCTTGCAGCACTACCGATACTATCTTTACTGAGAACAACGGACCTGCAAGAATTACCCTTAAGAGGACTGGTGAGTACTACTTCATTTGCACTTTCCCTGCTCACTGTTTCGGAGGCCAAAAGCTCAAGGTCGACGTCCGAAATGGCGCCAGTACTACGCCCGGAATTTTAGGTCCTCCCAGCTCAGCTTCATCCCTTGTTGCCACCCTCTATCTTGTCTCCATGTCCATTGCCTTGGTTTTGTTGTGCTGATTATGTTAACCCTTTTGCCTGCTTTTACTTTTTATGCGATATTGTATGAGTTCAGAGTATGTAGCCTATACCAGAGAGACTTTCATTTTTATTATGGTAGTGATCATGGAGTGTGTTTTGTGTTTGAATAAAACTTTGATTCGTTTCTGGATATAAAGATGTAACTGATCAGAGCCTTGCTGTGAATTATAGCGACATATTTTCTGTTACTGTTGTTTCACAACAACTGAATATCACTTTGTTTTACTTTATTTTTTGAAAAAAAAAATCGACAAAAAAAACATGTAAATTATTATACTACAAAACCAAGGTTAGATGTGGAAAAACATGTAAATCAACCAAATGAGCCTGTGCCAATCCACTTTCGGTTGTTTATGTGTAATAGCATTCCAATTTTCCGAAGTGCTGAAATTTCCAAATTTTTGTAGCTGTTCAAACAACAACTTCATCATTAATAGTTAGAAAATCAGTTGATCTTTGCTAATGGCCGATACCAGACACTAAATCTGTTATTCTTGTGTTTTAATTAAGACCTTGATCCAATACAATTCTTTTGTTGAAAGTAGAGAAAGTGGCCTATCTTGATACCATTTATCACACAGTAGGAAAGCATTCCTCCCATCCCCAGTTTGATGCTTTGGGAAAAGGCCTGGCTAGGCTACCCCCTAAGCTTTGATAATTTTCTTCTGGTCCAGCTGCTGTTTTGAGGTATGGGACCTGCCAAAAACTCTTACTCTTCTGTTTTTCAGCAGGTGAGCTTTCACCGATACTATCCAAAATAGAGTTAAACTGATTAGAGAGCGTCCATTTATTCTTTAAAATGCAGGCTTGAACAACTGGAATTTGTGTGAAGAAAATTTTTTCCCGTCTTCAAATTACTGTCAATTGTGTAGAATTTTCGTCTTTTAACCAAGTCTTGCCTGTCAATAGTTTCGGTTGTGTTTTGAAACTTTGGAGCATCCAGATGGCAATTGGCATAACCTTGACATCGTCATGTTGTTTTAACTGCAAAAAGACAAAAATACGATTCTTGATCTAAGAGACAGACTACTGCTACAAGTTTAGACATTTTCTTCGCATGTCCAAATTTCTAAACATGTGATGTTTTATGAGTTATTATTATATGTCTTTCCCTGGAACCCACAACTTAGTTACATTGCGGCTGGGGGATGTCTGCCCGAAACTAATAAGTGGTTGGAAACTCAACTTATTGAGCTGATATTACTGTGCTGGAAGTGACAGGGTAATAACCTAAGGTGAAGCAAAAAGTGCATTGAAATAAGAAAGAAAACAAAAATGAACTGTCGTTTTCACTCTTGAGGAATGGGATGGTTTACCAACCATAAATTTAGAGCTTGGTGGAGTCACCCCACCACAGATCACATGGAAAGAGTTAAAGAGTCTGCCCAGGTTTGAGAGGAATTTCCACAAGATTTAAGCTTACGAGGTCCAGAATGAGATACAAATGGAAGTAAAGCAACATACCTTATATGAGAATATCAATTCAACAACCAATTACAACTTCAGATTCAAAGGGTTTTATAAAACCTGGATGAAGGGCGCTCAACATCAGTAAAACATTTGCCTTTTCCAGAAATCAGAACCCCAAATGAAGTAATCCTCAAAGCAAGCATTCATCTTTGAGGCTTAACTGAAAAACACTGGCACCCCATCCGAAGGAAAATAACTAAGCCATTCTTGTTGCAAATCACTCCAGTATCATAAATAGGTTCTTGAAATAGGAAGTACAAACTCCACTCATCAAAACACATAAAGGCTCTTTCTACAAAACACCAATCACAAGTCCTCAACTAAAGAATCCTTCTAGTGCGCCTCTGTACCACCTAAAAACCAAATAAGTTCAATGCTAACCAGGATTATTCCCAGGAACCATCTTATGCCCAAGTGCATCTAATTACTGAAGTGTATCAGACCACAAAGATATATATGAGACCATTAGCAACCATCCTGTCCCATATCCCCTGCACCTGCAGTAATCTAGTCTCCTTCCCGCAAACTACCTCCATTATGCCTCTTGCCCCATCCTGAACTCCAAAGACTTATCTACATCACAAAAGTGACAAAATGTAATGCTACCTAATGCCTAGAACTAAAACTTACCCTCCTGTGGCTAACTCAAGAAACAGTCATATCAACAATAAATGTATCACTGTGCTACAAACATGCAAAAATCAATCCTTGCATATTCTCCTAAGGCAATGGGGAACATGAATAATGGATGTTGGATACATCCTTCATAATCAACCCTCAATTTGGTTCACTTCACTTTATGTTAGCTCCGGTCTATATTTTACTACACTTTATAGTTTCAAATAGCTAATTATAAAAATTTTCCTCTTTCGTTTTGCTCTATATCTTTGTACAAGTAGAAACCTACAAATCACTAGGTAAGATGGTTAGAAGGTAAATATTCCTTTTATGGCCATCAACTGAAAAAAATTATTTATTAAAAGGTTTTAAGTAATTAGATGTGTCATGAGAATTAAATCATTCAACAATTAGATACCAATCATGCTCAGATTATATTTACAATTCACTCTCTGCTGCATCCCAACAATGCAACTCATGGTCAGCATTTAAATTTTACAATCAGATCTACTTAGAAAGTAAAGATTGCAGAAGCGATTCACTAATATGATCAAGAGATCATTAATTTTGAAGGACAGACTACAAAACAAAACTATTGTCTACAAACCTGGCCATTTTTTCAATTATAAGATGAGGGCCCTGGTTGCCAGCAAAATTGTTCATCTTCCAAATCACCTCCAAATGTTGCCTTACGCTTTCTCTTTGTTGCCCCCAAATTGTGACCTTCACTTTCTATAAACCACTTTCTCGAAAATGATTCAAAATGGTCGTTAACAGTCCTCTCCCTAAAAATACATAACTCTTTACTCTTTTGTTGAAAAACCTCATTAACTTTGCCCCCATCTTGACAGCTTCTTGGACCAACATCTTCAGTTTCCAAAATTGAATTCTTTTCTACTTGCATACAAGGGTCAGAAAATAGACCCAACCGCAAGGACAAATCACACTCTGTCCCAAATGACTTCTCATGAACGTGCCTGATATCTATCTGTCCAATTCTCTTACCATCAACACCAACATCAGAAGAGGAAACGAGATTCTGTAAGAAACCTATTGCTGCTGGCTCTGCAATTGATGTACCAATAGGTCTCCCAACAATTATGGTATCAGACGCTATATTTTCCTGAACTGGAGAACCCGTCAGGGACTCTGCATTTTGACAGTGAATTCCATAATAAAGGGGATAAACTTGACCCAGGTTTGGCGGGGTGTTAGTTTCATTCCTCATCAATTGTTCATGGCCAGATGGACAACTTTCAGAGAGAAAAGGAAAACTATGATAGTTAGTTTGTGAAACCAAAATATTTGAATTCACATTGGTAGCTATTCTAGCAAATTGACCACCAGACAGAACTGGCGATATCTGAGGACACCTTGCCTCACTACCTTTATCAAAAATCCGAGGAGCTGCAGAAACAGGTTCCGATGCTCTTGGCGTAAGGTAAGTCCTAGGATTACAGTGCCGTTGGCTCCTTGAAGCTTTCACTGGATGGCACCCCAGATTAAGGGCCGCTAAAACAACATATATTTACTACAATCTTTCAGTTCAAATTGTCCTTGAAACTACTTTCAAATAGAAAACTTCATAAAGTTTAAGCTAATGTGTATCAAAATGAGAAAAATCCAGTAACATAATAACAAACTCGTATCCAAAAATACACCAAATAGAAATCAATAGTACCTTCAACACAAGGAGGCAAAAGCTCTCCTGTTTCAGTGCTCTCATCCCTACGGATAATCGTGTTGATGGCATCATTAACACGGTCCCATAAGGTTTCCTTGTTCATATATTCAGCCTAAAAAACATTAATAAAAAAATGAGCCCAAAAATGTAAATGCAAAATAAAAGATCCACAAAATTGAAAGCAGAAAAGAACCTCAGAATTGGCTTTGGAATACATAATCTCCTCAGCTTTGACGATGACAACAAGTATTTTATCTTGCCATTCCTTGTTCTTTTTAGTAGCTGTGCTATGATTTTCCATAGATAGCCTAAAATCAAACGTATGACAGGCAAGGAATTATTAAACCCAAAAAATAGTAAATGCCGGTGAAAATGTAAGAAAATTGATGAAAATAAAGAAGACCCAGAACTTTAAAATCTGCTGAACGATGGAACCTCTCATGGGTCGATGTCTTTCGCTATGCCAAGCTCTTCTTACACACTCGTAAGGTCTAGGGCCTGGCCTTGGCATCTTTCTTCTTCAATGGAAAAACAAAGTCTTGTATGGTAAAATGAAGAGACAGAGAACCGAGGGGGGATGGGAAGATATTTGTGCTTTACCGCTAAGACAGTACTCTCTACATGGGGTTGATGGATTAGTCAATTTCTTAATGGTGTCTTTTGCTCCTTTCCTTTTCAATTACGAGTTTGCAATAGAAAAGAGAGATCAGAGATGGGGAGCTTTTCTTTTCTTTTCTTTTCTTTTCTTTTCTTCTCTTTTGGCTGGTGAGTAGTACAATAGGTGAGAGAGGAAGGGTTGCTTTCTGTTTTCATGCCTTTGTTTTTGCCCCAATAATTTAAGAGAGTTTACCATTGTGGTTACAGTGAGTTTTTGGGTCATTTTTTCGCTGGGGAGAGAGGGAGAAAAAGAGTTGGGGGTTTGGGTATCAAAAGGAACATATGATGGGTTTCAAGTATTTAATAGTCACCATTAAAATCTACCTGGCCATGCCCATTGTCCACCTGCCTCAGCAATTTGCACATAAATTTTTCCCAGCATGGGCACTTCATAAAATTGACATCCTATCCTCCTCCTTTCATACTCAACCCTCTGCTGCATATTGGCCCAAAAAAACCCTCTGCTGCATGGCAAATGGTATGATTTTGCTTTGTTTTTTTTTTCATCTTTCACTTTTACAACATGGTTTTTACATTTCATGATGTGAAAAAATAACCTCTTTCTAATTGCTTTTTTAATTAATGATAGTATTAAGTAGTATTATTAGTACTTTTTCAACAAAAATAAGATACTCCATTAATGACAATGCTTTTTTGAATCTATCCTATTAGTAGATGTGATGCTGTGGGCAAAGCTAACAGTTAAGTTAAAAATAACCCAAAATTTAATTTAATTGATTTATTCAATTATTTTTAAAATTTTATATTTAAAAATTTTTAATTCAAATCTTAAGATTTGTAATTACTTTTTATATTTTAAACTTTATAGAAAAAAAAAGTTAAAAGTGGAACAAATGTAACAACATAAATGCCCTTTTTTTTTTTTAATAGTTTCATATATTAATTTATTGTTCTGAGTTGCACCAATTAATTCCCATTAAAATCTATTAAAATGTTTAGGTAGGAAGCCCATTGGCCAATACTAAAACACAAATAATATTAATAAATTCTTTAAAAATTATAAATACAAATCATAACCATAATTAAATATTATATTTATATATATATATATTATTAAATAATCAAATTAATTAATTAATTAATTAACAATTAAAACATAATTAAAACCAAACTCACATAAAATAATATTTAAACTTAAATCTTCAAAATTTTAAAATTTTTTCCTAATTGATAAGCCAAGACCCGACAGTAACATTGATAGGTAAGTCAAAGATAAGGAACATTTTGTTTTCATGTCATAGTTTTTTAGATCCACAAATTTGGGACAGTTGAAATGACAATTTCAAGTGTAAATTCCACAAATTTCCTTTGTTCCTTTTTTTTTTTTAATCTTAAATTAACAATCATGCAAAGCCAAAAGAATTTTGTACCAAGGAAAGTAGCGTTCACTCACATCAGTATCAAAATCAACAAACTTCATGTTTGTCAGGGAATCGAAGAATCCCTTTGACAAATAGGAGCTATCAAAAGGCAAAATTTCAATTATGCAATTCAACTTTTTGTTTAAAAGGCAATGTGATAAGCTTTTGATGGATATGTTCAAATTCCATTCAACTTTTCTTATGTTTACATTCTCCTCTCTTACCTTTTTGTTATAAAGGAGTTTGTAATTTGGAAGTAAAAATGTGGCTAAAAGGTTAAAAGAGCATTTCAATTAAATTTTTATTATTTTATTGTAATTAATTAAATTTAAATTTTTATTATATGAAAGTTGATTAATCGTTAATAAAAATATTTGTTTAATTAAGAATTTAATTGAAATGAAAATAAATATTTAAAAATTGAATTGAGTGAAAATAATTATTTAAATATTCAATTGATTAAAAATAAAAAAATTTAAATTTGGTTAATCATAATAAAATATTAAAAATTTAAATAATTATTGAATTTTTATTTTAAGATTTTTTTGACTTTTTAGTAAAAATTAGATATATTAAAATTTGAGTTTAATATTTTATTAGATATTATTTTTAAAAGTGATTGTAGTTCGAATTCACTTTTCTATTTTTTTGTTTTTTTGTTTTTTAAGAAAAGGTTGTCAAGAGGAAGAATCCTCTACACCAGGACTAGCATCCGCATTATCATCATCGTCGTCATATCACCATCATCATACATTTGATCAAGAATAAGCACCAATCCCATTGCAAATGCGCTATGCTTAAGACAAAGCAAAAACACATCCTTGCCCAACATCACATGCGTTGAGGGGTCCACTTTTTTTTTTATCTCAGCCGTTGGTTTCTTTGATGAGCTCTCTAAGGAAGTGCTGTTAACTGTACAGCAACGCTGGGGAAACGAGCCCCCCATCTGGTATTCCACGCCGTATACGTCTACTTCCACGCTTGATCGTCCGATGATGGATGATCGACGGACAAAGAAAATTTGGCTTTCGTTTTCCATTTGTACCCCTAATAATTGATCGAGACTTGGCTTCTGGTATAGCAGCTTTTCCTCATTCTCGAAACTTATTACTCTATCTTCAACGGCCGTTTGATTCCAAAAATCGTATATTTCAAAGGAAAATATGATATTAAAAAAAATGACACTTAGAAGTTTTTTTTTATTATTTTTAGGACATTTTGTATTTAAATTTATTTATTCAATTAAAAAAATTTACATATATTAATTTTTGAATAATAATCTCCTTCATATATATATATATATATATATATAATAACTACCTTTTTTAACCCGTATAATGTATGGGATTTTTTGTTAAATTTTTTATAATTTTAAATTTATTTTTTAATTATTTAATATATATTTATATATTTATAAAATTAAGTTACAATTAAATGATAATTTATACATAATATATTATAAATGATATTGTTCATCTAAAAGAAATCTAAACTTGTGTAAATTTTTAAAAATTATAAAAATCTTTTTTTTCATAAAAAAATATTTTCTTCAATTTATTTACTAAATATTAAAATTTTGCTACTGCTTTTTTTTTATAAAAAATCAAGAATCAATACTTAAATAATTAAAATTAATAATTGTTTTAATCACAATGTTGATTAAGTGGTGTATATATGTATATGTGATTGAACAACAAATCACAATTATTAATTTTGTTATAATCATTTGTCTTTTATTAGTTTTTATTTTTTACATACTTCAAGTATTATTACACAAATATATATTAGGCTAACAATTATTTTTATATATGTCAACAAAATAAAGTCATTTTTTAGATTAAAAAGAAATAATAATTCTTTATGTTATGCTTAAAAACTTTTTTTGAATTTTTTTTATTTTTAATTATTTTTAACATAATTGATTATATTTTTTGTGAGTTTGATATGGTAGTGATCATCATTATTCTCATATCATTCATTGTAAATAAAGAAATTCAATAATAAAAAGTATAGCAAAAGAAAATAAAGAATATCAATTTACACATTAATTTGTCAAGATTAAATATATATAATAATAAAAACAAATACGTTAACAAATGAATAGAGAATAAAAACATTGAAGAAATGAATAAAATAAAAAATATATATAATACAAAAAGTTAATTATAATCAATCTAAGCAAAATTAAAAAAGTTATGGACTAAAGAGAAACAAATAAATTAAACAAATATATAATATAAAAATATTTGAATTAGAACATAAATAAAATATTATATTTGTTTTCAAAGCAAAAACATATTTTTATCTAATTTTTTTATCAACATTCAAATGTCTCGTATTTTTATATAAAGATGTAAGCTTTTATTACTTTAAAAATATATGCTTTTTTAGTAAATAATTCATTAACTTATCTAAAATTATTAAATTTAAATAATCTATTAAATAAATTTTAATTTTTGATAGATTTTTATTTGAATTTAAATAATTATCCAAAAATATTAAATTTAAATAATTTATTAAATATAATTATTTGATAAAAAATAAAATTTTATTAAGTATATATATTTGGAGCTGCCATTAAATTTAAAAAGAAAAGATAAATTATAATTTAATATATTTGAATTCAAATTTTATGCAACAATTTCAATCTTAGATAGATTTTGATTTCAATTTAAATAATTATCTAAAATATTGGATTTAAATAATTTATTAAAAAATTTTATTTGATAAATAAAATAAAATAATATTATTTTATGTGTCATTAAAAGATATTATCTACCTAAGCATCTACATAATCAATTTTTATCATGTAACCTTATATGTTGTAATATAATATAATAATATATATATTAGAATAAAATATTATATTTTTTTTCAAAGCAAAAAATGTATTTTTATCTAATTTTTTATCAATATTCAAATGTCTTATATTTTCATATAAAGATGTAAGCTTTTATTACTTTAACAATATATGTTTTATAGTCAATAATTCATTAACTTATCTAAAAGTATTAAATTTAAATAATCTATTAAATAATTTTCAATTTTTGATAGATTTTTATTTGAATTTAAATAATTATCTAAAAATATTAAATTTAAATAATTTATTAAATAGAATTATCTAACAAAAAATAAAATTTTATTAAGTATATATATTTGGAGCTGCCATTAAATTTAAAAAGAAAAGATAAATTATAATTTAATATATTTGAATTAAAATCTTATACATAAATTTCAATCTTAGATAGATATTAATTTCAATTTAATAATTATCCAAAATATTCTATTTAAATAGTTTATTAAAAAATTTTATTTGATAAATAAATTAATATAAATATTATCTTAGATGTCATTAAAATAAATTATTTACCTAGGCATCCACATAAGCAATTTTGATAATGTAACATTGTATGTTATAATATATATATATATATATATATATATATTAGAATAAAACATTAGATTTGTTTTCAAAACAAAAACGTATTTTTATCTAACTTTTTTATCAACATTCAAATGTCTTATATTTTCATATAAAACTGTAAGCTTTTATTACTTTAAAAATACATGCTTTATAGTCAATAATTCATTAACTTATCTAAAAGTATTAAATTTAAATAATCTATTAAATAATTTTTAATTTTTGATAAATTTTGATTTAAATTTAAATAATTATCTAAAAATATTAAATTAAAATAATTTATTAAATAGAATTATTTGACAGAAAATAAAATTTTATTAAGTATATATATTTGAAATTGTCATTAAATTTAAAAAGAAAAAAATTATGATTTAATATATTTGAATTCAAATCTTATACAAAAATTTCAATCTTAGATAGATATTAATTTTAATGTAAATAATTATCCAAAATATCAATTTAAATAATTTATTAAAAAATTTTATTTGATAAATAAATAATATAAATATTATCCTATATGTCATTAAAAGAGATTATCCACCTAGACATCCACATAAGTAATTTTGATCATGTAACCTTGTATGTTGTAATATAATATATATATATATATATATATATATATTAGATAACTTTTCATTAGATTTTATTAATAATAAATACATAAACAACAAATGATATTTTTAGCAGCAAAAAAAAAAAAATTTATGATTGCTATTTTTATTTATAAAATATCATTAATAAAAAATATAAAAATTTATTTAAGACAATTTTTTATTAGAAAACACATTAAATAATTTTTTTATTGTTTTAAAAGGGATTATTTAATATGTTTTTTAACCAAAAATACCTTAAATAATCTCTAATATTTAAAAAAATGAAAGAGATTATTGAAGATATGTATAGATAAAAAAAATCTTAAATAATCCCCTTCATTTTTTAAAAAACATTATTTAATGCGGTTCTGGATAAAAAATACTTTAAATAATGCTACTTAAAAAAATGAATGGGATTATTTAAGATATTTTTAATCCAGAAACACATTAAATAGTGCTTTCATTTTTTTTAAAGAATTATTTAAGGTGTTTTTAGTTCAAAAACATCTTGAATAATACTCTTTAAAAAATATAAAAGCATTAGTTAAGTTATTTTTGGACAAAAAATGCTTTAAATAATACCTTCATATATTTTAAAAGGCATTAGTTAAGGCATTTTTTGTTTAAAATTACCGTAGATAATACCTTTTAAAAAAATAAAGGGAATTATTTAAAATATTTTTTATCCAGAAAAGCCTTAAATAATTCCCTTTAAAAAATGAAGAATTAAAAAACCCCTTAAATAACCTATTTGTAAAAATATAAAAAGATTATTTAAAACATTTTCTGTACAGAAATGCTTTACATAATCATTTTATAAAAATATTAACCCTAAACCATAAAATAAAAAAGAATTATTTAAGATATTTTTTGTATAAAACACTTTAAATAATCTATTTATAAAAACATAAAAAGATTATTTAAGGCTTTTTTTTGCACAAATGACTTTTTTTGTACAAAAATATCTTAAATAATCATTTTATAAAAATAGTAATATTAAATCCTAAACTCTAAAATATAAAAGAATTATTTAAGGTATTTTCTATACAAAAATATTTAAATAATCTATTTATAAAAATAAAAAATGATTATTTAAGGTATTTCTTCATGTCAAACACCTTAATTGCAATATAAAATTTTTTTTATATAAAAACTTATAACTGAATTTCAGCACTTCTATACATACTCTTCAAAAGAGAAATAACTATTTTATAATTTTTTATTCAAGTCAAATTTATAAATAAAGCAACTTTCTCTCCCAAAATCTTAGAATACTATAAAAAAGAGTGAGATTTTGATTTCGAGACTTTGATTACTACTGAAAATCTGTCATTTTTTTCATAATCGGATTAACTTTAACCAAACATAAGAATCAGATACCCATCATCAAAATTCTAAGAAAAAATTTACTAATTCTCCAAATCAAATGCCACCCAAGTGCTACGAAAATATGTCAAAGTTTAATTTTTAATTAAGAAAATATTGAAGAAAAATAAAAGGTAATGAAATATAAAGAAGAAAAATTATCCAATATTATAATCAATGAAATTTAAAAGCTTAGCAATGCAGCTTAATTGTTCGTATATCACTTTTTTAAAAGGTAATATTTTAAATTTGAAATTTAAATTTTAATATTCGTGACTTTTTTTTTATAATTCTTTATAAGGCTACAATCTCTTTTTTTTTTTTAAATTAAATTTTAATGAGGATGTTAAAGGATTGTCAAATATTTTATTAGAATATATTTTAGAAATAACAAATAATGAGATGAAAATATTTTAATTTATGTGCAAAGTTTAAAAATTTTAGTGATACATCTATATATATATATATATAAAATAATAATTGTTAAAAAAAATCTTAAACCTAACTTTGGGGTGGTTATTAACTCTAATATTTTTATTTTGGAGGAAAACTCTAATAATCTTCTTAAAATATTTAAAGAAAGACAAAAACATTATACTACATATAATTTCTATATGAGTTGTTTTTTTTCAAAAAAAAAAATTGCCTTTATATATAGTTTTAACAATGCAATGAAATAGCATTATTTTTTTTATATAAAGTTTAATATAGCATATTCGATTTTTCTCCAAGAAACTATTTATGACCATTATTTTATGGGATTAAATAATTTTGAAAATTTTTTACCATTTAATTTTTTTACCACATCACATAATATCTCAAATCCTGAATGTTGACCACCTCTAAGCACCCAAGCAAACTGACCTTTCGAATAAGAGTGAGAAGACACTTGCCTGTGGCGTCCATGAGAACCAGCTCATCTTTGGGTTGGGAATCAGGGCCGTTGTAAGAATCAAACCTGAAGATCAATTCTCCTTTTGGATTGTCTATAACAAACCCATCTCCTGGGAAAAACACAGAGGTCTTGTGGACTGTCAGGTGGGTTTCCTCATGGAAACAGAATTTGTCACCCACGATGGCGACTGTTGCCATTGTATATCAGCTGAAAAAGAAAGAGATATCTAGCTTGAAGCCTTGAACAAAGCAGATAATGGAAAAGAGAAAAGAAATTGGTGGAAGTAGGTTTAAGTCTGTGGTATGGAGCTGTGGCCTTTTTTTAATTATTTTTCTTATTTAATATATTAAAGTTGATTTGTGGAGTTTCTTTGTTTATGATGATTTGCAAATAGATGTTGTTTTATTTGTGGCATTAAGCTTAAAAACATGAATCATGGCAAAGAGTGGACAGTGCTGCAGTCAGCATTATGAACATGACAGTTATTAGAGATGGGTTTCATTGCCAGGGCAATCCAATTATTAAAGTCGTCGTCTGATTATCGGAGTCAATAATTTGATGACAGCCAGCAGCATAAAAATGAGAATTGAGCACTTGAGTTATGAATGGTGGTAGCTCAAATCCTTACTTGAACGGTATACTTAACCCTTCTTCTAGGCTTTCAAGTGATATCAGACTGGATGGAGGACGAGGGTTCTTCAAAGTTACGCCACTGAACTTTGAACCCACCGCCGGCAGTTTGTTGAAAAGCTTGTGGTATGGAGATGAACCCCTGCTAGCTGCGGCCAACGAGCTTGGACCACCTGGTTCATAACTAAACGTTATCAACTTTGGCCCCGTTTACCATTGAAATCGTGTTTTTGGCTGAAAAAAATTATGTTAAATAGGATAAAAATTTTGAATCTTGCAATCAAAAAGTTTGATCTGATTTTGCAAATTAAATGCAAAAGCTACATAAAAATATGTTTGCTGTTGAAAAATACTTTTAAAAGATAAAAGCTACTGAAATCCGTGGGAAATGGAAGAAGTGTTATTTGACCGGACAGTTTATTGCTTACCAGTTAGAACTGTAAATCATGGATGGCTTTGTCGGGTGAAACTTCGTCGACATAACTGCGTTATGTTATTGTAGTAATATAAAGTCCTTGAGTTTCTCTTTACCAATTAAGAATGCCATGGATTAGGTGCTCAGATAGAAGCTTATAATTATTTTCTCCATTTCGTTTTGCCTACCTACAAATTATTTTGGGTTATTCATGTGTAATTATACGCCAATTCACTTGTGCAGTTTGGCTTCTTCTTCGACAGTGAACTTGCTGGCGGTTCCGTCCCCTTCTTTTACAGCTACTATGGCTTGTTAGTTCCAACTCCTGAATTTTAATTTCCATTAAGCCTGAAACGAACCTCGATGTAGGCTTTTACAAGTTGATTAATCACATTATATTATGCAAGCCAAGGTGGGGGAAACATTCCTGCAATAGCTGTTCCACTAGTTGCTTTGGGTACTCAAAATGGGACAACTGATGTCGTCGATGTCTCTGCCAATGCTGTTGCTGAGGGTTTTCTGTTCATAATAGTACAGTGAGGGGTTTAGGATGGCTTGGTAATTGAAGGCTGGTTTCGTTTTCTTAGACACAGTAACATATCAAGTTTATAAGAATCAGTTTCTGTTCATAGGAGATTGATTCCAGGAAAGTGGACAACGGTTTGGGGGTTTTCAGGATTTAGGAAAGGTTTAGGGTCTGAAACCTTGAACTTGAACATTATACCACTGAGGCACGTGTTAATAAGGTTACCATTTTATTTACTGACAATTGCAGTTGGATTAAAACTAAAGAATAGAGGAAAAGAACATTGGTTTATCTAAAGCACTTTATACATGTGTTTTGTTTTATGTAATTATTTCAATTTTACATGTTGGGTGGCGGCAATCAAAACTCCCCAATAACCATAGCTTGATGAAATCTATGCAAAGGATAAACTGCTCGCGAGCAAAACGAGTAGGAAGCAGTCAGGGCAAGGTCTTGGTCAGCGCATGCCGTTCTTTAAAATATTCAGCCTAAGAGATGTCGGACTAGTTAGACTAGTTCAAAACTAATTCCATAGTTCAAAGAAATGTTTTCTTAAGGTTGTCTTCAACCAACAAGCACCTAGAAGTAAATTTTAATAATCTGTAACATTCTGAATGACGATGTGTCACTCAAAGAGAGCCACAAAAACTTATTGTTTGCATAACACAAAAATAACATAAATTATGACAACTATCCATCACATACTTGTACTTCATAGTTTATCCAAACTTATATGTTCATTGCACCCTCTGATGCAAATAAATGGCAAGTATATGTAAACAAAACAAATGCAGGAAACCTAGAGGATGGAAAGAAAATATTCCAAATAGGTGGATAGCTAAGAAGCTTGATGTGATAGTAATAATGTGAACCATGGGATGAAATATCGATTGATAAACAAGTGGATTCAGTAGGGTGGATAGTAGTACCCTCCTGGCTGCTGCATGCCATTGACTTGTGGCATCCCATAAGGCATCGTCACTGGTTGTGCAACAGGAGCATAATAGCCAGAACTAGCAGTGATCTTGGAAAGACTCGCTTGGCCTTGCATTCCATCCCTTGCATATTGATGCCATAGCTGCAGTTCCTGTACAAGTAAATGCTGCTTGCGCTCCATGTCTGCTATCTGCACATATGAAGGAGGTAGCACTGCAAGGGATGCAGCAAAAGGATCCTGCTGTCCCACTGGTTGTACTGTCCCATCTGGGGCAGGCAAAGCTAGCACTTGAGTAGTAGTCTTGCCCGGGCCAGGCAAAGCAACGCTACTTGCACTCCCACCGCTAAGCTGAGTAGTGCTCACATGCTGACTCACTGCCCCCTGATCATACATTCCATTCAATAGCAATGGATCAAAACCACCTGCCAAAGTTGCTTTCTGCTTTGATAAATTACTAGCTGACTCAACCAATGCCAATTCCCAATCTGCTTTACCAGTCTCAGCAGCTGGTGTTTGCCATGCAGAAGTCACCTCTGGCTCTCCATTTGAAGGAAATGCCTCCCACGAACCATTAGCATTTGAGGAAGGTGGTCCAGAGAATAAAGCCAAAGCCAATTTGTTCCCTTGCTCATCAGCTGAAACCGCATCATCCTTTAGATTCACCAGATCCTCAGTCACCTGCTGTGGCTGTGTCTTAGGTTGTTCAGTTTCAGGTGGTGGAGGAGGTGGGGTATAATTCTCTGGTGCAGGAAGAGCCTTTACTTCATTCATATTTGCTTCTGTCCCCTCCTGAACTGGTGGTTTCTCTTCCCTAATTCTCTCTGGACTCTTCGGCCGGTTGGCCATTTCCTTCAAAAATCCTTCTAGTGTCGCCAAAAGCTTATCAGTAATTCTCTGCACTTCAGGAAACTCAGATGACCTAGCAATTCCCGTGTCCTTACACCAGCCATAAAACCCCACAAGTTCGTCGATCATCTTTGCTGCACTAACATAAGCATCAAAAACCTTAACACAATCTGCATAATCCATCTCAGTAAACCTATCCAACAAAATCCTTAATGCTTCGCATATCTCTACATAAAGCCCAAAACTCTCCTTCAAAATCTGATAAAGTGCAACAAGTACCAACCTGCTACTTTTGGCCATACCAGTTGGCCTACAAGCCAACACTCTATTAAGAATCCTCAACGACTGATTCAGCCACCCTAAAACTCTCTCCGGCCTCATTTCCCTCATTGGTGTCCCCTCTCTCCTCTGCTCTCTCTGCTCTCCCCTGACAGAATCATTCAAATCACCATAAGACCTTGATCTCCTACCCATTCCATGATCATAATCATCTCTGAACTCTCCATACACGCGCCTATTCCTCTCATCTCTCTCCTCAAACTTCCCCTCCCCACCTCTCCCCTTCTTCTCAAACACAGAAAATTCCACCTTCTCGTCAAGATACATAGCATAAAACCTAACAAAACCGGCATGATCCCATGAATTGGAATGCGCCTCATCCTTAAAACCCATCATATTCAAAACCCTCATCCCTCTCCTAGTTGCATGCACAAACTCCTCTTCAAAACAAGGGTTTCCATCAACCAAAAGCCTATGAACAAGCATCAACGACTTAAGTGCAACAATCCAATCATGGGTTTTACTCAACCTTTTGGACACCGTAGCAATACAAGCATCAACATAACCTCTAGAATAAGATGTAAGGCTTACGATCTCCCTAAAATACTTCTCATCAGCCGGATCTTCATCGTGGCTCGTGGCTTTCACTACCAAAACTTCAAGTTCCGGCGCCATGTTTCCTGCCACTTTGGCTATGCTTATACTCGTTTGATCCTTCACTGCCCCAATCGCTTTACGGATCGTGGTTGGCGCCATTTACAAAAGACTCTGCTTTCCTTTCTAATCTTGAAAATTTTTGCTTTCTATATAAAAAAGATCAAATCTGTACGCTCCAAAACGAAATCGTTAGCCCAAAAAAAAAAAAAACTGGGTTCGTTCTGACAGCAAATTATAAACTTCTTATAGTTGAAAAGTTCAGTTCTTTCAATAAAATAATATCTGTACGGGTTTCTTCTGAAAGAGAATCTTGATCCCGAAAAAAAAAAAAGGGGTTTATCTATGTTTACCTTTGAAGACTTTCTTTGATCCCAAAGATGGACAAAGGGGGAAGATCTATGAAGTTTTCAACGGAGGAGAGGTGTCCGTATGGTAGGTGGAACCGGATCCAAGAGACTTAACGATGACTGATATTTCCTTTTTTTTCTGCTTTAGTGTGAGATGAATTGCGAGAGTGAAGAATCTAAAGTTTCGTGATTGTCTCCATTTCTATCGCTGTTTTACAGTAGAAAGGAAACAGAGAGAGAGAGAGGGAGAAGAGCGGGCAAAGAATTGCAAAAGCGCGTAATAGAAGGAGGATGCTTCGATTAAAGTCTCGTAATACGACGTCGCGGCGAGCGTTTATGAGGCAGGCTAGAAGGAAAAGAGAATTGAATTGGTTTGATGTTGCTTCGATTAATGTCAACGCAAATTATTCGAAATCAGCAACAAAGATTTGTCTTTGTCATTCTAGAATTTTGTATTCCAACGTCTATGTTTCATCGACTCTGCTTGAATCAGTCCACTACTTTTACCCATAAACTTGATCTTGGGGCAAACATAATTTGGATTTATATAGGCAAAAAAATTTTATAAAAAATTAAAAGTTGGTAAATATATTTTTTATTATTTTTTTATATTTTAAATATATCATAAAGGGATATGTGATTATGTGTTCCTCTTCCAATTTTTATTAGTGGATGAGATTTCAATTTTTATAATTTCATCAACAAACAAAAAGAAAATATTAATAACAAATATTAAAATAAATAGTCAAAAGTAAGTTCCTACATAAAATAAAATAAAATAATTACATGAGCATATTTCTCCATATAAAAGCTTTTAACTAAATTTGGTATTACAAGTAAAGAGATATTAACTATAGTTAACAATTACATAAAAATCAAAATAAAATAATGATAACAATATAAATTTACATATATATTTTTTAAATATGTTTTATTTACTTATCATTCATTCAAAAAAAACTACCACTCTTATCACCTAATTTCGGTTTTTCTATCGAAACACCACTGCTATTTTTCTCATAACGAAATTGTTCATAGTTACATAGATAATCTTTTTATATGTATTCAACGTGTTTGGATTGTATTTTTTTTTCAACTCATTTAACACAATTAAATGAAGATATAGACTTATTTCACAAAAAAAAAAAAATTGAAGATATACACGCTTTTCTAAAAAAAAATTAAATGTACTCATTCAACGTGGCATGCAAAAATCTAGGGATAAATGGATATATATAAGAACAAATACTATTATCCCTTATTATTATTATTATTTTTGAAAGTGATGTTTTTAAATGATGCATGGGATTAGATAATCACTTAAAAATTTATAATAATTTACCCATAATAATTAAAAATTAATAATAATCCATATTATCTATTTAATATATAAATTAAAATTTTAATTTTTCTTAAAATTATAATATTTTATATTATAAAACTTTAAATTGTCAAACTAATATTCACTAGTTCGAAGATAATTTATATATTTTTTACTTTTTTTAATATTTTATATATAATATAATATCTTTGTTTTTTATTATAATTTTAATAAATTAATTTTATTTTCCAATTTGATTGTCTTTTACATAATTTATATTATAGAAATTAATTTACTTAACAAATGAATAAAATATTATTATATTTTATGAACTATTATCTTTAAAAAATATTTTAAATCATTAATTTGTATTACTATTACAATAAAAATGACTATTTGTATTTTTTAATAATATCAAACAAAATTATTTTAATTTGTATGAATTAATAATATTAATCAAATGATTTCAAATCTCGAATAATAAAATCATTTTGATAATAAAATCATTTCAATAATTACATTACCATGATAATCTTAAAAATAATAGTCTTAAAAATAATAATATTAATCAAATGATTTCAAATCTCGAATAATAAAATCATTTTGATAATAAAATCATTTCAATAATTACATTACCATGATAATCTTAAAAATAATAATCTTAAAAATAATATCACACGTTTTTTATAGTGATCACAATTTGCTCTCAATCTTATGTCTTCAAAAAATAGCTGAAATTCATAATGCAAAAAGAATTTCTTATTACATTCGTCAAATAAAAAAGTTATTTTAAACCCAAAAATTAACCATATGCAAGAATAAAAATAACCTACTAACGTTTGTGCTCAGCCAAAAATTGGTGATATCAAATAATTAACAGTTTCTGAAACGCTAAATGATAAAGGGAAAACAGCCAGGGCTCCTAGCTATTATAAACCACATATTTTGTCCCTGATTTCGTTTTTTTTCAAGTCCATAGTCAGGCCCACCTTCTCTAACGCACCAACTCCTAAATTTACATCAACCCTGAATAATGGAATCAATGAACACTATGCCTTGGCTGCAAAACGGATGTCATGCCATTTAAATGAACCTAATTTACTTATGCAGCTTTCCCTTAAAAATCACATTAACATGGGACCATGGAGTGGGATAGCATGGTAGAGATACATACTCGGTATCCTTTCTAAAAGACCTGCACACGGAGGAGTCACCGTTGGGGTGGCTCTGAACCAGTTGCACCAGAAGGGGTACTTGGTCCAGCACCATTTTCAACTGGAGGAGTGGTGCCCCATTTTCCTTCAGACTCCAAAGGCTCAAGGATATAGACTCCACCATCTGTTAGTCCCAAAGCAAATTGATTTGGATCGGATGGATGTCCCGCAATGACCAGAGGAAAAACTCTTAAGCTGTTCAAGGTGCATTGTTAGAAACGTCTAAGAAAAAGATGATTTTAACAACTAATTCAATTTGTGTATATTACTGGTTTAATAAATAGAAAAAGGAAAAGGCACCTTGGATTGGGAGGTAAATATGCAGCAGGACTTATTCGACATCTCAATCTCAGCGTTGAAGCAGTAAGAACACCCACACCTCCATCTTCAAAGCTCACATATATTGATTGGCTGTCACATGAGTATGTTGCATGTGTGATGGGACCACTTGCTTCACGAGGGACCCACTGTTAGAGAAAAGAATTCCAAGATAATGTTAGTATCCTCAAAAAAAATCCCACAATCCTGTAGGCACTATTGATGACTAGCAAATTATACTGGCAACAAAGCAATTTCTAAAAGCTCAAATTCTGCATTGCTGGCATACTTCTTACTACATGCATGAAAGCTGAAAAGCAATTACCTCCTGAATTGCACTTGATTTAAAAACAGATTTTAAGCAATAAAAATTATATATATATATATATATATATATATTAGTAAAGATAATACAGCAAATAAGTTCAGACACCTGCTTTAGGCATTCTAATTTTGGTGCTGCAAATATGGCAATCTGAGTTTCATGAACTGCCAGCAAATGCATCTGATCTTGGTGAAATTGAACACGGGTATCTGCATGAGGAGATGTTGCTCGCCCATTTGGGATTTGCAAGAACTTACTAGCTTGCTTCTCCCATCCATCTGTGCTCCAAACACACAACTGCAGGGAAAGAAGGATGTGGAATAATTAGCAGAAATAAATGTATATTTAATTCTATAACAAACACTAGAAATCATTTTATAAGACATGACCATACACGGTAATCCTATGAAAAACAACAACCATGTAGGAAACACCTGATATAAGCATAAAAATTAGAACGTTCTCAGCAAGCACTTATTCGGGAGAATCATTCCCTAGCCATTCTTTGCCCTATAGTCCTTAACAAGATTAACTCAAAATCAGCCGACTACTTTAAACTTGAGCTTTAAACATATCTAAGTTCCCATCTCAGAGTATCAGTTATCTTAGCTTTCTCATAGTGGGTTGTTAAGCTGCTTTAGGGCAACACAGGTATGCATGGGATAAACACTGATATTTCATACCTGACTGTCGGCTCCTGAAGATACAAGCACGTTTAGAGTATTGGAGAATGCAAGACCTGTTATTCTTTTCTGATGACCTTTTAACTTTGTTTTCACCTGTGAAAATAGAGCACAAAGCTAATCAAACAATTTCTGCTTATTTATCAACAGCCATCAAAGTTTCAAGTAAATTAAAAGGACCTCATCCACCCGAACGTTGTAAATTTGGATTGATGAATCATCCATGCCTATGGCAATGATATTATTGTCCTGAGGATGAAACGCAAGAAAGGTAGCTGCTGGTGGTGGGGGCATAAATGTTGTCATTGTCTGCATATTAATAAAGCACAAAGATACAAAATGAATGTAAAGAAAGCACGAGATTAAATTCTGCAAACTGAAGTTCATGCAAAGAAAAAGTAACTTCATCAGCCAGTTTCAACCTAAAAACCGAAATGAATAGTACCAGTATTTAATTGAAATTCCTTAAACTTCATCATTGCACTTCGAAAGTTTATCCTTTAAATGGCCTATTAACCAAAAAATCCAGAGCTTCCCTAAAATGTAATCATGTCCAAAGAATGAAATGGAGAGAGGACCTACCTTAAATGTCATCATATTGAATAGCGAGATTTTACCCCCAGAAGCTGACATGACATAAGAATCATTCTTTGAAAGTGCAAAGCATGAAACAGCATCTTCAGGATTTGTACCACTTATATCATTAGTCATTAGTATTCCACTTGAAGGCTGCCATAATTGTGGTGCTACACTAGTTGTGGCCTACAACAGGCAAGATCTTACTTAATACCCAGCTTACAATAACATTAAGAAAATATAAAAAATTAGGACGCTATGTATGCGACCAAGTAAAGAGTTGTTGAAGAAATTTCAATACCTTCCCAGTTAAGTTGCGATCACTCCTCTGCCATTTCCAGAGCTTGTGTACGGCATTAGATGCTAATGCCAATATGGCAACTCCAGAATTTGTATATATTAATCTAGAAACCTAGTCGCCAAACACAAAGTATAAATGATTGTCCTTATCCTTTAATAAATAAATAAATATAAATATAAATACAAATATATATTTAAATATTATCATCGAAAATTTGTCAAAATTCAAATCAATAACTGGCTAAAGACCAAAATAACCTCCGATGGTATGTTATGCATCCATATTCATCAAGTCAATGAAAATTATCCAATCAAATATAGTATTTCTTTATGTTGATTATCATACTCTACTCAGAATAAAATCACAGCCTTGAATAATGCAAACTGTAAACATTTCTACTGATAGCTTCAGTCCCAAATTGTAAATATAATTTTAAAAACACAACAGCTGTCTGCCATACAGCAGAGGATAACATCTTATTGAATTATTCATGAGCAGATGATTTTAGAAAGGCCACAAAGGTGATATTCAGGCATAATTATTTCCAAGTTCTATAAAGTTACACAACTAGAGACTGAGGTTTACCCTCATTGCAGTCAAACTATCAGGAAGCCTTGATGAGCGACATTGCGAAGGTTCATTGATTTCTGTAAGTTTCCAGATCCTAGATTTTTCCAGAGACTCATCCACAATTCTGGGCTTTACATCTGCCAAACTTCGACCATCGCTGTTCTGCAGAGACTCAAAACAAAAAAGGTTAGATCATAATAGATCATAAGTTTTTTCATGCATAAATTAGAATTTGTAAAGATTAGCATCCAGAAGATTAGTAAATGTATGTAAACTCTACCAAAAGCATTTAGGTTATGATTATGAGAGATAACTCACCATTCCAACCATAGCAGCTACTGGTGCAGACCGATCACCGATGGTTGTTCCAATAGTTGCATTGTTGGAGCCAAATGTACCAATATTTGGAGACTGTTACATAAATCAGGCAATTCTCACAAAAATATGTATATACATAAAATGAATATATGCATGTATGTATGTATACACGCGCGCATGTGTATTATCTTTTACCTTTACCATAGCAGTCAGACCAACTCTAGAAGCATCAAATGAACGATTCTCCACCATCCGTAGCAACCTAATCCCATCTGAATTTGCTAGAACTTTAATTCCATTATCATCAGTTGAGACAGCTAACAACGTTCCTTCCTTGTTAAATCTAATGCAAGGTGAAGGCTGCATTTTGTTGTAATAAATAGAGTTAGTAGGTAGGAATAAGCATAAGATAATCTGACATGGAATAGTGCCTAAGCTTATGTACCTGTAAGCCACCATCTGCTGGAGTACTTGTCAATAGATTAAGATTGTCCATGTCCCAAAATTTGACAGCGAACTCATCACCAGCAGCCAAGAACCGATTCTTTGTAGTATCAAATTGAACAACTCCTGCAGATCGCTTCCCGAGACCAAAATACGTCCGTTTGACAGTTCCTTCACTTTCATTCCATTCCACCAAATATGATTCCCCTTCTTTGTTTGTCCCGCATGAGAACAACCTATAAGTGGCCAATAAATTAAAGGATAAGTATTACTGCTAAGTAGAAAGATAGCAAAAGAACAACCTCAAAAGAATAAAAGACAAGAATCAGAGAGTCCAAACAAGACATATGAACCTTGTTCCATCAGCACTGTATGCCATTCTTGTGGATGACTGGCCCGGTGCATTATAGTCAACTCTTGAACCCATATTATCATACAACCATGCCTTTATTTTCCCATCAGTTGCTGTTGAGAAAATAAACTGAAAAAGGATACAAAGAAGAAAATGGAAGTCTTTAAGCATAACAGCAATATAAACATGAAACTCACAGGATACCAATGATTAAAGTAAATAATTCTAAAAATAACACTCACCAAAAGGAAAGGTAGTTGTGGACTCTATGGTTGAAAGAAAGAATGCTCTAAATCCTAAAACAGATTGTTCTATGACAAACTCAATATCCCAAAATTTAAAATCTTTTTAGTATGTCATGTGTTGATCTCCATAGAACAATTCTACTTAAAATATTTTTTAACCCTGCCACATCTTTTTTTTTTTACCCTGCTACATTTATTTAAATAGGACATAAGCAGAAAGCGGTGGACAAAGATACACAACAGTTTTCATGCTAGAAGTCAAAAACAAAAAGTTGCAGCACAAACAGTTCCAGAACACAATAAAACAATCCACTCCAAAACAGGCGATAAGATAATAATCACCAAGAAAAAGCTTAAAGCAGACTCTGATTAAACATTAATTAGTCCAAAGGTGGTGGTTTATCATTAAATTATAATTATCCGATGTTATACATTCCATCTATTAAGATTTCTGTGAATAGACTGGTCAAAAGTTTTGAACTTAGTGTCCTGATAGTGATATTGGCTCATTTTGTAAACTAAAGAAAATTAATAATATACTTTATTTTTACTCACTGTTGAAATGAAAAAGAAAACTAAACAAAGGAATAAATGAGTGACAATCTCCATGCTATAGTTTGTTACCTGAATATTTTCCTTGTGATGAGGACATATTGAATAGACAGGTGCTTCATGGCCCTCAAAAGTGTACACCTTAGCCCCATTAGTTGCATCCCAAACCTACAGGATATGAGAGAGTTAGAAAGCCATATCAAACAGATGCAGTAAGAAGAAAATAATGAGAAGATAAGCAACCTTCATAACCCTGTCCTCGCCACAAGTGACAACGCACAATTGTTTGTTTGGATAAGAAAATGCGAGATCATTAACACTCCCAACATGAGCCTCAATCTAAAAATACAAAATAATTCAGTGAATATGTTTAGTAGAAAGAAAGGCAGAAAATCAGCTTCAAACTTGCTGGACCTAATGGAATTGACTAATCACACACACCTCTAGGTTGTTACGTAGATCATCACCACCATGGTAGGAGTATATGTGCACAATATGCTTGGAATACGCAACACCTGAAAATATGGAGAAAATCTCAAATCTTGTGCTTAATTTAGATGAATTTACTTCCTATGCACAGTAGTACACTATCAGAAATACAATTGCTATAGCTCCAAACATTACCAAAAAGAGCTCCATCAGGGCTCCACATAACACGGTTAACTGATACTGTATAATCATTAGCCAGAGATGCCTGAATGACAATCAGAAGTTAACATTAGTTCAATTTTAAGAAGCATTGAGTAACTACTTCATGTTTAATAAATCTTGTTAGAGGTGAAAGAAAAGCCAAACCTGCAGAGGCATTGAACATGCTGAAAGGTCCCAGACCTTAAAATTTTTAAGAGCTATCTTTTCACCATTACCTACTTCCCACACCATGATATCACCATTGTTTGTTCCCACTGAAATTATAAAACCAAATACAGAGAAGACCCAATCAGAACACAACAGGAAAAGGTAGCTAAAACCAGAATATGAAATCCTACTCAATTTACAAAAAATGGATTCTGAGCAGGCATAAAAAATTTTGTTCTTTGCTCACCAAGAAGTACAGTTTGTTGCATTGGATGGAAATCCATGCTCTTGACTGCAGACCCCTGACTTAGAGTCATAACGACGGTCTTGGGCAAGTCATCAAGAGAATAAGAACTCTGACCATGGCTCTGGCCGGCATATGGAACGGGCAAAATATTTATTGGCAGATTATTGACCTGGTGTTGAGGTATTAGCTAGGTACCCATCATTTATAAAATACCATTTCAAGAAAAGTTGGAAGAATGATGCTATGCTACAAGATGGTGCACATCTCCTGCTTACCAGTCAAAAGACTAGTGGCAGAAAACCCTTAAGATGATAAAACAAGACAACTAAAACTCACAAATTAGTCAAAACTATATGAGCTACACATTGCCATTTTTTTCTTTCAAATGATAAACGGAAACCAAAGATGAAATTTTAATGACAGAAAGGTAAAACTAACCATAATGGCACTCAAAGACCAAGCAAAGCAAAAATTTTCATTCTGCCTCATCAAGCATGCTCTACTACATTTCACTGATTACCCATCTTTTAGGTGACAATGGGTGAAGCAGCAAAACTTGAGTTGCTACTTATTACCCAAAAAAGTCATAATACAAATAAATTTTCAAACTTAGGGATAAACAATTTTATTTAAATTATACTTATCACATGAATTAATTAATATCCTCTAAACTTCAATAAATATGCATCACATATATCTCAAAGCCATACTAATTGATACATATGAAAATAGATATGCACATGTTACAAAGAATTTCACAAGGTAAATCTGCTTATAAACAAGAATATAGGGTATTATTAGCATGTGATACCTCATCTGGCATTCCAAAGGGCCTTGATCTCTTCAAAACATGATCAGAATCTGCTGACTGGTAGTCCAGAGCAGGGTTATTTGTTGTAGGAGTTCTAGGGCGTTTTAAGATTGCAGCTACCATGAGAAACAAATAGAGAAGGTAAAATAATAGTCCATCAAGATAAGCATTCACTAGAAAAACAACCTCACTGACATGCTCTGGTGAATTCTCAAAGTTTCTTGGTCTTACATCTTAATAACATATTAGCAACAAATATACCTTTTCCTAACAGGTTTCATGCATCATGTATCTTGTCTGAGACAACATAAGTAATTCTAACATACAAATATAGCTTCACAACATGCACATCAGTACCCATATGATAAATGTGGAACTTAGTAAAGCAAAAGCGCTTTGAACACAATGAAAAGATTCTTTAAATAACCTGCATTGTTAGGTGAAGCAAGCCCTATTGGTCCAGCAGAAGCCGCAGGGTGAGGCATAGGAGTTGGGTTAGCCATCCATCCAGCAATAGAGGTTGGAAGAGTGGCAGGTGAGGGCTGAAAGGGCTGTAAATATATTGTTTATGAAGTCAAAAGAAATAAACACTCCAGAAACAGCTTAATTACTTATGACTTCTACTTACACCATGAGCACCCAATGGAGGAAAACCCCCTGCCTTCGGAACAGCACTCATTAAAGGATTAGTGATAGGGGATGGAGCTTGTGCACCATTTGGTTGTCCACAACTGTGATCTACAAATAGGGTTTTTATGTCCGGATTAGGCCTTGGATTTTTACAAAGCTGATGCTGCCAATTCAAACTGTATTAAATGTCAATAATAATTACTGTCAGAAAGCTCACAAAAGGAAGGAATGACTCAAGTACAGAATCTAGAAAAAGGAATATGAGACCTTTGATTTATTAGTGTCCGCAGTCTTGAGCTCTTCAAGGTAGGAAACTGAAGCTTATCGCGGAAAAGGGGATTAGCCTCTATTAACTTTTTTAATTCAGCAAGCATTATACACCTAGCCGATTTCGTATCCCCGTATTTGGATAGTTGCTCATTTTCTCTGTGCATTAGCATAAGCCATAAAATCCCATGAGCTAATGAAATGCAAAAACAAAGATGCCAAAGTTCTAAGATGCTAGACTAGCACAAACCGAGCACCAACACCAAATGACCAAAATCTCAATCATACCTAAAGTTTTCCAATGTCAACAGATGTGTAATTTCCTTAAAAAGTTCCTCATTAAATGCCGAAAACACTTTCAGGTCTTTAACTAAAATCTCCACGGCTTTAGCACGATCCCGCCTGCATTTATTTCAGTAAAAAACAGATAATCTTACAATCATTTCCCTTTTTCTGGTAACTAAATTAACTTTGCAAGTAAGATAAACCAACTGAAAAAACAACAGGACTAGAAGACACGCCAAACTTAACAAACTTTTTTTTAAAAAATGGCTTACTTGTCAAGAGCTTCAAGATACTTCTGTTTTCGGATCTCGAAGAAAATCTTCATGGAATATCTGTTATCATCAACCTTTGTAAACCCTGAAAGATACTTCTCTACTTCATCCCATTCCCCATTTGTCACCATATCCTCAAAATATCTCAAATTGAAGAAAAACCCTGACTCTTGCTCCAATCTATTAAATTTAAATTCATTAATCAACAAATACACCAATAAAACAAAAAGAAAAACATCAACACATTCATAATATAAATTTAAAAAAAGAAAGAAAGAAAAAAGAGTTCAAAGATTAAAGCATACTTGTGAACACTGTCTTTAAATTTCTCTTCCTCAAGGAACTGAAGTATCAGGAACACAAGTTCTCTGCTAAGCGAGGACATGATTGTAATTCTGTAAAAAGAAATCAACAAAAAAAAAGAGATCTGAACTCCTCACAGATCAATAATACTTCAAAAAAACAAACAAAAAACCCTAAAGAAATTACAGTCTTAGCTAAAAAAATTCAACAACTCAAACTAATTATCCAAAAAATTATTAAAAAAAAAAAGAAATGAGAACAAAAATTACCAGATTGAACTGCACAGATCGGAAGAAATTTTCGGAGAAAAGCCAAGAGAACCACAGGTCGTTTCACCGCTTTCCCTTTAGTTTTCCTTTTTCTTTTTTCTTTTTTTTTTTCTGTTTGTCTCGTCTGTCTCTCTCTCTCTCTTTGCGTTGTTCTGGTGAAGTATTTATAGAGAGAAAAAAAGGTTAGGGATTCGAAAGGTAAGAGAGAAAACAAAAAAAAAAAGGAAAAATGAAATATGCCAGTGTGGCACTATCAGACAAATTAAATACCGTGATGAGAGCGAGACGAGATGAGATGAGTTGATAAGTCAGTGACTTATAAACTAATAAGATATTGATATGTCTTGGCACTTATAGACGTATTCATACGCTGGATTTGCTCGCTTCTCAAGTGTATAATTAAATGTACTCATCATTTTGCAGGCTAAGCCTTAGGTTTTCTTGTTATTTATATGAATTTTGTGTAGTAAAAAATACTAGCGTCCTTTTTTTTAAAGGAAGGTTTAGTCAAAAACATTGTTGTCGCTTAATTAAAAAATGTTACATAATTTTGTTAACTGTCTTTGTTAAATTTTTATTTTGAATTATTAAAATTCAAATTTTAATAATTTTAATTAAAAAATGTTACCTAATTACGACAAAAAAATAAATAAAATAAGAAAGTAGTTGTATGACAAGTAAAAGAGAGTTGGTGGGTCAAATTAATATTGATAAAAAAAATATTAATTGTTTTTCTATCATATTTTTTTAATTTTTTCTCAAAAATGAAAAAACATTTTAATATTTGGATAAATGGTACCAAACTTACATACTGAAATTGAGTAATGTAATAGCATATGTTGAGGTTATTTTATATTTTTATATCGATGTGTATTTATTGGGGTTAAATTTTTATGAAGCAAATTTTAGCTCAGAAAAAATTATTTTTTGAACATTTGAAATATTAGATTTTATGATTTTATAAGAGAAGTCGTAATTTAAAAATAAAAAATTATAAATTTTGAGATTTAATAAATTTTGATAAAACTATTTATTAATAAAAATGATTTTTTTATATCTAAATTGATATCTTAAATAAGTTTTATTGATGATAATTTTTTATTTTCATAATAAATTATTAATAATAGTTTATCTTATGTATAAATAAGAATTCTTCATTTATCATATTTCTAAATTATAACAATATTAAATATTTATATTTATATATTATTTGAAAATAAATAAAAATATACAAATATTCGGATGCAATACATGACAAAAGCTAATTTACATGATTACTAGTGAGTTAATAAGTTTAAACATTTAATAGATTGTTTTGTTTCTTTGCTAAGAGATAACTACAACCATATATACGTTTCGTTTGTCTCCATCCTTAAAACTCAATTCCAAAATGAAATTCCTTCACCAACAACACAACTTTTGTAAAGCAAATTTTCTTTTTAAAATAACATTTCCACTCTCGTGAATGCACGCGCTGAAAAAAAGATAAGGTTGGACAACAACTAAGAACGTGGACCTGCCATTTTGGTTTTGGAGGGAGGACAGGTTAAATCAAAGTGTGCCGCGATTGGAGATTTTAAATTCGATATGCTGGTATAATGATACGGTAAAAAATACAAAAGTTAAATGATTTTAAAATTTCAATAAAATACTATATCAAATTGATAAAAATTAAAAATATATATTTTATATTTAATATATTTATATAAATTATGATATAATAATTTTTATATTTTATATATATTAAACATGATAAATATAAATATAACACATTATAAACATGTTTATTTTTTATTGGATATTATTTTGCATGCATCTATTCTACTTATTTATTGCTCTTTTCTCCTTCATTTTTTTTTTACACAAAGCATGCATGCATGCAATTAGGTATGTCAAATTTCTCATATTTCAGGAATGTGATTTTTTTTTTTATTAAACTAATATGTATATCAAGTTTTGAACAAAAAAAAAAAGATAAATATGAATTTAAAATACTCAATAAAAATAGAGATAAATACAAATATTATAGCACTTTTCATGTGCCTGCATTTAATATTAAATACTTAAAAACATATATAAGTTTAAAATAAAATATGCTATATTTATTATATTAGGATTTTTTATTTTAAACGTTCTTACTTAATTTTTTTTCCTATCAGTCTTTATCCTTTTTTTTTTCTTTTAGCTACCTCTTTCTCTCTTTTTGAGATCTTCTTAGTAAGGGTGAGAAAATTTTAAGAAAAATAAAATTTTAATTTGAAATTATAATGTTTTAATCGGTTTGGATTTGATTTTTTATTCAAATCAAATTTAGTATGAAAATTAAATGTATATATTAAGTTTATATTGAATTTCATATCGGTATGTGAAAAATTAAAAAAATTAAAATGAGCTGGATTATATATTTTTATTAGTTTATATATTTTTTAAATTTTTATAAAATAAAAATAAATATTTTATCTCTAAATCTATTTAAATGTATTAAAAGTTGTATTAAAATAATATATAAAAAACTCAAATATACAATAACAATGCATTAAGCCTTATATTCCATACATAGAAAACACAAATATAAAATTTAAAAATCGATAAATTGAATCGATCAAATTCAATTCAAATTGTTAAAGTGAATTATCTTATATTTAATAAATATCAATTTTTTTGTAGTATTATATTCATATTGTACCCCCTCATTTACTACAAATTAATTTTAAAATGAATGCTTAACATGGTATCAAAATCAAGATTTTCTTTCGTTATCATTTCTTAATCCATTACATAGTAGGTTTTTTTCATATTCATCTACATATGTTAAACCCCTTCACTTACTATCAATTAATTTTTAGTTAAATACTTGACACAAATCATGTCGATTTAAAATAAAAATCGATTCAAAATTGATCAAATTTAAAATTTTTAATACTATATGTTATTTAAAAAAATCAAATAAAATCATATATAATTTAATTCGAATTATTATCACTTTTATTTTTTAACCTACTATTTTTTTATCCTCTTTCTCTTGACCTCCTCCCCCCATATTTTCCTCTTTTCTCCTTTTTTTTTTTTTTTCCTCTTTTCTCAATGCAGTCTCTCTTAATTGCAATGTCCTTTATCACCAAACAGCACCAAAACCTCATTCTCTTTTTCCATTCTTCTATCTCTCTCTTGAATCTTTCACGTACAATCTTCCTTGATGGCATAGGGAATTATACTAGGGTTCAAATAGATGTAATTCTTGCCAACTCTAAAATTAATGTTGATTTTATGTTACAATAAAAAAGTGTGTTATTTTTCTTCAAATATTTTGAAGCGCGTGGGCGGTCGGTCCAACTTTTGCCTAAGATAATAAAAAAGAAAAGCCACACCCTTGGAATAAGAAAAGTATCCATCACGTGTCAACGTTGCGATACCTCTTGTTCATGTGCCATTGAAATTACAAATTTTCAAAATTTTGATAATTAAAAATGTTAATCAAAAAATAATTTTTTATGGCTGCAATTCGTGCTCACTATATTTATTTATTGTCAAACCCTGAAAAGTTTTTTTAGTGACACGCAACTCACACGACAAGTCTAATGGGCTAAGCTTTCTTTCATATAGTAATAAATCGTGTGACATTTAAATAGATATTTTCACACAAATCAATTAAAGATAATTTGATATTTGAATAAGCAATAATAAATCATAAATTAATCTCAACTACATATAAATAAGCATATTTTATATCGAAAGAAAAAAAGTACATAGAGACAACACACAAAATTTTTGAAAAAAAATATTTTATTAATATAAAAAATAATACATCAAGACTTTTTATCATCATCGAAGTCAAAAGATAATTCTTAACAAATGACCTAATACATACTTTAATCAGTAAAATAATTTAATAATACGTTGATCGCTCATTTCCTTTAAAGAATATATGAGATTTTAAAATTATGCTACGATCGATAATTATAATGTTTGAAATAAAAAGAATTTTTTAACACAAATGATCTACTCTTTCCTTGACATTTTTATCCGATCATGACTTTATATATGGTGGCTTATGATAATTTAAGCCGCGATTATATCCCTATACAAAATTGGCTCATCACAACAAGCGAGTACAAAATCCTTACACCGCTCGGGCGCGTAAAGGACCATGAAAGAGCGCTTTTGCTGTTTCAGACGTGAATGACAAACGAATTTAATGAACATGAGCTAAAAAGTAAAAATATCGTGTTTCTTTATAAATTCCATCGCGATTTATATCGCGTGAAAAGATATTTTGTCTGATATATTTTTTCTCTTTCTCTCTCAAAATCACATCATTTTTATCGTTTAACGAAAACAACCGCACGTCAATTCACTGTGACGCAAGACATTTTAAACGGTTCTAATTAGACGAGTTTTTGTATTTATCTAGCAAAAAAGTCGGTTTTCTCTTTTTTTTTTTGTTTAATTTAAAAAAAAAAAGTAGAAGTGAGAATCATATGGGACGCTCCTCTGCATAAATTTGGTGTGGGTCTCTTTTTTATAATATAGAAAAAAGAAAAAGCAGTCACATGGGAATTTTCAGTTAAATACTACAAGAATCATGATTAATAAATAAATCAACAGTAACTACATCGATGGGTTTCTTTGAACGGTTTGATGCATTAATGTATTCGTGTAAGTGGAAAATTTATTATATAAATTCGTTTAACAATGTCATTTATAATTATGATATGTTTAATCATGATTTGTTTGCTTTATAATTAACCATAAGAATTATATTTTTTTCAAAATTTTATAACCGAAATAATAATTTCATGCAGAAATAAGTTAACATTTTCCTTTATATTTTTCATAAAATGTCGAACACTTACTATAAATAAAATAATAATTTTTAATTTTTTATAAATTTTAGTAAAAAATAAAAAGTATATTTCACTACCACAAAGTCACTTTCAATTGGATACAATCAATAAACTTTAGATTCAAAATTTCTTTCAATTTGCTTGAGGTTTGTTCATCGAATTCCAGAATCCTAGTTTTTCATCTAAATTGTTTTTCTTAGAAAATTATATATTCTAGTAAGTCGGACGAATCTTGTTTGGAATTGGAGATAAAGTCTTTTTCAACTTTTTAAAAGTCAATAGTTAGTGAGAAATGTGTTTCTTTTTTTTTTAATAATAATATTTTCAAAAGAGCGTTCAAATTTAGAACTATATCCATCAGGAATAATAATCCTAAGAAAAGAAAAAACAAGTGCATTCTTGTAAAATAATCTAAAAAATAATATTTTTCTTTTTGGGTTAAAAATATTGAATAAGTAATAATTTTGGATCTGAAATTTAACTTATTTAATTCATACATTCAATTTGAAAAAATGACATCGAGACCTAAAATTTAAATTTCATTAAATTTAGAGTTTAAATTTTATTTTCTATAATTATTTTCCTTAACCTTAAACTGTATCCTTATTCGTATAAAAAAATAATGATCACGTATACATATTTTATATTTAGTTACAATATTGTAATTAATTATCATGAAATTTTGTTTTAACCATAAACTTTACACTTTTTTATAATTCAATTTCTTTTCTTCAAGTTATAGATATTTTCCAAGGTAACATCATTTTATATTTTTACATGTGAAAATTTGTTAATACTTTAGTTAGGGTGTTCAAATATTATAGAGGTTTGAGTTTCTAAGACTATATTATTAATTTTAGAATTAAAGACGTCAGATTATTAGATAAGATTAGTCAGTCCAAGTTCATGCATGTTTCATAAATAAGTTGGGTCAAAGTTAGAGGTAATTCTCATGGACAGATTTTAAACTATCGCCTAGTTTGATCGCATATATTATCAGTTTAGATCCAACAAAAGATAGTATATATGAATATGATACATTATTTAAAATTCTTATATTAACATGAATATAGATTTACACCCATAGGAATTAGTCTAGTAGATATAATCATGCGAAGAATATTTTAAAAATAAAATTTTTATTGCATTAAATCAATATAAGAAAATATCTATTTAAAATTATAGGTAATAACGGATGAAATTAAATCAGATTTTGTTTGGCTTTTCAAATAATATAAATTTTTTAAATTTTATAAATTTGATCAAAATCTGAATTAATATTTTTTTAAATCAGTTCGATTTAAATCAATTTCTATCGATTCGGTTTGATTTATTGGTTTTTAGTTTTATTTTTTACATATTATTTTAATAAAATTTTTAATATATTTAAATAAATTTATATATAATAAAAATATATAATTCAATTCAGTTTAATTTTTTTATTATTTATAATTCGATTCAAAATTTAAAATAAATATTTAATATTTAATTTAAATTAAATCAAATATTACAATTTCGAATTGATTTTTATTATTTTTTTTCAACTTTACTTAAAATCTCTCATAAAAAAGATTAAACTAAAAAAAAAAAAAAGCTTAAAAATGCTCCCAATCCTGTTAAAAAGCATGAATGAAGTAATGGAAAAGACCCATCCAATAATTGATGGTATCCAATGACAAAATACACGAGACCAAACTTGTTGAACAAGCTAAGCAGCAATTGCGAGGTGTAGAGAATAAACGACATGAGGAAATTGCCTAGCAAATTAACCTTTGTTGGCCACTAACGTACATTTTGGAGGTTTCTGCTCTTTATAAACTGCTTTCTCCATCACATTGTGTACCTTTTTTTTTTTTTAAAGTTCTTACCCTAATAATTATGCCATAAATTCATAAATTTTAAACGTGAATTTCAATAATATATTAATTAATTTAAAAATTAATCGACACATTGTGTACTTGTCTTTAAGGTACATATATGGACGGTGAAAAAAAAAAACAAAATTATACTACCATCATTTCAAAGCTACTTCGAAGACAAGAAAAAACAATTTTTTTTGTGTAAATGAGGTTTTATTTAGATGAATAATAAGATTAATTTTGATGAAATTAAAAATAATAAAAAATTATTTTAATTATAATTTTAATTAAAATTTTTTTAAAAATTTATATTAAATAAATTTCATTAAAAATAATATTTAAATTTAATTAATAATATAATATATTTAACTACGTCACATCAAAAAATACTATAAAATCTAAACCATTCCTAAAATTTCCAACGGGCTTTCACACATAGGAAAAAACAAAATTGACTACTTAACTATAAGGGTCGATATCATGGGGAAGTTTCCAAGAATCTACGGATGCCAAAGAAAGATTTTTCATTTGAAGTTGATGATTGCACGTCCAAGTCCTTTGTCACATGCAATTTGCAAGCCTTGCAAGTAGTGCATAGCTCAGGCTTTGAGTATTGTTGACATGATCTGAGGTGATTCATCTGACAGAATTATTTGCCTTGTCCTTTATATATATTTATAACTTTTCATTTTTTTTTTTATAATTAATCTGCCTATCATATGTTTGAAATCAGCAATAACAATTGAAACATATGTAGTGTCACATATGCAGCATCATCCTCTGCAACGAAGTTCAACTTGATTTAGACATAGCAGAACAGATGCAGTCACGAACAGATCATTTCTATTCATTACCATTCTTCCTCTAACTTCCAATCTTACCATCTCCTATGTAAGAACATATTTGAAAAGAAAATATACAAAAGGCACTCTAATGAATCAGTCCAAGTACACAAGGTACTTTTCATTCTTATTTTTAGTATTTCTCCTTCCAGAATTAGTAGTGGGCCAATTCCTTAACTTTAGCAGTTCAAACCCAACATGTTCTTAGTGCAGGAAGGCTGGTCCATTGAGTAGCCCGGACTCTGCTACATGGATATATCTCATTTTTCCTTTTGGGATTTTGGGTATTCCCAACAGCCATGGCAATGCAAACTGCATAGCTTAAAACGCCATAATCTTCGGTAAAATTGTGATAGTCTCGTTCTGACAAGGGATACCCAGATACATTGCAATTGAAAAAGAAATCTAGGGCCTTTTTCATGGGCCCAAAGTTGTTTCATGCTGAAGAATATAAATAAATTTAGTACTCCATTTACCATTGGTATTGAAATGTTTGAGAATAATTGAAGCAGAGCATTAAAAGTTATTGCACTTGAAAATGCAAGCAGATTCAAATATTATGACCAGTTCATATGTTTTTCTGATATTTTTCCAATCGTCATAGATCTGATTGCAGTTTCAGATTTTACAGAAAAAGAGTTAAATTACTATATATTACATACTGTCATTCAAAATACAAGCAAAAAATAAGGCCACGAGGATTCTTTTAAGACCAAAATCAAGGAAGCTGAAACATGGCCGATGATTTTGATAATTTGATGTGGTCCATGAGAAGCCCATTTGCTTGCTAGCCTCTGCTTTTAATTAGTTTGAGGCATTTCAAGGAGCGAATGAAGGTCCTGAAATAATAAAGTTTGTTTTCATCATTTTTTTTTTCTGGTTCAAGTTTCCGTCAGTTTCTATCTAACCAACCAAAAAGAAAAAAAAAAAAAAATCCCAGATAAGTACCTCCAAGGAACATCTTCAGCAAGCAACCAGTCTCCTTCTGTGTCTTGGTAAGTGAGTTTAAAGCTCTTCCAATTCTCATCAGCTGTTCCCAAACAACCAAGGAAAAAAGGAAGTTTATTCATGCTTTGTTAATCAAACTTAATGTTGAAAGTTGAATTAAATTTAAGCAAGGTTCGGGTTACCTACGTATACCAAACATTTTCATCAGGGTGTTTATAAGCGTTTCAAAGGAGTGATGGACACTAAGGTCAATTTTCCTGGCAATTGCAACTCCTTCCATCTTTACCTTCACGTACGTGGAATTTGAAGCGCTACCACCACAGCCATTCTCCGCCGCCGCCACCATGGGATTGTTATCTGCTTCGTCATTAGGAACTTCGCGGCGTAGCTTCTTCCCCCAGGTTTTCACTGGTGGCCACCCCACCAAACCCTGTCCATCATTCCTATCAAACCAAAGATTAAACCCCATAAATAACAAATTCCCAAACATACATTCATCAAGAATATTGATGATAACCAAAAAAAAAAACAAAAACTCAAGTTTTAGAATTTTTTTTCTTGTTCTGAAACGAACCCTAAAAGAAACACGACAGGTTTCAAGTATAAACAAAGAAACGGACAGGCGCACGAAACAAACGTAAAGAAACAAAAAGAGGGGAGAGAGAAAGAGAGTTAAGTACTCGAAAATGGCAGAAGAAGAGTTGTCATCGAGGTCTTTAGGGTCATCTTCGTCATTAGGTTTGTTAGTCCAAAGCAAAAGAGGCAGCGTTTTGGGAACATTTCTGTTCTCATCAAAAAGTAGAACTTCATCAAAGCCACGTTTTTTGCTGCCACCGCCGCTGCTAGAGCTACTGCTGCTGCTGCTGTTAATGTTAATGTCACATGGACCCAGTTTTAGCAAAGGCTGGCTCAAAGTGTTGGAACCCAAAGCCTCCCTGGGCTCGTAACCATAGCTGTTTAGGTCGAACATTTTGATGGTTATAATAGGAGTACTTGGAAGGGCAAGTCCCAATTGGAGCTCCATGCACATCAATAACAATTGAAAACCAAAATTGTCCAACAAAAATGAAATAGAATAGAATACTTTAAAAGAAGCCAAGGGCAATTGCTATTATGCTACGGCGTAAGAGAAGCAATTTTGGGGTCAGGAGTCAAGGAAATCTGGGTTTCTTGGTAGCAAAGCCGGGGATTTTAATATAAGATGCACGGCTAGTGGGTGAGATGGGGACATTTAGCAGACAAAGGGTAACATTTGGTGAAGTGGGTCCAAGCTTTGCTTCACTTTTAGCCGACCTATTTGCCCCCTTCTGTTTACTTTGTTGCTGCCCATTGTTTTGACTTTCCTGTATCTTTTGCTAACTACACTGCCAAGGATTCCACGCGCACCAAAACTGGGAGTGTTTCTTTTTCAACTCTTTGATTCATGAATTTTCTCACTTTGACGCCATTTTTGACAGTGAGAGGGGGGAAAAGCATGAACCTCGAGTCCTGTTTTGTTTGCAAGGAATCTATTCGTGAATCAGTTTGTCTATGAATGAAGTTAGAATTTTCGTACATAACTTATACACTAAACTTAAAAAGGAAAGTTAAGCCATAACTTTGAGTTGCTTCTCATGATCTTCCAAGAAAATTACTTGGATTTTGAATCTTAAATGGAGCTGGAAAAAAAGAAATTCAATCCTCAAAATAACCTGGAAAAACCAAATCAGATGCAGATGTACAAATTTTCTACTGTTATTGATAACAGCAAAGCTTCAAAGTTTCAACCCCAAGTGAAAGTTGAATTCTGGGTGTTCTGTCACCACTCAAACACGCTTCTGTACGGAGAGTGAGAGGGGTTCGAAAGTTGGGTTTTGAGATTCCAGGGAAAGGGCCCCATGAAATTGAAAGCAAAGCTTAAGACAGCAACAGATCCTTTAATTCCTGTTTAGGTTACAGATTTGATAGTCATACCTACGGGGGCCACCCTCTCGATGATTTCTCTTGCATTCAAATTCATTCAGACGTCTTTGGTTTCCTCGCCTCTTTCATGCAATACTTAACCCAATACGGCATGTTTCATTAGCTTCTCTGTCTGGCTGATAAGATGTTCAATCCATAGAATCCAACTCAATATGGCACGTTTGATTAGCTTCTCTGTCTAGCTGATAAGATGTTCAATCCATAGAATCCATCTAAAGAATCCAAGTTTTCTACTCTTGCCTACTGAATTCAATTCCCATCAATCCAATCAGCAGAAAAACTTTTTTTCTTAGATAAATTCTTATAAAATCGCAACAAAAAATTATGAACTGAAATTCTTCTAACAATTAGCCATACAATATCCACAATAATCATATTGAACCAATTAAAATTTTTCTCAATAAATTCTACATTTGTTATTCTCTCTCTACAGGGTTGGTAACTCTCAAAATTTTCAGATTTCCTTTTTTACTTATCAAATAAAGAAAAAATAAATAAAATTTGATATGGTATGTTTTAGTTGATAGAAATTTTACCTTTTTATTAATAAATCCACACTAAATTTCTATATGCATATTTTTATAATTAATTACACTCACAAGCATACAAGAACTCCTTAAAGAATAATTGTTCTAGGGCAGACCTCATCTTTTGATGTCAAGAAAAAATGGGTTTTATTTTAATTTGGAAATGGAGAGAGAGAAAGGAAAGCATTGTGGAGAATGTAACCCACAGCAAAATTGCCCCAATGGTCTTCCCCAGAAGATAACTTTGTCATGTTTAATAAAACACATGTTCCCTATGTGCTTTAAGTTATGTTTGGTGCTGAATTCTAAACATAAAATTTAATACTACAATTTTGATGAGAAATATATTTTTAATTTAGATTTTGTCTCACTTTTTGGCTTATGCCAACAAAACTTTGTTCCAATAAAATGAAGTTTGGCAACATTGCCTTCATTCAAACCCAAAACACGTTTCAACTCACATTAGTCCATTGCTTTGTAATAGGATGGACAAGGTTGAAAGGGAACCATGCAGGGTTCACGTGATGGGAAGTCCCCCAAGGCAGAGCCAGAGGCAAAGCCCACGAGACAGACGGTCAAGGCGGGGCAACCCGCACGAGGCGGTGCGATGGTGCCACCCATATTCGAAGAAAACGATTTTTTCCTACCAATAAGACTGGTTCCATTCCAATGGATGGAGCTGGATCGACATCCATTATTGGTCCATCACTTAAATGAGTTAATGACTAGGGTTGTTCACTAGGGAGGCAACGTGCTAAGTGAGTGCCAGGGCATTTATCACACTGTGTCGTGGACTGCTTCGTTTAGTCAATTTAATCCTTCTGCATGAGCAAAATCAATGAGGAATTGGGGTTGGATGAGGGGAGGGGGCAACTTGAATGGTGATCAAGAAATAGATGAATTTCTCTGCCACTCAGTCAAGGCACTTGTGTGTGAATGGATTGTTTTTGTTAGGCAATAAATTTTCAAAGAATCTAGAAATGTAGGTGAGGGGCAGTCTAATGACTAGGCAGGTTGATTGGTAGAGCTCGAATTTGTCTCTCCAAGAGGTCCCCTTTCTTTTGGGGTTATTCATTTTATTAAATCCTTACTTAAGAAAAAAAAAATGTAAGTTCATTTATGTTTGCATGTGAAGCTATCTTTAAAGCTCAAAGTCCATTATTTTATGGTAATTAATTTGAAGACCACAGTAATAAGAGAAATAAATGAACAATACCGAATCGTTAAAAGGACATGAATTTATTTTAGTTAAGATAACTGAACAAATCATTTACGCCAAGAAAGAAAATTAATTAACATTTCTTTCTAGCTTCTTATGTATCGATTTTTATTTTTATTTTTCTAAATATAATTGATATTAGAATCGATTTCAAAATTGCAGAAATCAAATTAAAACTTTAGTTCAAAAGGTTGATATGGAGAGGACTGGAAATAATCTTTGGATTCGGAGGAGAGATGGGCACCACCACATTCTCACATGGGGAAGAAATAGATGACAACATTGAAGGGTGTTTCCGTGACTTGGGCATTGAAGGTATTGTCTTCTTGCTCCTTTTGGCAGGCTAGCTTTACTAAATAAAGCCATGGACAAACCCAACCCATTTGCTTGTTCAAATTCATGCGTTTATCGGGACCCAATACAATTATGTATCCAACCCATTTGCATTTTGCACATCATTTTAACCCTTGGGTCGTTTTCCAACCAACCATATCATGATGGTCCATTAGTATCAAATTTTCATCTGAAAATGGTTTTCTAATACACCATTTTTCTCCTTAGAGAATGAATTTTACTTCAATTTACCAGTTCGTTGACGTTTAGTACATTAATAACATGGTTGGTCAATTAGGGGGTCATGTTTCAGTAATGTTGGGATAAGAATAGATGGCAAAGAAAAAAAATTTCTAAAGCATTAATGAAAACTGGAAACGCCCAGATCTCTTTGAAATTTTTAAAACGATTCAAAAATTGTTCAGTCTGTTAATAGCAATGGTTGAATTGGCCGACTACGAAGCAGAAGCTATGAAAAAATGTTGAACATTTATTTTCTCACATATCATACCATGTCAGCTCCTTCATCGAAATGGGAGCAGTGAAAATCATGTTAGACATCTTATTTTTATATTTGTTATAAATTTATATTTAATGCACTATCAATACATAGATTTTATATATTGTTAGTGAATAAGATGATATCATTTTATTAATGAAGTGAATCAGATGATATTACTTTATTAATGAATAAATTTTAAAAAAATAATAATTTTTATATATTTATTTTAAGAATTGATAATTATTCGTTAATGAAATAATATCATCTGATTTATTAATAATGTATAAAATTTATACACTAATAATATATCAAATATAAATTTATTTTTTATATACTAAATCTGATTTAGTTTTGTTTTTGGTTATTTTGAATTAAATGTAAAACTTGGGAGAATCCAATTTAGCAACCCAAAGCAAAATGGAAAATTTAGACCGTTTGTTTTTCCATAAATGTGTTCGGCATAATTGTTAACTATTATTCGTGCCAGTCCAGTATCAGAAGGCAATCAAGCAGGCTACAAGCAGAAAGCCCAGGCATACATCTTACAATTTGCAAGGAGTGATGACCGATTGAGTGATGGCAGTAGTGACATGAGAGATTAGGCCTAAGGAGATTGGTAGGGCATTTAGTATCTAAAGGTTAAAGTAGACTTTTTTTTTTTCACAATATAAATAGGTTGTCAAGTGAAAGTATTTCGATCATTTTGATTGAATTAACGGGTCGATTCAATTTAAAATTTAAAATTTTATATCAATTCGATCATTTATTAACATATAAAAATATTAATTTATTATTTTTTAATTTAAATTTTAATTATCAACTCAACTCGAGTCTATGATATTAACCTTAACCCCCCACATTAAGCGCAGGCCACCAAGACTCACATCACACAAAAATAAATAATTCATTCCAAATATTCTAAATTAACTAAACTCTAGTTTTCATGTTTATTTTCTGTTTTTTTTTTCTTTCTGTTTTTCGTTTTTTGATTAAATATTGATTTAAATATCAAAATACAAACACCAAAAAAATATAAAGGTTTTGTTATCGATCAATCCTCCTTTCTTATACTTTTAAATTTTTATATCTCACAGATAATGTGATATAAAGATGTAAATGATACACTAATATTCATAAATAATTTGAGTTCGATTTAAATAAAATTTAAGTTTAATTTAATTATTATCGAATCAAACTCGAATTCAAACAGTTCAATTTATCGATTGAGTCAAATTTTAATATTTTTATATTTGATTTGAATAGTTTATGAATTTAATTAAATTTTTATATTTTAATATATTTTAATTATTTTAAATTCAAACTTGAATTCAAATACAAATAATTAAATTTTTAATAAATATAAAATTTTAATTTATTTTTATATGTTAATTGAATTTAATTGAGTGAGTTCAAATAATTTAATTTTTATTTATAATCGAATTTGAATTAAAAATATAAAATTTAATCAAATTTAAATTAAATTTTAAATTGATATTATAGTTACTCAAACTGAATCGGTTGTATCTCTATCTTGATACATCTAAATATGCTAGTTCCGATTTGGGAAATTCGAAGTGTAAAAGTGAAAAGCAAGGGTTGGTGGTGAGTACTGATAAGTCGATGAGTGAAAATGCTGAAATAAACTTTCAGTCTAAAGTCGAAATAGGCAGCTGTGATAGATTTTTTCTAGAGAAAGGAAGAAGCGGCGCTATGCATGATAACCGTGCGTCGGTGAGCGAGAAATGAATGAGGAAATTATTTTTTAGGATTAGCACTTAAAAAACGTGGCAATTTATTTCAAATTTTATACATGTTAAATGTATTTTTCATGTGACAATAATACTATTTTTTTCTTTTATATATGTTAATGTGTACGTACAAAACATGAATAATATTGTATAATTAAATATAAAATATATTTTTTAAATTTTTTTATCAAATCATATGTTTAAAATTAACATGTCTTATTTTTCCTAATATTGCAGGTCACGGTCTGTATGCTATAGACTTGTTCCATCAGCAACTAATATATAGACACGTGAATCCTGTCCTTCTGTCTGATGACTCAAACTCAAAAGTCATTACTTTGGTGATGTTTGAGTGTCAAAAAATACTGCTCAAAATTATTGGCCTTTATGAATTTTTTTGTTTAAATTAATTAATTTTGATAATTATTTTAATAAATAAAAAATTTTAAAATTTTTTGTAAATTTAGTAAATTTTGAGATTCAGATTTTAAAAAAAATGTATTTTTTAAAAATAATTTAATATTATATTTCAAAAAATAAAAATAAAATAAAATAATTTTTAAAAAAATAAAAAAAATAAATTTTTTGAGACGAAAGAAGTAATGAAATTTTACAGAAAAAAATGTGCTACTCATGGTTGCAAGATCAAAAGAGGAAGGAGGGGATCAATTTGGAGTTTGGCTGGTCGCTTTCACTTGTGAAATGGGATAGAAAAAAAAGTTGAAATATCATTGTGGAAATGATGGGAAAGTGAAGGAATCGTGATAGAAAAGCCCACCCATATGTTGCCAGCTTAAAAGTATGCTAATATTGCAGCCACTTCGTAATATGTGTACACTTTTTTTTTTTTCTAAACATCACATTCTTATCCCAAGAAATTGACTTACATCATAAAATTGTTTGCCAATCCCATCATTGGATCTAGTTTATAGACATTGCATTTATACTTGGTAATTGGTTTAGTACGGGATAAATTTTTATTTATCTGATTTTATAAATTTAATTTGATTTGATGTTAAAATATTATTTTTATATTTAAATTTAATTTGATTTGTATATATTTAAATTTATAATTGATTTTATTTTATTTGAAATAATCAAACATTAATTTTTAATATATATTATTTAATATTATTTTTAATTTAAAATATTTTTTAATATGAATATAAAATATTCTATATATAATTAAATAGATAATAATATATATATATATATATATATATGGAATCGGAATGAATTCACATAAAATCCAACATCTGACTTTTTTAAAAAACTGCTAGACTCAAATTTATCCAAAATTTAATTTAAAAAAATATTTTCAACCCTATAAAATTGAGTTAAATTGAAATACTTAGAATATAGATTGAATTGCTGCATTAGGTGACAATATCATAAAGACAAAAATGATTAGTATTTATTTTGAAAAGAAATTCCAATTCAGCTAAATAGAATATATATGCACGTATATGATGTTTTCAAGAATACAAATCTGATGAAGTGAATGATACTTCATGTGAAAGCCTTTTTCTGTTGTTTTTTTTTTTTTTTTTTGTCTGTGAGTGAGAGAGAGAGAGAGAGGGGAAGTGGGGAGATATAGACTTGGATTTTATTGCAGCTTTCATTCTCTGTAAAAGGGAAAAATCCCACTAACCATTTATTGAAGAATTAAACCCAAAATCTTTGCAGAATTCACATAAAGTTGTCTAAAAAAACCTAAAGTTATGTAAACAGGCAGTGAAAGGATGTGATATGTTTGGGAGTCCTTGACATTGTGATAATGACACGAAAAAAAAAAAAAAAAGCAAAGCAAGATACAACAAGAGAATAATGCAACAGTAGTTTCTGACAGACATGAAGCCAGACACAGTGTTCCCGACCTTCAAATTTGGTTTACGTTGGCAACCAACTTTCTTCCTCCTTTATCTTTAACTACTGTATTCGCTTCCTTGTAATCAATTGGCACAGCTAATGATTTTGTCTTTTCAATTTCTCATTTGAAAGTTCAGACAATATACTACAAATAATGTCATTGCACCATCTTTTGTTGTTTTTCATTTTACACATGAAGAGTCTATTATTAAGTATCTATTAAAGACTGAGTAACTTGAGAGTCAAATGAAACTATTTAGATGTGGAACTGAGCAGACACGATTCTCAACATTGAAGGAATCCTGAACTAAATTGTCAACCCAATGGCCAACGCCATGAGAATTGTTACATGTTCCCAGGTAAGTGGTAACCGACAGTCAAATATGATACTAGTAGCATTTTGTTGTCTTGAAATATGTTTTGGCTGTGTTTATATATATATATTATATGAGTTTATATTTGATGATATGAGAAAATTATTGGAAAAATTGAAGTAAAATGGGTTGTAGTAGCTAGAAAAGACTGGTAAAAGGTTGCCCGAATAAGACAACATTGGCAAATTAATTCACAAAAGCCTATTGGAATCAAGCCCTATTGCTAACTCAATGATAAGAGGTATGATTGTCTGTTTCATACTATTTTGTTTTATCTTGGCAAAGATTTTGAGACAAACTGCTGTAGGCAAGGAGAGATTGGAAAAAAAAAGGAAAATTATAGCACTCAAAAGCAAAAAATTACTATTGAATTGACTGATATGACTGAAATGCAATTAATTCATTGCCCTTGTTCCCCACCCTCCACATCTTCAATTTTTAAACAAATAAAAATTTATTTCATTTCTTTCCACCATGTTAATACCCTATAATTAATTTAAAACTTAATTCAATTAATTTTAAAAATTGATGTTCAATTGATTTTAAATTCTAATATTTATAATTATTTTTTTATTTTAAAATTATAATCATGCTTATGTATAAAAAAAAACCCATTAACAAGCAAGCACCAAAAAAAAATATATATATACAAAAGAATTGCATGTCATTTCATGGGGCTCACAAAGCTGCAATGGGGGGATAGTGGTGCCTCAGATCATTTACAATTTTACATATCCCCAATACTATTTTAATTATATTTCTTATCTTTATTAGTTTCCATCATTAAGTAGCATTAATTAATGAATTCAAACAAAGTGCTTGAAGATCAATTATCATGATATAATTCATAAATTTGGTACAACTGGGCATAGGCTTGATTAATTAGAACTTTTGCATGTTTCTTAAAAATATAGCATTAGGCTCAACTAACCTTCCTCTATATATGTCCTTTTGATTCAGCAACAGCCATTAAAACATTTTGAGGATCAGAAAGGATGGAGGATAACAAGAGTAACAACCCTAATTCCAATTTTTTATGACACTATATTTCATATATATAGTTGGTTTGCAAAATTTGCACAATCTTTTAATATAGTTAGGAGTTGGAGATTTAAATCAATTTTAGAATTATTTATTGGAGTTAAATAAAATAATGTTATGTTTTTTTTCTTTTTTATTTATGAATTTGGAGATGAATTATTGAATTGTAATTATTTTTTTAAAATAACAATAACCTGAACAAACTTTTATATAATTAGAATTTTTTGGGAGACTATGAAAAATTAATTTAATTTTTAATAAATTTATTAGATTCATGTAAATAAACGAATTTGAATTGATTCAAAAAAATATATATTAAGCAAACTTTAAGAATCTCTTGTCACTTAATAAAAGAATTAAACTTAGCCACTCTATTTATATGAATTCTTCAAAATCATAAACTATAATAAATCTTAAACACATGCAAAATCTTGTTTAAAAGTTAATTTCCCACATGCAACAGTATGAATAAGAACTGTACATACATAAATATATATATATATATATATGGAAATGATAAATGTTGGGTTGGATATTGATCTTAAAAATTTTAATATGAGAAGGTGAATTATTTGGTTACTAAAATTTCCTTGGCTTTAACAGAGAGAGAGATGGTGTGAAGCAAAGCTAAAGTAAATGAAAAAAAAAAAGGTGGCCCTCCCATGTCAGTCCTTTTACTGTTTCAGTATTGTCCATGCACGAATGTTTTGCAAAAATGGCTCAAAGATTTGACATCTCAGTTTGCTAGCTAGAAATCTCTTTCTTCCCCTATATATGTTACATATAATATTCTCCTTCTCGTTTAACTCAGTGAGCGTGTGAGTGAGTCAGAAAAAAAAAAAAGAAAGATAAGGAGAAGCAAGAACATGGAGAATAATAAAGAAACGAAGGCTCAGCCAAAAAGAGGTTTATGGAAACCAGAGGAAGACTTGATTTTGAAGAATTATATAGAGACTCATGGGGAAGGCAACTGGGCAACCGTCTCTAAGAGATCAGGTATATCAATTAATACTTACTGTTTCTCAGTTCTCATCTCCTGAATTAATTAATTTTGATGATGAAGTAATTTTATAATTAAGGCAACAATATTAGTCAATACCTTACATATTAATTTGTATTTTCAGGGTTGATGAGAGGAGGGAAAAGTTGTAGACTGAGATGGAAGAATTACCTTAGACCAAACATAAAACGTGGCGGCATGTCTAAGGAGGAAGAAGACCTTATTATCCGAATGCACAAGCTTCTTGGTAACCGGTTAGTTTCAATGATTATGATTCAAATTCCGATCAATGTTTTATATATATATATATATTGTTTATTTTACATATATATGGTTTTGTCATTGGGAAAGAAAAAATTCGCACTTTGCTTATTGAGTAGGAAATCATGCATCGCTCACTTGAATCAAATGTTCGGGTGCAATTTACATAATTTTATCAAATACACATAGAAACTTTTCTTTGTTTTGAGTAGCATTAATTTGATGATTTTGGGTTTTTTTTTTTTTTTTCTAAATTGTAGATGGTCTCTAATTGCTGGGAGACTCCCTGGTCGCACTGACAACGAGGTGAAGAACTATTGGAATACCCATTTGAACAAGAAAAGCATTTTAGGAAAAAGAAAAGCTGTTGACTCAAACAAGAAACAGATTGAAAACGAAGACACTGAGACCCTGCAGGATAGCAAGAAACCAAGCCAATCACATAATTCTCAGCCGATTTTCAGCACAAGTCCAAAAAGGACAACAGAGGGATTGGATTTGGATGAGAAGAAAGAAGTGAAGGAGCAGATTAGTGTTAGAGATACTTCATGGATGGAACGTGCGGTTCAGTGCTTCAACAATGACTATGACTATGACATGGTAGAAACTCCAGTGATGATGCAACCCAATTATTCAAATTTTGTGTTTGATGAAGACCCTTTTCCATTCTACTTGGATTCTTTTGTTCAGTTTGAAGCATTTGGGACAGATTCCGATGTGGGAATCCAATCATTCTTGCCTTAGTTACAGCATAAACGCGGACCACCACCTGGGCAGAGCTCTTAGCTGGCTGGCCTGCTGGGGCTGGGGCCTAAGGGCAACCACCAACCAGCTTTAGGCTTTAGCAGGGGAGGGCATCGTATCGTACTTCCTTTTGAAAGCAGTGTTGAAAGCACTATGAGGAACAAGTGAAGTGAGGATTATAATTTTAACTTATCAGTAATTTTGATCCTAATGCTTAAGTTAAAATTATAATTCTTTCCTTTCGGGAAATATTAATAATAACAAGACGAAATGTTTAATTTTGAGTCTATTTTACCAATGGATGTAATGTTATTAGTATTATTAGTATCAACATTGAAGCAAAGTTTCCCAGACTCAAAATCCACGTTCCAAAAAAGCTGAAAAAGAAAAGTGCTGTCTCCCCATGAAAAAGTGGAGCATAAAATTATATCATGGAAACTGTAAAGTCCCCTAAAAGTGTGTATATGTATATATATATAAAGATGTGTATCATCCCTTTAAAAGCATATTTTCAGTCTTAAACAAAATCTTTAAAACTAGAATAAATATAATGATAGGATAAGAGAAAAGCTACTTAATTAATCTTTACAAGTACATAAAATGATGTAAAATGACATAAATTTGATAATTCGAAGCCCCAAACGATTCACTCCTTATGCTTAAAGCTAAAACCCTAAAACACATTCAATCACAGAACATAGCTTATGTTTGACACATAAGATTAATTAAAAATTAAAATGCTAATCATTTTATTAATTTTTGTTATGTACTCAAATAAAATAATTAAATTATTGAAAAGATTAGATATCTTATGTCAATAAGATAACCCTATTATTTGAAAAATTAAGAGATTATTTTTAATTATTAAATTTAAATGTCTTATTATAATTTTAAAAATTACATTAATAATTTAAATTGTATAAATTTTGAAAAAAAAAATTTGACTAATAAATAAATTATCTTATTTTGATCTTTATACACATAACAATAAAATAAAATGATATTATTTAATTTAATCTTGTTCATAATATTATCTTATTTTATCTTATTATAATCTTTATATTTCTAACATATCTATAATCTCTTAATTAATTACCTTGGCCCAAAAAAAGAAAAAGAAAAAAAAAAGGGAACCTTGCGTCTCTCGAATGTCTTGGAATAGTGAAATTTACAACTTGGTTTTCAAATAAAAGAGAAGAAACAAGAAAAGAAATATGAAATCCAACAAAATAATCATATAAGATTAAAGATTATAATTGATGTATAAAATAACAGATAAAATAAAATTATAAGTATTTTATATCATATTTGATTTATATCTTAAAAAAAAAAAATACCAAAATTAATCATTTTTTTTGCATTGAACGATTCAATCCTTCTAAAATTGAATTTATATGTTTTATTATACTATTAAAAATTACTTGTCTAAACTTAAAAAAAAAAAAAAATTTGACCGATAAATAAAATTATTTTATTTTAATAATTACATACATCAAATACACGATAAAATAATATTATTTAATTTAATATTATTCATAATATCATCTTATCATATTTTATTATAATCTTATATATCAACACACTTTAAGAATCATAAGATTATTTGAAAATCATTGAAAATAACAACCCGATTTCTGTTTAAAAAAAATCAATTTGATCAAAATACGATTCATCCACTGGCATTGTTTTGGAAAAATCAGCTAATTACAAGAGCAGTGGAGTGGTTTCAATATAAAAAAGTCATGAAGTTGATAACATTTACAAGACTTCATCTTGCCGAGAACAGAATAAACCTTTGTCGCACAATCGCATTGTTTTCTTATATTCAAGTTCCCTGATAAAAAAGTTCAGACGACACCACATGTAAAACACAGTAATTCATCTTTACATCTAAGAATGCATGCATTAGCATACTCAATATGGTATTTAAAGGAAAAAATGAATTTTGAAAGCTCAATATGGTGGGATGCAGGCAAAATCAAGAGACTTTTTTCTATAATGCCAAGACCAAGATCATAAAATGACTCAGCTTCTTTCTCACTGTTAATTTTTCAGCAATTAACACCCGCACAACACCTTAAACAAGCTTTCTCCCTGCATTCCTCTGTCCCTCCCTACCTGGTTCCATCCACATAATAACATGTTGGATTTCAGAGGGTGGGGGAAAGCAGTAAAGGTACACACACATGGAGAAAAGTATAAGGTAAAAAGCGATTAAGTGTGTGATTTAAAATAGGGATGAAAAATGGATCAGCAGAAAAGGGTAATTTTCATCTCCAATGTGAATGATCTGACAAGGAAATTTCCATACTTGTCAACATTTTCTGATCTCTCATTATCCTCTTGCCAAGTCCTTTCAATTGGGAAAGAAACCGCACCCACTTAACATTTTCCATTCCCTTTGCATCCTCGTTATAAAGCTTTTATCTTCATACTCCCACTTCCTCTCCCTTGGAGCACATTGTAAGAGTTTATACCACAACCTATTCTACTTTACACGGAGCATTGCATAATTGAAGGAAAGAGTACCCTAAATGAATATTGGCGTGGAAGAAAAAGATGAACTATTAAATCCAAGGGTCTCACCTTTTAAACTGTATCAAAATCCAGCGATAGCAGAAGAAATAATTCAAGCAGTCATTCTGCTTGAAATAGTTAGGCAATGGGCTGTCCATTTTTTCAAATTTAAACATTTCTACATAATCCCATGCATATCCATTTTTTTTGCCAAGAACATGCATATCAAATTTAAAACACCACTGTTGTTGCATTTTGAAAACACTCAAAGATCTTTTCAAGGAATCAAATAAAACAACCATCATCAAAATTGTAACTCAGCGTGACTGTAAGAAAAGCTTTTTCTGTTAGGCAACCAACAGATGAAAAATCAAAGCATATCAGAAGTAATTACCTGACAGTAACCAAGATCGAAGTTGTAGAAAGAGTAGGTCAAAAGAATATCACGTAAAAGATTCAGATTTGACATGAAACTCAAAACTCAAACATGTGATGGTTTCATACATACCACATCTTTCTCTATAAGGCCCTTCCTCTCTCAGAACTTCGTAAATTTTTTTGCCTGTTCGGGAGAGAGACTCTGCCAAAATATTCATCAAACAAGTACTAAGATTCATAAAACTAAGCTTTGCCAGCTAGAAAAAAACACTTCTCTTCACAGAGAAAACTGCATAACAATGGTTACAAGAGGTCTAAGAACATTATTTTATCCAAACAACAGATGCATGAATCACAAACAAGTCCTATCAAATAAACTACAAATGTATTCTCACCAAACATCATAAATTTAGAACAATTTGTGCTTATAGCACAAATGAATAAATTCTGCAGGGTATCCCTTAAAAGATTATACTGCATCTGGATTAGAAAACCTAAAAAAGATTTACTGATATACATCATCTAATAGCCCCCATTTTCAATGAAGACAATACTGATTAAGGTAAAATAATTGACAAAAAAAAGTTGAATCCAGATTTTATCTACCTGCTGCAGTATTTCTTATTCTAGCACCCATTATCTGTATGATACGTCAAGTAATCATGCAGCATTTTACATTCCCATACTCTTATACAACTTAAAATTATCATATAAAAACACTGACTGGAGTGCACGGTCATTTTCAAGTCATTGGTTTGCTAAGAGCTCCCAATAAGACATATAAGCTGCCCTTACAAAATAATTGGGTTTATCTTAATAAAAAAAACACTATAAAGGTTGGCTCTCCATTTAGAGACACATATTGGAGGCATGCAAGTTGTGCAACATGCCATACACCTTGACAGCAACCAGCAATCCTAGCACACAGGCTTGTGAAAGAAACCTCAAAGCCAAACACAAACTTTAGCTCCCCCCCTCCTCTTCTCCACCCCTCATTCCTCCAAAAAGAAACACGAAATGCACCATACGCAAAATATGAGGGAAAAAATAACATCATTTCTAGGAGACGTACCAAAACAACTCATGTCATAGAAACATTAAAAGAAAAAGAAAGTACCATGTCAATAAAGAACACCCAAATGTGTCTTTGGTTGAAAACAAATTTTCTTCTGAACCTCCACGGTTTCAGCTGCTTGTAAAGAGTAAAGATCACTGAAACTAAAATTCCATGCAAGCTCAAATATAATGTAGGGAAGGAAAGAGTGAAGCGTGACAAATAGACAAAGATTTACTGCAAACTTGCCACTGGTTTTTATAATCTTGTATTCTGTCTTTTTGACAGTCCTTTGATATTCTCTCTCTGCTTATGTTGATTCATATGTATGATATCCCAATAATATTGCCCGGACCTTAAAATCACAACTAAGATCTCTAAGATTGTGATGCATTTTTAATAGAATCAATCCACTTATAATTCCTTGCTTGGTAGAAATATAAGCCTTTTTCCGTAATTTGTTATAACTCCATAAAATGTTCTTTTTCTTAAAGCTTTTGAATCCACCACTCGCCCTCCTGAATCCAAGAATATCAGCCACTGAAAAAACAATTAAATTTCAAAATATCAAAAATACCAATCATATAACGAATTAATAGTGATCTATTTTGTTTCATAATATCAAAAATAAAAAAATCACATTTAAAAAAGGCTTTAAAATTATGAAATTTTATTACTAATCTATTTCATTTCATATGGTAAGAAACTAGTGATGGAGGCATGACCCAAAGAAGCAAGGACGTAAGACAACCAGCCCAATCAGAAAGGACGGCGAAAATAGATGAGCAAACTAGATACAACATAAAATAAAAAAGTTTGCATCTGGTTCCTTACCTCTTCCAACCCCAATAGTGGTTGTCGGGGCTTTCCCCCCAATGGTGAGAATTTGTCAAACTGCCAGGAAATTAAGACAAGAACAAATATCAAGTTGAGATCCAAAATCTGTTTCCATAATTGAAACAATAATACATAAAAACTACGGAATTTAATATTCAACCACACACCAAACATTGGGCCTTCTCCTACTATCATTATTAAATACACTACAATAGTGCATGTTTGGCATAAGAAAGGAATCGATTTTTATAACACAAACTAGCAATATATGAATTACATTTCTGTACCATT